CCCGAGGGGNCGCNCCGTGTGATGAGCTTANCAATCTTTAAAAAGCTTAATATTAACAAAACCTATATAGTAATACTTATAATATACTTTTTTTATATTCTAGTTATATTAGCAGCTAGATTTAACCTTAAACTTAAATAATATAATATAAAGAATGCCTTTTTAAATATAAAGTATAGTAAGCAGGGCATACTTATAATATATAAGTTCCTGCTAGGCTTTTAAAAAGCTAAAAAGCTTATAAAGCTTAAAAAGGCTTTTTATAAACTAAAAGACTTATTAAAGCTATAATATAAAAAGCTTATAAGTATGCTTTTTGCTTTTAAGCTAAAAGTATGCTTTAAAAAGAGCTGCTTATACTATAATAATAATTATAAGCTATTTATATACTTTTATATTAATAATATTATTATTACTTATTATAAAAAAGATAAGGCATATTATATAAAGCTAATTAAAGTATTAAAAATAAAATATAAGCTTTATAAAGGGGGTAATATAGCTTAATTCTTAAGTATTTATATTATTTAAAAGTATATTAAGTAAAGGATTATATTATTTTATAAATCTTATATAATAAAAATTATATAATAATTTAACTTAGTTAATTATAGCTAATATTTATTAATTTTAATTTTAATAATTAAGCTTATAAAATATAAAGGCTAAGCTATAAAAGTAGAGATTAAGTTATACTAAAAGAAGCTAGGTTTTATATTATATATAGCTATTATAATATAACCTAATATAGCTTATACTACTTTAGCCTTTTTCTGCTTTTTTATTAATTTAAGCTTAATATATTAAAAAGTAGTAAACTAGCTAATTTACTATTTTTATATATAAAAGCACCTTATATTATAATATAAAAAAGTAAATAAAATATAAATACTATATATATTTAATAATACTTTTTTTATAAATAATACTAAAACTTAAAGGTTTTTATAAAGGTTTTTAATTATAATATTTAAAAGACTAATTATATAAAGTATAATAAGGTAAAGTATAATTAGCACTTTAATTATAAAAGTAAAGCTTTTATTACTTATATAACTAGAAAAAAAGACTATAGCTTTATAATAACTATTTATATATATAAAGTTTAATTTTAAAAATAAGTAAAAGCTTAATTATAATAACTAATAAATAATATAGCTTATAATTAGCTTAAGTAATTAAATTAATACTTATTTATAATATATAAATATATATAATATATAGCTTTATTAAGAATATTAAAAAGGAATATTTAAGGTTTTTTATTTTTTTATATAAAAGATAACTGCTAATAGGCTTATAAAGGCCTTTCCTTATTAATACTTTAAGTATTTTAAATTACTATTAAATATAGTAAATATAAGTAATATTATAATTATAAATAAGTAAAAGGAATATTAAAAGAAAGTATATAAATTATTTAATTAACTAAAAGCAGTAAACTAGCTATACTTATAATATATATTAGTAATAAACTAGCTATATATATTACCTTTATTATAAACTAGCTATACTTAAGCCTAGAATATTTAAGCACTTACTTTTTTTTATACCTTTATAATATATTTTTATACCTTTTTTTTTATTATATTAAAAGGCTTTTACTACTTCTTTTTATATACTAAATCTTTAATATTTAGCAGCTTAATTTAAAGGCATAATATATACTAAAGGTCTCTTTTTAACTGCTTAAAAATTAGCTTTTAAGTATTATAATTTATTATTAATAGTACTTATAGTTTTATTTTTAATAATAGTAATAACCTTTACTAATTTATAAATAAGGGGGAGAAAGATAAAGTAGCTATAGTATAATATTAGCTAAAGTAAAGCTTAAAAAGCAGTAAATTTTTAAAAACTTATAAAAGAAAATAAAAGTAGCTAGACCTTTTATAAGCTATATATTAAGTAAAGCGCTTAATATTATTAATATATTAAGTAAAATTACTTTTTTTAAAAATAATACTTTATAAGCAGCCTTTATATAAAGAGTTTTAAACCCTTACTTTATTATTATTATTATTATATATAGCCTTTTAGACCTTATATAAGGTAAGGGTATAAGGCTTTAAGGGCAGGTAACCTAAAAGGTTAATATACTATATAGTAAATTAAGTATTAGTAGTAATAGTAAAGAGTATAGTTTTAATTATAAGTATAAGCATAAGGTATTAAAAAAAAAGGTAAGGGCACTAGTACTAGCACTAGTGCTTATAATAAGGCTATTAGGCCTAGTAGTATTAGTAATAGTATAAGTATTAGTAATATATTAAATAATACTAGCTATATAAGTAATAGTAGTAGTAGTAAAGGCCTTTTTTTAAGCTTTTTATTATACTATTAGCTATTTATAATTATAATAAAAGCTTAAATAAGGCTATTTATAACTATTTATATACTTTTTACTTATAAGTTAGTATAGTGTTTTTATTACTACTACTATTAATAATAATAAGGATAATAATAAAAATAATAATAATAATAATTATAAAAAAAAGAGGTATTTATAAAAGGTTAAATTAAGCTTTTATATAGCTTAAGAAAAGCTTTTTAAGTAAAAAGTAAGTAAATATTTTTATTATTATTAATTAAAGCTATTATTTTTAATAATGCTAGTATAGTATTTTATAATCCTTTTATAAAAGAGATTATAAAGCAGTTATTAAATATAGTAAATACTTTAATTATAGCTTTTATATGCTTTTAAAGTAATATTTCCTTTATTTAAAAGCTTAACACTATATTATTAAGCATTTAGCACTTAATAAAGCACTTATAATATCTTTATTAAGTAGGGGGTGTATTATAAAAAGCTTAAAATGCTATATATTATATACTTATAAGCTTATTAAGTATTATACCTATATGCATTTACTTATTATAGCATAAGCTGTAATTATATAATTTATTATAGTATTAAAAGCTTAATAAGATAAAAAGGAGGATAGCTTTCTAAATACCTATATATAGGGCTTTAGAAGGCCACCTTTAATATAGAAAAATAAGGCACTTTAGAATAACCTCTCTAGAGCTTAATTTAAGCTATCTGAGCGTTATGACAGATAGAATGATGATGTGGTAATGTTGATAGAAGCAGTCCAGGCTCTCTTGTCCAGGACCTTTTGATGCTGCCACTTGAAACACCCAGGGAGATTATCTCCGATGTTCGTCGTGTCCTGCATTGAAACGCGAGCTGAAAGACTGCGATGCCTCGCGAGGCACCTTCCAGAGCCGTCATGGTCTCCGAGTGGCGTCGATTCCTAGCCACGGACAGGGGACAAGGGTAAGGGGAGGAGGGCGCCAACACGGAAGCAGATTGGCTGCAGACGCTGAGAGAGTGCGACGCTGGAGTGTCATTGCTGAGCCGGTGCCTGTTTGGAGTGCTGCTCTGTTATGTAGGCCAAGACCTGCCAGTGGCATCTTTCTGCTGGACTGCCGGCCGCCAAGCTGTTTGGCAGCTGTTTCTTGGCGATGCGATGCGATGCGATGCGTGTGACGGGACTCGGCTGTCGGCTTGGAGGCAGCGCCAAGGCATTTATTCTCCGTCAAGATGGTGGTTTGTGGTGTTTTGGTTCCGGGTATCACAGAGTTCTATTAGTAGACAGCAAGCGTCAAGGCCTCAGTGTGTCGAGTGAAGGCGGCTGAAGGAGTGGAGGCTGGAGGCATCGTCGAGGTTTAGTTGTAGGTTCCTGCAGAAACAACAGAATGACGCCATCATCGACCACGGAAGGAAGGCACGTCGTCCTTATCGCAACCGTCACGTGCAACGACTTGCAACTTTTACCATCTCTGCTCGTGATACTGTATTGGTATTACTCCAAACTCCGTAACTCGTATAAACCACACACAGCGTCGCATTCGCCTCCAGCACCAGCGCTGCTCGACAGCAACAGCAGCAAACAAAGAGCCTCCCGTTCGGCCGGTTCCGCTGCCTCTTTTGCTCCGGCCGACTGCGACTGGCAGGCAGTCAATACTCGCACAGGTCCCTTTTTCGAGAATCCAACGATGGCCGTCAGCTGCATGCCGATTAGCCGGCCAGCAGACAAGGGGCCCAGCACCGTCGACGAGAGCCAAGCAGCGCAATCTATCGAATAGCAGACTCCCTGGCCCCTGTCCGGCAGCTGGAGCGGGCCTCTTGGGCTCTGGGCCTTTTGGGACATGCCGCTCTGGGCTTGAGCTCGCTGTAACGAACTTCTGTCCGCACCGCAGCCACGGCAGCCCGTGATTTGTTGACGGCCTCTTGTAGTATTGCGATGAGCAGCAGAGGCGAGAGGGATGGCGATTCTGGCACAAGTTCCCACCCCTGACTGCCGGACGCCAAGTCGGTTGTCCCTGGGCCAGCAACGGTAGTGCCGCAGCGCCAGAGCCAATGGCCCTCGAGGGCATCCCGACCAGCCCCAGAATCACGGAGGCCACAGCAGATTGGCCCTGTTCATGCCCGGTCACCAGGCCGCTCTGATTGCTGGGACGGCGGATTTAACATAGACTAACGGATTAGACTTAATTCGGCCGCCATGTTGTTGATCCCTAGTCGATTGGGCTAGTAGTTCTTCTTTGCTCAGTCCCCTATGCGAGCCAGGAGCACGAGGCAGATCCGAGTCAAGCAAGGCATGGATGGGATGGGATGGCTCTCGTGGCTTTGAATTACCGTTGATGCGAGAGAGAGAGAGAGATTGGGCCATACGAGGCCTGATTCGTGCTTGCGGCTGGTGACTGGCCGTCTGGGGGCCCGAGCATGCCACTGGCAGTGGGATGCGGTGGAACACGATTGCAACATTGCCCCCGAAAGGATGGGCTGGTAACTTCGTCTGTTCAGGTCGACCTCGGTCATACAAAGCAAAGACGCGGGCGCAGCGCCATTGCCCAAGTCATGTCGGCCCGCCTACCCCAGCCTGTCATATCGTCACACGGACTGAACTGTGGGCTGCTGTTTAAGCGTTGAGCAGGAAGACCCTTGATAGACAAAGATCGGCAATGGATATCTCTCTCGAGGCCTGCTTATTTCCCTGGCCTCCGCAGTGTCGACATTGCACGGCCAGCCACGACTCGGGATTGGCCGGCCATAGGTAGTGGCGAGGACGAATGGTCAAAGGACTATGTATCATCTCGACTTATGCGCCTCGGGAGACAAGTCACACTGTTGCGCCGTCTCCGAGCGAATGGCCGTGGCCATGGGCTAGCAGGACTCTGGACTTCTATCTTGGGATGCTTCACGATACGTGATCGACAAAGGTTCCAGCGCCTCCATTGGAGCAAGGCAGAAATGGCAGTACGCTCCTCGGCCGACCTCTCTTGGTGGGTTAGGAGACCAGGCACGCCCTCCACATGGATGCCACCCCTGGACGCGGACGCTTCATTCGCTCGCGGGCCGGTAACGACGATCTACAGCCATCTGGCCTGATTGCGGAGGTCAATTCCACCATCTCGACTCCTCCTCCCATCACCATGCCCCAGCAAGTGTGTGAAGCTCGGGGAGGATGGCGCAAACCGACCTTCCTAAACCATGCTCTTGAGGCCGTCAACAACGACAATGCCCCGGAGATGGCAGATTATCGACGAAGCGTTTGTCGATGGAGCTCAAGGGGATATATAAAGACGTCCGGCGTCCCTCCGTCTGCTGTTGGAGCTTTCTTCTCATCAGCCCCATCAGCCTTCAAGACAAGTCCAGCCAGCCCGTGAGCAACCTTCTCCGATATTCAAGATGCAGACCTTTGGAGCTTTTCTCGTTTCCTTCCTCGCCGCCAGCGGCCTGGCCGCGGCCCTCCCCACCGAGGGTCAGAAGACGGCTTCCGTCGAGGTCCAGTACAACAAGAACTACGTCCCCCACGGCCCTACTGCTCTCTTCAAGGCCAAGAGAAAGTATGGCGCTCCCATCAGCGACAACCTGAAGTCTCTCGTGGCTGCCAGGCAGGCCAAGCAGGCTCTCGCCAAGCGCCAGACCGGCTCGGCGCCCAACCACCCCAGTGACAGCGCCGATTCGGAGTACATCACCTCCGTCTCCATCGGCACTCCGGCTCAGGTCCTCCCCCTGGACTTTGACACCGGCTCCTCCGACCTGTGGGTCTTTAGCTCCGAGACGCCCAAGTCTTCGGCCACCGGCCACGCCATCTACACGCCCTCCAAGTCGTCCACCTCCAAGAAGGTGTCTGGCGCCAGCTGGTCCATCAGCTACGGCGACGGCAGCAGCTCCAGCGGCGATGTCTACACCGACAAGGTCACCATCGGAGGCTTCAGCGTCAACACCCAGGGCGTCGAGTCTGCCACCCGCGTGTCCACCGAGTTCGTCCAGGACACGGTCATCTCTGGCCTCGTCGGCCTTGCCTTTGACAGCGGCAACCAGGTCAGGCCGCACCCGCAGAAGACGTGGTTCTCCAACGCCGCCAGCAGCCTGGCTGAGCCCCTTTTCACTGCCGACCTGAGGCACGGACAGAGTAAGTAGACACTCACTGGAATTCGTTCCTTTCCCGATCATCATGAAAGCAAGTAGACTGACTGAACCAAACAACTAGACGGCAGCTACAACTTTGGCTACATCGACACCAGCGTCGCCAAGGGCCCCGTTGCCTACACCCCCGTTGACAACAGCCAGGGCTTCTGGGAGTTCACTGCCTCGGGCTACTCTGTCGGCGGCGGCAAGCTCAACCGCAACTCCATCGACGGCATTGCCGACACCGGCACCACCCTGCTCCTCCTCGACGACAACGTCGTCGATGCCTACTACGCCAACGTCCAGTCGGCCCAGTACGACAACCAGCAGGAGGGTGTCGTCTTCGACTGCGACGAGGACCTCCCTTCGTTCAGCTTCGGTGTTGGAAGCTCCACCATCACCATCCCTGGCGATCTGCTGAACCTGACTCCCCTCGAGGAGGGCAGCTCCACCTGCTTCGGTGGCCTCCAGAGCAGCTCCGGCATTGGCATCAACATCTTTGGTGACGTTGCCCTCAAGGCTGCCCTGGTTGTCTTTGACCTCGGCAACGAGCGCCTGGGCTGGGCTCAGAAATAAGCGGCGATGGTGGACTTGTTTATGAAAAGGCTATGGGATCAATGATGGAACGTGAAAAAAAAAAAAAAAGGATTGTCTGGCTCTCAAGACTTGTAAATACTCTTGGTGTATATAGCAAGATGTCAGCACATAGCAGAGCAATGACGAAACTGTAATGAAGGACGCTTTGGGTCTCAGTGACTTGTGAAATGAGGTCCCTTCCTACCTATCCATCGTGGTCCGTAGGGGTAAGGTGCGAAGTCTACTTGCAATGCTTGAACTGAGCCTCGGAATGATACAATTATCCATGGCGATTGTGAATACTGAGATGAGGTCTCGTTGATGATGTGCTTAGCAATATCAACATTAAATCCTGCTTTGCCCCATCCTGACCTTGATCTCCAAGCCACTGACAAATAGGTGTTCATGCACTATCATGGGTTACTTGATGTATCGCTCCGGATATTTAGCTGCATCACTGTTAATGATTAAATCCAAGTCCTGTGTTATACATTAAAGAAGGTCCAGAGTGGTGGTTCTGCCCGGCTTCGGAGATTTGCAAGGTCTCGAGCGAGTCCGAAGCTGGGCTGAAGCAGCGCAGGGCCTGACTCTGGGTATGTGTTGATGTAGTGGCGGACGATGCCATGAACATGGACTTTTTCTTTTCTCTTACCCCTGTGATGCTCTTTGTCATGGCGAGAACGTATGCTGAGAACAGTTGATATGAGTGAGATTGTTTCGAGGAGGGACATCAAGGGCTTGATGTCTTTGGTCACCAGCCTTTCTGCTTCTAACTCGGAATCATGAAAAAACCGACGTCTTGCTGACAGATATCGCCCTGGGGCCTAGAATATACAGAAGGATAGTTCTGACTGTGACAGCCAGAGAAGTGGTAGGGCTGTAAGGGGGTACGAGATGAGCTGTGCTCGATAGGTGAGCTGGAATGCTATTTGATGGATGTACAGCGAGTGTTGGGGTGGTTTTGCAGCTGTAAATAAGGGAATTGACAGGGGAGGCGATGAACACGCCGGCAAGGAAAGCGTCTCATGCTATGCATGGGGATTTTGAACAAGAAGAGTGCAGAATTTACTCCTGTGAAGAAGGGGAGTGATGAGAAGCGATATAGGGGATGATTGACGAGGGAGTTGATGATTGAGAGGGTTCTTACATAGTGCGGCTCTTTGATGACTTTGCAGAGTGTCTATTTAGATTGTGTTATTTATGGTTTCTGCTGCGTTTGTGATTAGTTGATGCATGTATAGCGTCAAAAGCTCTTTTTACGCTGCCATGCCATCTATCAAGTGCTTGACTACTAACTTGTACATCAACGCCGTCCGATCAACACTACCTCGATATAACAACCACGAATTCGATATACACACACATCTGTGCACTCATAGCATCTATCTCAAATGACAACCTTAAAAATGTCCGATCAGCAGCCACAAACCACCCCAAACCAGCCCTCCCGATCTCGTTCTCACCTACAAGTGATGCCTACAAACTCGATACTCACTTGCTCTTTCACCGAGAATGTATGTGTTTATCAATCCAATCAAGCTGTTACATTGCGTCAGTCGACCTCATGACGACGGGTCTTGGCGGGTTACATTCAATGACCACTTGTCATCCGGAATAGGCAGGGCGTGAAAAATCTCTTTGCTCAGGCTAGGGAGGTGACGGGATGCCATAAAGAGACGAAGCACTGCTTGTTTGAAGGAAGTTGCACGTCCGTATATGCAAGTGTTGATGGCGGGCTCCCGGATTGGGGGCTGAGGTGTCGGCGTCTTGTTCCCCTTTTGTCGTTCCTCGTCTCTCATTGCTACCTCACTTGATATAGTATACAATCTCAATACACTTATATATAACCATAAAATCTTACCCTTTTCCTCTTGACTGGCATTACAACTCCCATTCTCCTTCACATCCAACACAACCGTCACCATCACGCACAATGAAGCCCTCCCCCCTATTCCTCACCCTCTCCCCCCTATTCCTCGCACTCACCTCCTCCTCCTCCCCCTCAACCCCATCTCCCCCCTCCCCTCTCGTCGTCGATACAGCCCCCTCCCACCTCCGCCCCTACATCCTCCCCCGCTACGCCGGCCACGCCATCAAGCTCACCACATCCGGCCAAATCATCCGCTTCTCCATCACCGCAAACTCCTCCGCCGGCGCCTTCTCCCTCGTCCAGCACGCCGGCAAGGCCACAGGCTGGACCTCGGCCCGCCCGCACACCCACAGGCGCGTCCACGAGCACTTTTTCTGCACAAAGGGCCGCGTCGAGCTCTGGACGAAGAAGAACGCCACCGGCGCCGTGGACGAGGCGCGGGTTCTCACGCAGGGGGATTTCGGGACCGCGCCTCCGGGCACGATACATACCTTTCAGCATATCGATCCGGACAGCCAGTTGACGCATATTTACAACCCGGGCGGCTTTGAGGAGCTGTTTCAGGTGTTTAGCCTGGGGGACTTTGAGTCGCCGCACGGAGCGCCGTATGAGCTTGTCGAGGAGGACCAGCGGCCGTTTGGCGATGCGACGCCCGAGCAGGAGGCGCAGCTCAATTCTCTCGATTTGTGGATTGCAAAGGCAGACGTTTACGTTCCGAGGAGGGACTTTGTCAATGGAACGGCGGGCGATGCGCGCCTCAACTGGCACGATGGGAACAACTCACTGTCGAGTGATCCCATGGATCCGTATTACATTGCCAAAGACTACGGCCCGAAATACCTCCTGAACAGTGAAGACGGGTATAAAGTCATCCAGCCCCTTCTCACCGCCTCTCAGACACCCTTTAGGAACCTCACCGTCGGGACGATCACGCTCTCGCCACGACGCAAAGGCGAAAAGGCAAATGTTGTTCGGTTGGAGAATCACTTTGCCATACAGATGGACGAGGGACAGCTTGCGCTGACGATTCAGGGGTACGAGAGGGAGCTCTTGCTGCAAGGCGATGTGGCCTTTATCCCGGCCGGGACGAGGTTCGAGTATTATGCCACGGTGCCGTTTACCAAGTTTCTGTATGTGAATGCTGGGGAGAGGGGATATGCGGATGAGTTGTTGGAGAGGGCGGTGCCGTGGAATTTTCCGGTGTATCCTGCGTGATGGCTTCGCGAGGGTCTGTCTTGATTGGTGAGCTACGTACGTATATTATGGCGTGAAGAGATGAGTGATACAGACTACCCAGAGTTGTGTATAAGGTGGCATGAAGGGTGTGTAGTGAAACAAAATTCGTACATGGTATTGAGCAACTATAGAGTTAAGTACCGGTAGTATATCAATCCCAGCTGCCACTGGCAAGTAACATGTGCAGGCATAAGATGTCTCCAACACCTATATCAACCGCAAGCGTAACGCACAGCACAAAGTTGACCCCAACGCCATTTCCTTGGCCGTATGCTCAGCCAAAAATCCCTCAAAGCCAGATCCCTAACGCCAAATCTCTCAAGCAAAGCCGATATGAAAGAATAAACCAAACCTTTGAGCTCAATGCCTACTCATCATCAAGCCCATATTCATTGTCCATCTCGGGATCATCCTCGTCGTAGCCACCCTCGTACTCGCCGCCACCTCCAAACTCTTCGCCCTCGCCCTCGCCCTCACCATACTCCTCCGGCTCCTCGTACTCTTCCTCATCGTGCTCCTGGACGTCATCCCCGGCAACACTCTCGTCGGGAGCCTCGCTGGCGTCGTCGTCGGCGCCAAAGGTGCTTCCGGCCAAGCTGGTCTTGCGGCTGGTAGCCGCAGAGCCAAGCCCGACATTGGGAATGTCAAAGATGCTGCGGATGGCATCGTAGTTGATCCGCTTGGACCACGCCCGGTCCTTGGCCACGCCGATGGCGGCCTCTGCGGCCGAGCTGGCGGGGCTCGTCTGGCCCTCTCCCATCCTGGCGCGCTTTCTCCGCTTGCGCGTCTGCTTGGGGCGCTCCGCCTCCATCTTGCGCCGAAACACCTTTTCCTGGTGCTTCCTGAGCCAGTCCTTGTTCTGGTTGACCCAGATAATCTCCTTGATGCGGGCTTCTTCCGGCGAGAGCAGGCAGTTGATGACCTCGGGATCGTCGGCGAACTCGTCCTCGGTGACGTCGGCCGCCATGGACACTTCTTTCTGCGGTTGCTGCTGACGAGCCCACAGGGAGTGGATGCGAGCGCGCTGCTCGGCAGTCGAATAAGCAAGAGCGTGCTCATAGGTTAGGGGGTCGTTGAAAATCTCCTCAATGACTCCCTCGAGCTCCTGTTCATCTTGCTCCCATTCTTCGTTGATGGGAAGCTGAGGCTTGGCGCGTTTGCCTTTGCCTCGGCCCGCGGACTCTTGATCTGCAGCCTCTTCTTGATCCAGAGCGTCTCCGAATGCTTCAGCGAGATCTTCCAGGCCCTCGGTGCCGTCTTCGTTTTCATCCTTTGATGGGTTGAGACTGATGTTGCCCTGTGGAATTTGCGAAGGCAGAGGCGGGATGATGAATCCATCAGCGTCTCGGCGATAGTTGACCTCGGGCGCCTTGGAAAGGTCTGCTCCGCCCTCCACATGTCGCTTGGCTGGGGCCTCTTCTGGGTTCTGTTCTTCGGCGGCTTCGCCTGTGATGCCGCGCTTGCGCTTGCGTGACCTCTCCTCTGCCTTCTTCCTGTACTCATCCGACTTGCGGTAGAATGAGGGAGGATCGTGTGAGCTCTCCAGGAAATCTTGCTTCAAGAAATCCTCGACCGACATGCGACTTGACTCGGTGTTGTTAAACTCTTGCAATCGGTTCTGAATTGTGTGGTTTGTGACTTTTACAATGTAGACGACTTCGCGAATTGTTCGTCGAAAGTTGTGCATGCGAGCAGCCATGAGCAGACAGGCACCGCAAATACCAGAGGGACGACGGCCCATAACCATCCAGTCCCTGCTCATGCGCTTGACCAGCCGAACGGCATCCTCGGCGACCTTGGCGGTGTCCTGGTGAAACTCCATCTTTGTCGCGAATCGCCAGATGAGATCCTCGGGGTAGACTGGGATCAAGCCGTCGGCGCCAATCGGCACCACCTCGTTGAGCTTCTTGAAGATGCGCCCCAGCTTGAAGACGTTGAGCTGGACCAAGTCGGCCAAGTCGATGAGCATGACCTTGCAGGGCGGCTCAGCTCGGCAGGCCGCATAGAGGCAGACAGCCGCAACGCTGGCGAGGGTGCGGCCCTGGATAAAGTTGGCGCTGGACGCAAGCTTGAAGACCTGGGTGCCCGCGGTGACGAGGCTGTCGCTGATGTTGAGCTGCTGCGCGTAACCCTGCATGAGGCCGCGGGCCTCGCGGATGCTCTTCTCCCTGTCCTCGCTGCCGCCGACTCTCCTAAAAGCCGGGCCCATGCCTCTAACACCGGCCTGATCGGCACCGACAAAGGTTCCCTGCACCATGGCAGCTCCGGACGAGGTCTCGCCGAACTGGACCTCGGAGACGATGTTGCTGTCGTCCGCGACACGGCCACAGGTCTGGCAGGTTCCGTCGACGACATTGGGCTTCGGACAGGCCTTGTTGGCGCACTGCTGGTGAGCGGGAGTGACGACGCCCGGCCGCTGGATGGACGATGCGCGAGCCAGAGCAGACGCATGAGAGCGTTCTTCACGCTCGCGGAGGGCCCGGACGGGATTTGGCCTAGCAAAGCGAGGTTTGGAAGGGCCGCTGCCCTGCCCTGCCGGCCGCTTGGGCGGTGGCGTGAGAAACGACATGATGGCAGCTGTCGTGGGTGCTGCTGTTTTTGTTGTTGTCGTTGTTGATGTTGTTGATGTTGTTGTTGTTGATGTTGTTGTTATTGACGACAGATGAGTGTTTGGGTGTGAGGCGGTAATATCAAGTCGAGATGGATGAGGCGATTGATGAAAAAGCTCTAAGTGAGCAGCAGCGAAATATCGATAACCAGAGCCAAGAAATTCCGGTTGCAGCAGCAGCAGCAGCAGCAGCAGCAGTTTCGTCGTCCTTCTTCTTCTTCTTCGCTCCTCCACGCAAAGGCTCTTTCACAAGCGACCGTCCAGCCGTTCTAAAGAGAAAGACCCCCGTCTCTGGCCGTCTATGCAGGGTTCGTGAGCGCAAGCGACAAAAGACTTGATGCAAAGGCCAAGACGAGCTGCTCTCCTCTGAATCCCGGCACCATGTGGGAATCAGAGCATGAAATCCGAGGCGTCGCGCTGAGGCTGGCAGAAGAAAAATGTCGAGAAAAAAAAAGGCGGGCGGGGCGAGATTGTGAGGCTGTTTGACGGCCAGGCAAGACTAGTGGCCGAGTGGGGAAGACGCTCGCTGAAAAAAACCTGTGTGCGTCTTTCCGGGCAAATCGAGTACTATTAGCAGGCGGTTGGTTGTTTGGTGCAAAGCCGCTGGTTCGAATCGTGCAGTGCTCGATTTTTTTTTTTTTATTGTTTGCGATATGATGAAGTCGACAGACGGTCAAAAGATGCGTTGCTTGAGATGCCGAGATGCGCCCGACGGTATCTGTGATGGATTTCCTTCGCTGGATAGACTTCCCGTCAAAGCAACCTTTACAAAGAGTCGGTGGTAGTGGAATTGAAAGAGATGAATTTCTGGTCTGTCGAACTGGCAAGGCAAAGTTTGAAGCCTTTGCTCGAGAACTGTGGTCGGCCCGACCGCTTAATTGTCGGCTGTCTGTCTTCTCACTTTCACCTCGCTGTGACTCTTTGGCCGACTTTCCTCCATCCCAAAGGAATCAATCATTCTAACGCAATATGCTGATTCGACATGTTGGCTCGCACAGGATGGCGGAGTTTCAATCATCATGATGGAAGGCAGCAGCGCATCAGAATCAGCAAAAAATACGGCTCTTGTCGTCGCTGTACGAGCCCAGTATTACTTGTCTAGCCCCGACACTCCCCGCCTGCGATCCGTGTACTACTAACTATCCCACTTCCCCCGCTCCCGTTCCCCGGCTATAGATCACTACTACTACCTAGTAGAGCCTGCAGTGACATATATAGTATCCATATCTCAGTTGCAAGCAACAGCGGAGTATTTACATGCGGAATTCCATCGTAAGCCGGTGAATTGAATGTCTTGGCCTTACCAAATACTCCGATATCGAGCTTGACTTGTGATGGATCAGCTGGAGTTATAAAGGCTCACTCTAGCCCGTAAAATCAAATCTATTTTCGCATCAACTCAAACAATAACATCACCATTACCACCATTTGAATTACCGTGAATATCCATCATGGCCTCATTCGCCCTCTCCGCCCCAGCAAACACCGACGTCTGGAAGAAACCCCCCTCCCACGACGTCTTCACCGGTAGCCCTCTCCCCTCCCCAAGAACCTCACTCACTCACCCACTCACCCACCCCACGCCTACATCACCACCACCATCCCTTCCGACGGAGCAAACTATCTTCCTATGTCTGAAAACTAACCAACAAACACAAAACAGCCCCCTACAAATCCCTCTCCAAGAACCCCTTTCCAAAATTCCGCTCCGCAAGCCTCACCTTCACAGCAACATACACCCACCAATTCGACCAAGCCGGCATCCTCCTCCTCTTCACCCGTCCCTCCTCCAGCACCCCCCGCAAATGGATCAAAGCCGGCATCGAGCACTTCAACAACGCGCCCCGCCTCTCCACCGTCTGCTGCGACAACTGGGCCGACTGGAGCGTCGCCGACGTCTCCTCTTCCGCGGCAGACATCCAGGCCGGTGCCAAGGCCGTGACCATTCTCGTGGAGAGGCTGGATGCGCATGACGGGTCGTGCTTGTGGGTGTATCGGGTCGAGGGCGACGAGAAGACGCCGATGAGGGAGATTTGCTGGCCGTATGGCGATAATGGGGGGCAAGGATGGGAGCTGGAGGTTGGGGCGCTGGTGGCGAGGCCGAGTAAGGATGTGAAGGATGAGCTGGAGGTGAAGTTTGAGGGGATCGAGGTCAAGTGGGACGATGCTTAGATGGCTGCTGCTTCTTCTTCAAGGCATCATACATCCAGACACTTGGCTCATGGTATTTGTTGTTTTTTTCCAAGTGTTTTCATCATAGGTAGCTTATACACAAGACTCATGATAGTCACCGGCGAGAATCAAACACGTGAGGTGCGAAATTGTCTCATTAACCTCAACCCTGACACGGAACTCCAGTCAGGGAGGACCGCTACTAGATAGCGACCCTATGGACTTGTTTTTCTCGTTTTTTTTTTCTTTCTCTGTGTTTCTTTCGTTATACATCTTTTGGCCTGCGCTTGTGCCCCCAGGGCTACACCATGCAGAAAAGCCAACATTGTCATTTGTCATGTCTTCGTCAAAAGGAGGAAAAAGAAGAAGAAGAAGAAAGAAAAGAAGAAAATTATCAGGCGCAACGCTCTGATGTTCCAATCTTGTCCAAGAGAAAACAAAATCCGTCAACCCGTACCGTAAGCATACTGAAATGCTGCACCCGGGTGATTCTTCCCATTTGTATCCAATTTCGAAGAAAACTGTTCCGCTCCGTTGCATCCACAACACCAAGAAGCAAATTCGTCAGGAGTTTGAAACAAATCCAAAGAAGATCGTGTTCTGACAAAGAAAGCCTCCGAGGCTGACATCTTCTGTCTCTTTTTTTGTCTGTTTCTCATGGTGCTGTACATGCTGTGTGCTGTACGTGGGCTTATACAAGGTTCCAACTTGACAATTTGACCAAAACACCAAAGACGCGAGGAATTCCAGCGCCGTGAAACGAAAGCAAAGAGGAGTTCGCTCAAGGCTTGCAATGAATTTGAACGGTGTGCAAAAGCCAGGCAGTGTGCGAAACCACGCTCAATGCAGCCAATCCGTACGCAAAGAGAGAAAAATGACTCGAGGCCGGTAAGTTGAAGCAGTGATGAAGACGCCGTAATTCGAAGTCATCAGAACACCAAACGACCAAAAACGGGTACAACAGCAAAAGACATTGAAGCAGCGACCAAATGCCGACACAGCATGAATCGTGACTGGTCTTGACAAGATGCGCAGAAATGCTTGCTAAGGGGGTTCCCATTTTACCATTTGAATCTTTCTCTTTCCTTGTTTCCTTTCATTGTCAGACGGGCGGCTCGCTCAGCCAGTTCCCCCTGCCGAAAAAAAAGGGTGACGCTGTTCTCCTGTTGCCGTCCATGATCATGATATCAACCGCTCTCTCATACAGTCTTGGGAGAGCGGTTGTTGGTAACGTCAATAACGTCATCCAAGTGGTTGCACATGGCGACAAACAGGTCAAAGAACAGCTTGCTGCCACCGGCCTCCATCTCGGCCTGCATCGTGCCGCTGCGCTTGAACGTCTTGCGGCAGCGGATGATGAGCGCGAGATAGTGGGCGCGCAGGCGGCTGTCCGAGTCGGGCGTGTTTGCGTAGGCGTACTGGGCCGACCGCAGGATGGTGCCGACGTCGATGCCGGCGTGCAGCCCCTGCTTGCGGAGGGCCAGCCGCTTGAGCTCCTCGAGGCCGTACCGGTCCGCGGCACAGTAGATGACGGTGTCGCGCAGGACCTCGGCGCCGACGCTGGACAGGTAGACGGCGGCATCGGAGCCGGCGCCTGCTGCGTGATGGCCGCCGCCGCCGCCGCCGCTCCCGTGGTCCGGGTTGGGCGACGACTTCTGGGGAGTTCTCATGCGGTCCTCGAGCTCCCACGAGTTGCGGTGCCTGTTGTGCACCAGGCGCGGGTAGTAGTCCCCCTTGTAGAGGTACTCGAGGACGGCAGAGAAGATCTCGGGCTCCTCGTCGGGGAGCGAGATCCTCTTGCTCATGGCATCCGAAGAGTCCCTGCCGCAGGCGGCCTCGAAAAAGGGCGACTGGCTGAGGACATCCTCGTGCGCCGCAAAGAGGCGGCCCTCGCGGCCGACGGTCAGGGTGACAATCGGCGAGGGGGTGATGTTGACGGGCTGGGCGGGCGCCGCTTCGTGCTCTATGATGGAGCTCTGCAGCTTGGACACCTTTTGCTTGACGTGCTCCTTGGCCTTGTCCTTGGAGGAGCCGGGCTTCTTGAGCCGCGACGACTTGTCCACGCGGTTCTGGTCTTGCTGGGACCGGAATGCGCGCTTGAACATGTTGGCGGGCTTGAGCTGGCTGAAGAAGGAGGTGTCCTTGTCTCTGTGCTTGTCCTTGTGGGGGGCGCGGTGGTTGTGCATGAAATCAGAGTTGATGACGCCCTCTCACGTCGGGGGGAGACTCTGCATAGAACTTGTTTTGACTTGATATAAGAGAGCGACGAAGAGTTGTGGAAATGAGCGGCTGACTGGGAAGTGGAATAAATAGGATGGAAAACAGAAATGCTAGCACACAACTAGAATTCCCAAGAGAATAATGAATGAATGACACACAATGAGTGAGGAACAAGAGAATTGTCGGGGGTCCGGGGCGCGGAAAGGACCACCTTCTTATACATTCAGAAAGAAGATGGCTCTTCTCGCGAGAAGCTTTGCGACCCTCTTTGGCTTGCGTGTGGGGGAGGAAGAAGAAAAGAGGGAGAAAAGCTGGGAAAAGAGACGGGATCCACTATTTGTACCTTGTTGTTGCAGACACAGTTCCAGCAGGTAAAAGGTAAAAGATACATGATTTCAAGCTGCAGCGTCAATCTCGAGGCCTAGGAGGCGACAATCAGGTCTGGCGTCCATTTTCTTCTTGTTTTTGGGGGTCTGTCTCAGCCACGGCGGCCGCCAGCGAAGAGCAGCGGGGGTACACAGTACTTGGGGACGCCATGTCCACGCCGCCGTGCTGGAGAGTTGCAGACACCTGCACTTTGCGGTACTGTATCTTTTTTTGGTCTTTGGAGAGGGGGGTGCGTGGTTGCGTGTGGACGATGGATGATGCAGGACGACATCACCAGACTGGGCCAATGGCAGCAGTCGGCCAGGTGACTTGGCCGGGAGCCGGAGTCAGCATCCAATTGGAGCTGCGTGTTCCCCTCCCCTCTCCTCCAACGGCTTGTAATGTACGTAGTTACTCCTCGTCCCGTCACGGGCAATCTTTGGGGGGGCACGAGAGGACGGAGATACATGCGGTACCAGGTATCTATGCACTCGCCAATAGGGACGACGCTGAGTAGGCAATGCGGCAAGCCAAATCACTGGGCAACAAGTGTCGTGAAGAAAAGAGCACGCCCGGTAACGGTGCCGAATCAGAGACATGTCTCATCCCCTCTTTGCTCGCAGGTGGCCATTCACGTGTACAGGTAATGCTCGGATGTAGCCATTCATACCTACGCACATGTCGACTTACATACAGCCATTCAAGCGTACATGTTGACTCGACGTACATACAGCCACTCAAAAAGTACATATCAACTCGCATTCGGCCACTCAGTGTACATCCCGACGCACATATTGCCACTCCCAATGCAATGTACATACAGCGACCTCGCATGTAGCCATTCATACGTACATGCGACTCTGCAACATGCTTCCCCCCGTACAGCGCCGTACAGTAAGTACATCGAATAGAACAAGCCGGATAGGACAAAACTCGGCCATCTTGTCGCCTCCCTAAGGTCCCCCTTCAAATTTCCCAGCTGTACGCACGCTCTTGATTCCCGTTTCTGTACTTCTTTACCGAAACTTACTCAGGTAACGTGCCATGACGAGCTCCCTTTCGTCCTTTTACCCTTATGTCCTTTTTTTTTTTTTTTTTTTTTTTTTTTTTTTTCTGCTCTTCGCTTTGCCTCTTGTTCTCTCATCACGCTTCAGACGCAAGACAAGCAAAAAAAAACCCCAAGACCTCAAGTCCTACATCCCACCTGAGACATGCAACTGCCCTGAAATCCTGCACACACAACACTGCCTAAACGTGCAGTACTAGCACTTGTGCCGTTAAGGTACCTACAAAGGCAAGAAATGCACTGAAGCCCAAATATAGCACGATACGCACATCCCTTGCCATCGAAGCGACCCACTCACTACAACAGCTCCCAAGCTGTTTGAATTCTTCCGTAGTATAGTGGTCAGTATGCAAGCTTGTCACGCTTGAGACCCGGGTTCAATTCCCGGCGGGAGAGAAGAAACCGCCAGCTTCGATAATCTTTTTTTTTTGCCCTTTTTTCTTTTCTTTCTTTATTACGTACTACTACTATCTTACCTCTGTTATCCAATCATCGTCACATATTACCTACACCACTGCATGCATGCAGTCAGTCCCCTAAATCTTGCTTTGCTTTCTTGTGCATGTCCCCCTCATACTAGGTAGGTAGCATGGATGCGCTTCCGTCAGACGCTCTCTGAGAGAACTGGGAGACTCTCCCCTGCGGTATCTCTACCACGTGGTCCCCGCCAAATCCCCTTCCACCATTGCAGGCACAAGGTACTGGGTACCTGTGACGTGTCCCGCGGTGAGGGGTTCAGTCAGTCAGTCAGTCCGGGCAATTCAATCCCAGAAACCGAGGCACTGCAACTGATTGAGAGTGACTGACTGACTAACGGATCAACTGCTTCGCCTCGCCCCGAACCGCCCACGGCAACGGTTCCGGTCCAAACGCCAGCTGCCACGCATGCCCTCCGTCTCTCCCAGTGACCAAACGTTTGGCTTGACAAACAAACAGCCTGACAAACCGTCGACGTGTTCCCCCTTCCACCATCTCCGCCCGCCTCTAGTCTGTTTCATCCCCTCAACCCCTCCCTCTACTTCAGTCCCCCAGGGTGAGACCGAGATACGATACATGCGAGCATCGCATCGCGGCAGCGCCAGAAGACCACGGATTGGTTCTAGTCAGGAACGCGAACACCTTGAGATTGCTTCTAGGTTAAGAGTATGCTCTAGACTGCTCTCCCCCCACAATGACAGCGCATCAGTGCGGCTTTTTCATAGGACGGCCACGATTTAAACACGGCCGCCGACCATCGGCCAGGTCCCTTGATGCGTCACTCTACCAAAAGGAAGCCTCCGATTCCTCCCAAGCAACAAGAGTCACGATCGTTGCTCCGTTATTACCCCTCCTCCGTCAGCTGTCTGGTGTGTCTAGGCCCCCAGAGCGTCCTGGACAATGACGTAGGGTCGGATCAGCGACTCCCGCACGCCAACGAAGCCCTGCATGAAGATGAGGGCTGTAGCCATTGTTAGCCGCCGTCCACCAGCACCAGTTGCAGGGCCTTACCAATAGGGGCCAGCAGCACGAAGCCGATGCTGTATGCCACCACCGCTTCTGTCGAGCCGACCTGGGCCGCGTCCAGGAAGAAGAATGGCCAGACGTCGGTGGCAGCGTGTCCAATGAAGGCCCAGCCAATGTACAGGGCAGCAAATACCAGGAGGGCGAAGAGATAGCCGCCGATGCCCTGCGCCCACGTCAGTATCGGCTGCAGCGGCTAGACTGCCTACCACCACTCACATTGGGGCGCCTGATGCTGTTGAGGAAGAGCACCTCGGTCACCATGATGCCTGGCGTGACCGCGTACAGGTTGATGAGGACAAAGGCCCGCAGCCACCCCTCGCCAAAGATGTCACTGACTGCAAGCTCGTGTCAGTGTGCGCCTCCTTCTTCTGCCATCTCAACGTGGAAGGATGTCCCTACATGGGCCAGCAAGTGTCATCGCTGTCGCATCCCATAGCTTGACTTGGTCAGGACATCCTTGGCTGAACAGCCCCAAGACAACGTGCACCAGATCATGCGGCCGCGTGACGAACCAGTATATCGCCGAGTTCATGAAGGAGTAGGCGACGGTAACAAAGTAGAACAAGGTGAAGTAGAATTGGTAGCGCGCGTTGCCCAGGTCTCTGGGCAAAGACATGAGCCTGATGATGGCATATTCAACCCGTCCATCGACGTCGTCGGCATCGGGATAGTACAGGTGGGTGAATGTCCATGACTGTAGAGGTCAAGGTTAGATATGCAGAGCACGTCTTGTTGATTCGACGCATCGATGCATATGACCTACGAATGTGACTACAAAGTACCAGAGAACCAGCCCAAAGCTGATGATGGGGAACTCGAAAAAGAGCCGCCAGTTGGTTGCCGTTTGGGCTAGAGTTGAGAAGCTGGGGTCGTTTGGGTCAGATCCGGGATCGTTGGGGTCCAAGTCTCCAGGATCGGATGGGTTTCCGTTGAGAGGCGGATTCGTCAGCTCATAGTTCAAGATGAGGATAGCCGCGACAGTGAGATAGGCGAGGATGGAGCCGCGGATAAAGGAGAGCACATTTTGCGGTATGAGGGACCATGGGGAATGGCTGGCGCGTAGGAAGACGGGCTGGATGGCAGCTCATTAGCAGCGAATCTCTCTCTATCTGTCTCATGGCTGTGTGGACCGTATGCACTTACATGGTCTTGGATCAAGGCCGGGCGGTTGCCGAGCAGAGGCGCTGTATCCATTGTTGGTGTAGTATGATCAACACGATCAGGAGTTATGGAAGGGAAAAAAAAAAGACGGGCAACTTGTTACTGATACTTGATAAAGCTCGCGTTCAGCCGAACTCGTGGCAGGGGATGGAAATATGAGGAGAATATGCGATAGGTCCGAGTACACGCAGTGAGAAGGAGTATGTAGAAGGCACCGAACGGTGATTGATGGTAACTTGCAAAGGTGTTTTGGTCTGCCCGGGGCAACGGGACGGTCAGGCAGATGTGAGGGCTCGAACTAGGAAAGAGAGCTGCGATGGCATCGACGTAAGGCATGGAAGGCTCAAAGGCACGACATCTGTCGTGGAAGGCGAGCTTCAGCTGCTGAATTGTGTTCCGTATTCCACGATATTCCTCGATTTAATTTACAATATGTGTACAAGACTCGCAGTCGATCGTCCCCCTCGGTGTTACCTACTACGCAGCAAGTGAACTCGATTGACATCAACATTTACAACCTTCAGTCGCTCCTCTTCTGAGAACTCGCCGCGCCCTCCTTCTGCATGCCCTCGCAGCCAGTCAGCTTGCCCGCCCACTCCTCAGCCTTTCCGTAGCCCTGGTTCGGATCCCTCTTGTCGGCGGCCTTTCTCATTGCGTCGACGGCGGCTGCTTTGTCGTGCTCTCCCGAGGCGGACCAGGCCTGCGAACCGCTGATGCTGCCAATGGTGGACTGTGCGTGAAGAGATTTAGCAGATGTCATTGAAATTGAAGTTTGAGCTTTCATCGGGTGGGTTCGTTCATACCTCCCCCACGCCCTTGATGTATTGCGCATGAGCTCCCACCAGACTGGGATTCTGCTGGTTCTGGCTCTGGTTTGTGTTGTTGTTGTTGCCGCTGCTGTCCATGGTTGCGATGCTTGGTTCAGGGTAGTATGCGATTGGTATGGGGAGATGCGGTGGTTGAGCTTGGATTGAGCAATCTCTGTTTGCTTGTTGTGTCCAGTAGCGAAGAGAGTCAAGTCAGAGAGTCAATGCCTCCTCTACATGATTTATACTCTCCATTCCAGCCTCTGATTACAACCGATGACATACACGCGCAATGGCTTCCTGGTCCATGACATCAGATCTGGTCCCCGCAGATCGAACTCCAGAATCCCGAAAATGACAAGCAACAGCCACAGGGAGTACGTACCGATGCAAGCTGCAAGCTGGGGGTGGACCCGGCTTGCTTATCGCAGCGTGTGATTGGTCGATACGCGCCAAATAGCCACCATGTCCAGATCGCCCGAAGCTCAAGATCGTGGCATCAATTGGACCAGAATCTGACCAGAGGCATTCAGTTCGATCTTGCTACTACATAGGTAGCAAGTAAACAGACAAACACCAACAAAACGGCTTGTCTGGCATCTCGGCTGCTTCACCATTTTTTTTTTAAACTGCTCAAGAGTCCAGACGTGACAATGTTTGCAGGCCTCCAGAACCCGCGCAGCTTGGCCGCCCAGCTCATGAACTTTGGGCTGGTGCTTTCCACGGCTTTCATGGTGCGTTGCTGCTACACTCCGTCACGTACCCTCTAGCACGGCGCAAGATGCGCTGGAAACAGATCGATCTGACTGTGCAATTAGATGTGGAAAGGCCTGTCCATCGTCTCCGACTCTCCCTCCCCCATTGTCGTCGTCCTCAGTGGCAGCATGGAGCCGGCGTTCCAGCGAGGCGACCTGCTCTTCCTGTGGAACCGCCAGCTGCTCAGCGAGACCTCGGTCGGCGAAATTGTTGTCTACAACGTCAAGGACAAGGACATTCCCATTGTCCACCGGATAGTGCGCAAGTTTGGCCATGGGTAGGTGAAGCTTTGCCCTCTGCGACAGTCTGCATCTGCTTACTCTTCCGACAGCGACAAGGCGAAATACCTGACGAAAGGAGACAACAACGTGGCGGACGACACTGAGCTCTTTGCCAAGGGCCAGGACTACCTCGAACGGTCTGATATGATTGGCAGTGTGGTTGGATACATCCCTTTCGTGGGCTACGTCACGATCCTGCTGTCAGAGTATCCCTGGCTGAAGACGGTTATGCTGGGCATAATGGGCCTCATGGTGGTGTTACAGCGAGAATAAAGATATAAAGGTGTCCAATTGATGGCGAATGAGAAGAGATGTCGGACCGCAGCCAAGATGCAAGGATGACCGGTATGCAAAGCACTTTGGATTCATGCGTGACGTGTGCTGAATGTCTTCTAGGTGTCTTGCGGGCCTGAAGCATATGAATTGAACCATGATGGCTTTGAGCACTTATGCCTCGATGAGACGGTACTCGAAGGCTGTCGGCTTGATTTGCATAGGCGGCCATCAGGATTCCGCGATGACCCCTCGGATCATATAGCGAGTGCTGGGAACGGAAGAGCACTCCCAGGAGTTGTAGACGACGGGCTTTGCCATTCGAGCCCTCATCTTTCAAGTGCTGCGCCATTTGCGACGCAGACTCGATACTGAATGCGGCGGGGATGATGTCTGCCTTGCCCGAGCGACGGCAGATGTTTCACTGGTTTTGGGTTATTCAACTTTGTGCCTCGGCCTCGAGAAATGCTCCTTGAGTGAGGCATTGCCGCACAGACAAGAATCATGTTACTACTAGTAGCAGCGGCTAATACTGTACTGCTGTGCGGCACATGGGAGCGGCTGGCCGAGGAGGTGGGCTCATGGATGTGGATCCTGCTGGCCGCCTTGGAGTCGAGGATTTTGCCTAGACCAACAGACAACACAGGGGGGTGCCTTGACCAAATTTCCCATCTGCTGCAGACACAGCCGCGCCGGTGTTTGGGTGGCGACGTCGAATTTAGTATATTAGCCTTGGCGCTCGCCCTTTTGCCTGGATCGCGGTTGTAAGTTCTTTTTGCTGCAGCCGCTCTCTTGTCGTTCGTTTCGGTGCCGAATCCTGCACCACGTCTCACGCTCGCTTTGTGCCGTTTTCTGGTTACATTCAGTCGTTATTGAAAGGGAACCGTTTGTTTTTTTTGCGTATTATCTGTCGAGTCCTGAGGCTATCGCGGTTCATATTCGCCACACTTTTCAGTCGACTTCTTGATTCATACAACTCTTGATCAGCTCACATTCGATACCGCTCGCTACCATTCAGAGAATCTGTCGCCATGGCCTCCCAAGAAACTCCCGAAATGGCACAGAAAACGGCTCAGACGACCACGGTTCCTGTGGCGCCCGCTCCCGCGCACTCTCTTCCTCAAGAGCTGGCGGCTGCCGGATACCAGCCTTACTACCAGCCTTATCCAGGCCAACCAACTGTTGCGCCTACTCCGGCCGAGTCAACCAAGGGTGCCTACACGAGACTCGGATTCCACGGCGTCGTCGTTGTCTTGGGCGCCATCGGCCTGGGCGTGTCTTTGTCGTCTCTCGGGGGGGATGAGGGCTACGGCATTGGTGCTGCCGCAGCTCCTGGTGTATGTTGTCTCCTTTTTTTCCGCTTCTCCCACAGCCAACGCTGCTGGACTAACAATGACATCTCCAGGCCGCTGCCTGTCTCGCTTGGAGTCTCGCAGAACTCATCACCAGAGCGGTGCGTAAATGGAAAGCCGGCATCCACCCGGGCGCGCACGTGGGCATCTGCCTCATCCTCTGGCTCTTGACGGCCATTATGGGCGGCAGCCTGTCGGCGTTTGTCGCCCTGAACGACGTCTCGGACCGGGACGAGGAGAACTGCATCGTCAACACGTACGACCGGTACGGCAACCTGCACACGTACGACGAGTGCGACGACTACTACGTGCACTACCCGCGGGGCAAGGCGCTGGGCGGCGCGGTGATTACGTGCATGCTGTTCGCCATTGAGTTTGGGCTGTTCGTGGACGCGTGCGTGAGGACGCACAGGCGGAACACGGCCAAGGCGAGGCCCGTCATGGTGATTGCGCAGCCGCAGAACTGGGGGCCCGCGACGCAGGGTTGGCAGCCGATGCGGAACGAGGCTTCGACGGACGGTGTCCAGATGCCTCCTGCTGCTGCTGCTGCTGCTGGTGCTCGTGGACAGGAGCCGGTGAAGGAGTATTATGCTCCTGCTTAAGGGGCTGGCTCTTGGCGAAGGAATGAGATGCTACTCTAGGTATGAAGGGGACGCGAGAATGTGAGAGGAGGTGGTACTATGGATGTAATGGGCTTGGGCGGGTTTGATGTCTTGTTTGATATTTACTGGCGATATGATTCTACGAAGAGCGATTAGACCACGTACCAGCTATAATGACGATGCTACAATCTTGGACTCTTGCATTTTGAGCATCTCTTTCTCTCTCTGCCTCTCTCTCCCTCTCTGTTCTATTCAGCTCACTGTTGACAATCGACCTCTTCTTCGCTCTTCAGCCCAATGGGCGTCTTGCTGCCTATCAATCCCTGCATTTGACTCCATCTTACAAACCCCTGGTACGTGTAAAAAAACTTACATAGAGCCGGATACCCCTGGCTCCTTTCCTAAATAGGTAATGCCCGAAAAATCACGAGATCCACTTTCGTCCTTTCGGCACTTTCTCTGCAGCCAATGATGGTCGAGGAGCGGAATTTGGACCAATCGCCTTTTGCGCTGCGCTCTGATGGACCGAGGCCGGATTTGACAGGGGTCAGGGATAGCTTAAACGCTTGTCTTGGAAATCCTAGGCGAACAGATTCAGGTTCTGTCTGACTCCGACATTTGGCGTGCAAAGTTGGTGCAATGAATGCAGGGCGGGACAGCCTGCCTTGCCTGCCTAGTTTTTGTTAGTTCGATGCTGTCTTTTAATTAGCGATACGCTCCTTGCTGTCAAGTCTAGACCAAGCTGAGCCTGTCCTGATTCATGGGTCATGGTATTAATGCGCTTTGTCATCTTTACCTCTGATCGTTCGTTTGGCGGATAGGCGAGAGAGAGAGCCATTGTCCGCGGGTTCGAGCTGACTTCTTTTTTGTTCGCTGTTTTCTCTTCTCCCTCAATCTTGCGTTGCGCTGTTTGCTCTTGCGTCGCTTGGGTGGGTTTTTTGCATTGCTTTTTCTCGTTCCGGGCGCTCGACGGCTAGAGTCGCGATAGCCTCTTTGAAGAGTTGCTTGACGTCTCTCCTGCTCACTTACGGCCCTTTGCGTTGCTTGCGACAACCTCACTCGTTTCATCTCGACTCCATCGTCAATCTCGTTCGTTGCGAATCTGAGGACACAACTCTCTAATTAGACATCGCTGTCTTGACAAGTCCTCACGACAACTCTACGAAACCTCAACAACCCCGAATCCAGCCTCAACCACACAAACCGACACCCACAATGGCTTCCTCCTCTTCCACCTCTCAACAACAGGGACAACCTCCCCCAGCCCCCCAAACTACAACAGCAACAACAACGCAAACCGCTCCTCAACCGCCTCAACCAGTCCACGCCCCCGCCGGCTTCCAGCCCCTCGTCTACGACGCCCGCAACGCAATCCCCTATGCCCCAATCCCCCTCCCGCAGCAAATCTTTGAGACGCCTGAGCCCGAACCAAACAGGCCCTGGGAACTCACCAAGACGGCGCTCCAGGTCCTGTCCGTCGTCCTCGGCGCCACGGGCGTCGGCCTGGGCTTCAGCACGCTCAAGTACGAATACTTTTACGCCACGGTCCTCATATCCACCATTCCTCCCGTAAGCCCCCCCCCCCCCCTGACACTCCTACCTATATCAGACACAACAAATATCTGACAATGTATGTGGGAAAAAAAAAAAACAGTGCATGATTGCCCTCGTCTGGTCCCTCGCCGACCTCCTCGTCCGCCTCCTCCGCCGCCTCAAGCGCGGCATCCACCCAGGCGCCCACGTCGCCCTCAGCCTCATCATCTTCCTCCTCGGCGCCATCCTGCCCGCCCTCTTCGGCCCCTGGTTCCAGGACTCGTGGAACGGCTACGGCTCTGGGTCTGACTACCCCTGGCAGGACTGCTCCAACGTCTACGACCCCACGACCCACCGATACGTGTACACGTGCACCGACGACGACGACGCGCGGAGGCGCTATCTCAAGGAGAAGAAGGTGGCCATGGCCGCGGCCGTCATCACGTTCATCGTGGCCGTGATGCATTTCGGCTTGTTCGTGGGCGCGTGCGTCGATACGGATAGGGTCAATCGCGTGGCCAAGAGGCCGATTTACGTGGTTGCGCCGCCGCCGCCGCCGCAGATGATGCAGTGGCAGCCTGTGCCCCAGACGATGCCGCAGCAGCAGTATCAGCAGTATCAACAGCAGTATCAGGCTCCTATGCAGCAAACTCCCATGCAACAGGCCCCCCTTCAGACTACCGCTCAGCCTCCAGCCCAGGAAACGCCCCAGACAGAGACAGAAAGCCAGAGCAGGGACAAGGGCAAGGGAAAGGCCACGGACAAGGGAAAAGGCAAAGAGCCTATGCGGGATCCCATCGTGGAGGAGGATGCGCCCAGTGGCTCTCAAGCGTGAGAGAAACATGGTAATGAGTCAAGAAGTGATTTGGGAGTTTGGGGAGAGGACTCACGAGATATGGCGATTCTGGTACAGCGTACGAGACCGAGGGTTGCATATTCCCAGTATATAAAAGGAAGATACCCATACATTTCACGAGACTCGACGCTTGCGTGTCTCTCTCAGTTGCACATAGAGAAGCGAACGATACATACCAGCTAATCATAGTAATTAATACCACAACTTCCGGCATATCAGTCCAAGAGAAGAGCTTATGGCCTTGCTACCTACCTATGAAAGGAGCATCATGAGACAAGAGCATGCGACCATACTATGAACCATACACTTATTTCAACAAGAGAAGAAAACTATCTAAGTATGAAACTCAAAGATACGCAAACAAGAAAATTAGAGTGCAAAATCCCAACATCGCCAAAATCCTCAAGCATGGGTATATCTAAGGGGTCGTGGCGTCGTCATTTTGTTCCCCTTGTCCAATCACTGCCCAACAGACCCTGAAAACAGCTCCGTCTCCAAAGCAAAATAAGAAAAATCAACAGCTCACAGCCTGACAACAAAGACTGCAAAGCAGCGTTGCTTCCCAACCCCCTTTACTATCACTGCGACCCCTACGCATCATCCGAATCCTCCCACCGCCGGGCCACCAGCCTGCGTATCTTCTTAGGACTTCCAGGCCCTACCCCAGCCCTCGACCCGTCGCTAATCTTGATCCGCTCAAGCTTCCTCCCAAGGGTTGACACGGCCAAGTTGTCGTGCTTGCTCGAGGGTCCGGCCGGCATCGAAAAGTCCTCCCTCTCCTCGAGCGGCTTGCGCTTGCTGGGACTGCGGCTCGAAAGCTCCCTCTTGAGGATCGTGTTCTCCCGCCGCAGCCGCTCCAGCTCCTGAGTCAGGTTCTCCACGAGCACGTTTTCCTTGTCAAAGCCCTCCTCGAATCCAGATTCCAGGCCGCGCTCGAGAATGTCCACCTTGCGGTCCCAGTGCTCCTCGTGGCGCTCCTTTTCAATCTGCATCGAGGCCTTGAAGCGCGCCAGTTCCATGGCAAGGCGCTGCTCGAATTCAATCGCGCACTCTTCCCGCACAGCAGCCTCCATGTCAATCATGCGATCCTCCGTACTAAGGAGGTGAGCCTCGGCCGCAATGCGCGCCTCGCTCTGCACCTCAATCTCGTCGCGCAGCTGCTCAATCTCTTCGCTCATTCGCGCAATCTCCAGCGCGGCAATTTCCATCGTCACCCTTTCCTCCGTGGCATTAACGGGCGAAAAGTGGCTTCTCATGGAGCCGAACCCGGCATTGCCAAACGGCCGCGTGTGCTGCGTCGAGTGTGTCGGGCTCGGCGCCAGCATGTTGACGCTGAACGAGGGCGCGCGAGGAACGGTGACGTCTCGGGCGAGAGCGCTGTAGCGCAGAATCTGGGATGTCGCGTTGAAGTCGCCCAGGGGGTCTGCCGTGACAATCATGATGCCTCGCTGGGGGTTTCGGCGAGGAACGTGGCTGTAGGATCCCGCCGCGGATGGGAACGAGTTGGAGAAGAGAATCTCGGTGAGCTTGCACTGTCTGTACGGCACAATATTGGGCTGCTACAGGTTAGACGACATCTCTGCGACGGCCAAACGGGGCTTCACAAGACTCACCTTGCCAGAGCTGATCTCGCTTTGGCTCTGGAGACACTGTCCGAGATACATGAGGCTCTCGTTAATTTTGCCCGCTTCCACCAGAGTCGCTCCCTGAGTCTTTGCATCCCGCGCCCTCTCGCTTCCCGCCAGATCAACAACCGTCAGCTTGCTGCCGCTCCAAGAGTTGTTCTTCCAGCCAAAGGACCGCTTCTTGACTTCAAAGCAGAAGAAGCCGTGGCTCCTGCTGGAGACGTTGTTGCTCCCCGTGCCAGCTACTCGTCTCTCCTGTAGACCAGCCTCGAGCACCAAGAGGGCTTCTCTGGCATCAGTACACACAACCTTGCGGAGACCGGCAACCACCTTGCGATCGGGCGACAGCTCTGTTGGCTTGTACAAAAGGGGTCGGCGACGGTAGTCCTTGTTGTTCGGCGACTTGCTGGCGGGGGTGAGGAGATCGTAGATGCGGTCGTTGTGAACCTCGTACATGGACACAATGACGACGTATTCGGCGGCGGGATCGCAGGGCACGATAAAGTCGCTGACGTCGGGAGAGCTGGGGAGGGAAGAGAGAAGAGTCGAGTGTCGGCGCAGGGTTCGTCGTTGACTCGTCATGCTTTCGCCCTTTTTGGTCTGTTTAGCTGCTGTTGTCTTTAGGCGACTTGCCGCTGTCAAGGACATGAATGGCCGCTCCAACGCCCGCTTGGGCGGTGGATTCCCGGTAACCGTATTGAATCTGCCTATATCCACAGACTGCTGTGTAGGGCGATTCTCCTTGTCCGGTTGCTGCGGCCCCTTGGGCTTCAGCGTGTCTTCATCAGATTCTCCAACAGGCCTGACACTTTTCGGGCTTGTGACGTCTGAATCCGGAAAGGAGCCGGGCATTTGCTGCGCCTTGGGGCGCATTTTGCTGGGAGTGGTTGTCTGGGAGGACGAGAGGGTGGTTGGCTTGTTTCGTACCAGCATTGGTGTGCTTGATCGGGAGCCGGAGCCGCGGTACGTCGCCCCCTGATCAGAGTTCATCGTGTCGAGAAAGTAGGGCGCCGTGACGAGCGTGGCTTCCGAGGCATCGCAGGCTTGGAGAGAGTCGAGCGTGGGCGACTGGGCGGACTCGACCATGTTGTCGATGATGGAGCGGAAGATGACGTCGATGGCCAGCTGGGCGAGGCCGCGCTGGTTACGGCTGCCAAGGATCGTATGCGTCTACCCCTGAGGTTAGATGGACACAGCCAAACACCTCGCACCGCCGCCTGCGTACCTTGCCTGAGCCGGTGACACCAAGCGTGGCCACGACGGCATCCGTGCCGTCGCCGCCCTGAGGCGCCAGCACGCCCTCGATGAGCGACGACGTGTCCGTGCAGTGGAAGACATCGAGCTGGCTGGCGTCCTCCTCAAAGACCTGCGTGAAGCCAAACCGCTCAATGGCCCTCCGTCGATCCGCGGGCGGGTTGAGCGTGATGTGGGACGGGTGCACTTTGTCGTGAGGGTCTTCGACGTGGAGAATGGGCTCGGTCTGGGGCGCGCCTGGATACGGGGGTCGCAGTCGGAGATAGACCTCGAAGAGCTTCTGGGTGATTGAGCCTGGCTCCATGGCGACGCGACGGGAGGTCCGCCTGTGGCGACGAGAATTGCTAGAGCAAAGAGAAGGATGATATGATATAGCGATGATATGGTAAGTAGCGTAGTAGTAATACTAGTAGATGTTTGCGCTGATGATGGCTGGGGATCTATTAGACCAAGATGTGTAATGGGGAAAGTGATGATCCTTGAAGATACCTAAGGTATGTAGGGGTTAATCTTCTAATTTTGTACCCACTGTTTACTTGTTGCCGCATTAGGTGACCTCGCTGCCCGGCAACGCCAAGGCGGAGGTCTCGTAATTTGACGGCCCCGCTTATTATCCGCGCGGCTGAACTCTGGCAGATGGCAGCTGGAGCTGGAACAATGGGGGTCCGCGATCCGGCGGGATGGAAAAATGATTCACCCCCACAATTCCAGCCTCAGGTTGCAAATGTGAAAAGATACCTAGTACAGCAGCCTCGTACACGTACCTGTCCGGTCCCGAAACGGCCCGGCGCGAGATACGTACCTAGGACAAGAGGCCAACCAAGCCAAACCAAGCTTGAGGCTGCCGCCTGGCTCCACCCCCTCAATCTCCCAATCTAGGACTTCTCCTCACTCTCTCCCTCTCTCTCGCTTCCTCGCTCTTACACTGCATGTCCTTTGACAGTTTCAGCCTCGAGCGTCTCCTTCTCCTCGTCCGCGACCACAGAGAATCTTCTGGCACCTTCTCTTCTCATCCACGACCGTCGCTGCTTTTCAATCCTCGCCCTGAAACGATCGGCCAAGGGCGCGCCGTGCTTATCAAGTACATGATGCCCGTCATTAGGCAGACTCACCAACCGCTCAACTGGATTGGATAATGACGCCTAGCGTTTGAGGAACCATGTCCCTCCAAGACACCTGACCATCAAAGATGCCGGCTGCAACTCGTCCTGAGCCTTGCCCTCTTGGTTTTGCCACTCTGTCTACTTTCTACCTCGACAAGCGGGCCGTCTTAGAGAATGAGCTGCGTTCAATTCATTACTACCATTACGGAGACTGAAAGCGGTTACAGGTCGCTGATTGCGAAGCACGAGAATCCTTGCAATGAACTCAATCAAATCACTCAGCCAGAAACGCCACACGCCATTGCCCAACGTTGGTCACCAGCCCTCTGCCCACCTTTTCCTTTCTTCCGACCTCTGTTCAACTTGTTCTACGCCGACTTCATCCGCTCAATGTATGCCATTGCATATTCCACTGCCATTGGTCAGTATCACCACGCAAGTGAATGCTCGCACCATCAGAGGCAACCTACATTGAGTCTCCATTTTCTCGGGGCCTGCCATGTGCCAGGTCTCGTTGATTCTGCCCTCCTCATCGACGCAGCAGGGACAGAAGACGAAGTGGGTGGGCAAAGGCGACAACTCAGGCATCGGCAATAGCCGGTCCCTTGGTGTGCTGGGTGCGATGGAGATGCTATCCCTTCTGCTGCGAGTGCTTTGAGAGGCGTCCTCATAGTTGTAGGAGCTTCCAGCAAAGACTTGTTGCTGAGGTGAGGCAATTGGCTCGCACCATGCGCCAAAACCCTGAAGGTCTCGACTTGTGTGTGAGCCATGGGTACGAGGCACAAGCTCAACCTGGCCACGGCGGTAATGGAAGTCTTCTGGGGGAGGAGAGGGGAGTTGATGTGCTCTGACCCTTCTAGGTCTCACGGCCAAGTCTTGGCTTGTTCCTCTTGATGACACTGATGCTTGGGCTAGGACAGAATCGAGCTCACGTGACGAGCGACGAGAGGAGGAGTGATGATGAACAGCTTCACCCTCCTCTGAGCACCGATGGCGCTTTGTCGAAGGGCCCGAGCGATGCTTGCTATGGCTCCTATGTGCCATGACATTGTCAATGGCGGCAGTGCGAACGCGAGGCTCCATATAGGTTTCGCGAGACCTCTTGGTGTCGGCCCTGCCATAGTCAAGGCTCATGCCAAGCTCCCTCAAGGAAGTCGGCGACCTTCTGTCCACCGCGATGGAACTCATGGTTCAATCAATGGCACAAGGTGCTGTGTGATGATGGTGGCCTCTTGTGTCGAACCTATCCCGAGTGGGGTGGCCGGCAGAGGTGAGGCAGGGAGGTGAGTGACGGCGAGGTGTTGCTTGACAACTAACAGGATGAAGGAGTGCAAGGGGTTCCAACAGCAAGACTCTTGTGAGCTCAGCTCTGAGAGATGTTTCTTGGTTGTTGGTTGATAAGATGTGAGTCGTCGAGGTTGAAGAGGGGAGAGTGATGGGGAGAGGATAGTCGGGGGGAGACTGCTTTTATACCCTGAGGTCCGGAGGAGGGAGCCCCTTGCTCTCGGCCAATGAGAGCCCCCGTCTGGACACTACCTCTCCCGATGTACCATCCTCCTTCTGACATCTCCCCTCCACCTGCAGGCCTTTGTCATCACCCTCACCCGCTCGCACTGCTCCCCAGACATGCTGGCCATCCATTATCTGGTTGCTGCCGTCGCCGGGCTACATAGTCCCCGATATCACGCACGCACAATGCCCTTTTTGGCAACTCACTGTCGCTGGCATAGAGATCCGGTTTGTCTCTGGTTTCATGCAAGAGGAGGCATCGAGCGATGGTCCCCTGGCTGCTGCAACAGTCGACAGGTCTTGACTCTTGCACCCGCGAGCAAGCATGCATGCATATGTCTTGCCTTCTATTCTTGCCTTTTCTGGGTTTTGCGTGCTGTCATTCCCATTTGGCGGCTCCTTCAGGGATATGTTTCCCGTCTCCCCTCAAGTCCTACGCGCTCTTTTGTGCAACGTCGCTAGCTTACGACGCAGCCTCACAAGCTACCTCGCAATGGAATTCTTGGCGGTCGGGGCTTTTCCTAATGTCCATGTCGCTGGTGATGCCAAACTTCATCTGTTGGGGTCATCATCTTGGGACGACGATCACAACCCTGCGTCGTCTACAAGGATGAGGCTTTTCCCTCTTCGTCTTCGTCCTTGAGCCGCCGATTGGCCATAGCCTACGGCGTTGATATCAATGGGCGCCGTTATATCGGTTGACATAGCTGCTTGTACGACTTGTACCTCGTATATCGTATTGCTTCCCAATCCTCCTGCGGATTTAAAACTATGTAGTATACTACTACCTATAAGATATCGTCACTGGTGAACTCGACTTACGTATCTCATAATCCTTTTTGATTCTCAATATCACCACAAAATAAAAGAACTCACATTATTGAAATCGCAAGAGCTATATGCCGCATGTCGGTCGTCAAGACAGCACGTCGTCTCATATGGAGCATCGAGGTTGGATCGGCTGAGTCATCAGCGCTGACTCATCATGCAGCACCCAAGCTCCTTAGTCAGCGCCACTTGAGGAGGCACTTGTGTAGGCCTGCATACGACGACTTCCACGCAATCACGAACCAATTCAATATGTTCGAAACTTGATCCTTCCTCTGAATAGTAAATAATGAGAAATAAAGAATTTTTTCTCTCAAACATGATGGTCTTGATGATGCTGCTGAGAAGAAATCCCTCGAATACATAGCATGTGAAGAGTTGAGGCTCTTTGATAATACTTGGCACTCCACGGTGGAGGCCGCAGCAGTAATTAAGGTAGGTACTTACACACAAGAGGAAAAAACCGGGCAAGACGCAAATGAGACGGGACTCGAAACCAAGTACATAATACCTCTGTGCCTAACAAAGAACGCGGCGGCTAAAGTCAAGGGAAGAAAGCCTGCGCTAATCAAGGATAAAAATAGGCGGGAGAAAGCGGCACGGGAAGCAAGCCACATTGTGGCTTTTCCTGATTCTTTACAAGCAATGCTACAGGGGAAAAAAGAGCGTTAGAAGGAGGAGCGCGTTGATGAGACTCTGGGTGTGGCTGGTAATTGACCTGGACGCGCCGCAGCAAATAATACTTTATTACGGGCAACCTTGAAACTGCTGCTGCTTCTTGTCTTTCTGTCTCTTTTTCAGTTCTTGTGATTTGTTTTGTTTCCAGAACCTGCCTGACTACGTGACAATTAATTGGTTGATCGATTGATTGGGTACATTCACTTTCCATCCTCTGTCATTTCCATTAGGTGGTAAACATGCCCCCAAAGCGAACAAGAGACGGCGGTGATGCGGCCGCAGCTGAACCCATCGCTAAGCGGCGGTCGGCTCGCCAGGCGGCAGCTGCATCAACAAAACAAAGCGAAGACAAAGCTCAAGTGACAAAGGAGGAAAAGAGGGCTACGCCCGCCAAGAAGCCTGCTGCCAGCGGAAAGGAGACCGAATCTGACAAGAAGCCTGAGAGCAAGGCAGCCACAGCGACTGAGAAGAAGAAGAACAAGGACGAGAAGGCCAAGAACAAGCCCAAGAAAAACACCAAGACAAAGAAAGAAGAAGAAGAAGAAGATGAAGATGATACCGACAGGAAGGAAACAAATCCATCAAACCCCAAAAAGCAGAAAGAGGACAACAACTTAGGCTCGAGAGCCGTCTCCGAAGACCCAGACGTCGACTCCATCCCAACAATCAACCCCGACGCCCCTCGCCACCAAGGCGAATGGTACTGGCTCATGAAGGCCGAGCCCGAGACTCGTCTTGAGAACGGCATCGACGTCAGCTTCTCTATCGATGACTTGCGGGCCAAGGATAAGCCCGAGGGGTGGGATGGTGAGCTTCTTCTGCTTTCCTTTTTTTCCTTTTCCTCTGCTGGTGGATGAGTCGAAATGGCTTACTGATGATGTTGAATCAAAACAGGGATAAGGGCGTACGCCGCAAGGAATCATATGCGGAACATGAATGCCGGGGATAAAGCATTCTTCTATCATTCAAATTGCAAGGAGCCTGGGATTGCGGGCATCATGGAGATCGTAAAGGAGTTTTCAGAAGACAGCAAGTCCCATCTTCATATCAACTCCTCACATCACGTAACACACATCACATGGGCAAAGGTCGTTCAATCTGACAAACATCATAGGAAGCGCCCGGCGCCCAGGAACGCCCTACTACGATCCGTCCTCTAGCAAGGACAACGTCCGCTGGAGTCTAGTTCACGTCGAGTTCCGAAAGAAATTCGCCGTACCCATCGGGCTCAAGGAACTTCGCGACCTAGGCAAGCCGGGGGGTCCCCTGGAGAACATGCAGATGCTCAAGCAGAGCCGGTTGAGCGTGAGCAGGGTCAGCAAGGAGGAGTGGGAGGCGCTGTGTGAGCTTGCGGATAGGAAGGCCAAAGATGCTGGGTTGGAGCATAAGACGGGAAAGCTGGTCAAGTAAAGCCCCGTGTTCGACGTTGTAATGGTTGCTGGGTTTGGGTGATTTGGCAAAGGGGTAGTGGAATCGATAGGGGAAGGTTGTGCTCCCATCAGAGGGGAAAGGCTCGTAGGAGACAGGTAAAGTGAATGTCAAGGGATGAGACTCGAGGCAAACAAGTGTGGTGATGTGAAAGTTCTGGACCGTCTTTCAGGTCGCTCATGGCATATCATGGTGCGTTCCATCAGCAAAGTGGCTTCGCATAATCTGCTGAGCGACCTGCTGGTCAGTTTCCTCCTCCTCCTCTTTCCCTTCATGTCTCTGCCGCTGTAACACCATCCCCACAGGAAGAAGCCTTCACACGAGGATTACAGCCCCCGGCCTCTCCCGATGCTGCGCAGATTTTCTCCTTCAGACCGCCTAGTGAAAACTGCTCTGCATATGTTCGTGTATGCCGTCGACAATGTCTGAGACTCAGCCCCCCCGCTCTTCTAGACAGCAGTTGCACAGCTTCTTCTAGCTTCACGACCCTCAGTCATACGCATGCCTTGTAGGCCTCGAACTAGATAGGTCGATGTGCAAAGCCGCGTTGGGTGGCACGGGGTCGGGTGTGATCGGTCGTTTCCTGCGTTTGGCAAAAACCTCAACGGGCGGAAGACAGCAATGAGCTCGCGAGGAGCAGCCAGTGGATGCCCAGAGTAGGCTCTTCAAGCCATGACCCTAGTCGTGGAAACCCGGAGAGGCGCCCATGCAAAATTTGTGCACTCGTCCAACAGGAGCGCTAAGAGATTGAACGCACGATGAGGCCCAATACCGTTTGAGTGGTTGACGGATGCGAGGAGGGTTGCTCTGCTTCATGGCGTGACGGTGGTCGGACTTGGTTGTGTGGTGAGAAAAGAAAACTGACAGACGACCTAAGGGGGGTTCATGTTGGGTTGGGTATGGGGGGCAGTGAGGGTGCGTGTGAAGGGTGAGGTGAATTTGAAGGGTCAAGGGGATAGGGGCGGCTTGGGCATCGGTGCTGTAGGAAAGATGCTGAACCGCCTAGACGCGGTTGATCGCTCATCTCCCAGAAGCTCTCGTTTCTGCCCCCAGCCATTAGCCAAGGCTCGTATAGTCCAGGTTGAAAAGCTTCGACACAGCATCGTGCCAGGGGGTTCGAAAGACACATGAGCCGCTGCCCTTCGGCTTGCACTCGCAAGGCTGGGCTTTCCCCTGTCTGTCCGAGCTCAAATGCAATCGAGATCCAAGAATGCTCTTGACCGACCATCTGCGAGGTCCTGCCTTAGATATAGACGAGTATGTCCCCGATCGATGAGAAGTCATTCACGATGATGCTCCACAATTCCGATTGAAACTTCATCAAGCCTCTGCAGGCATCGGCCGTTGGGGCTGGGATCGAGCACCCTACCTGAACCCGAGGAGAGCATCGGTACTTCCTTTCGCCTCAACTTTGTTCAACCTCAAGCCGAGTGGCACCTCCACCGTGACCCAGGTAGTCATTCCCCCTCCAGTTCGTCTATCTCTGGGGTCGCTCAGGTTGTCAAGTTTGACATCGGCTTGGCATCTCCTCCGGCCCGGGTGCCCAATGATAGTATACCACATCTGCGCCGCTCATACGGCACAGCATACTTCATGGTGTGTTGTGCCACTCGGCTTCGCCTGCCTCGTTCTCCCTTTGAGCTCGTAGAATGATGAAGTAAAAGCAACGCTAGGATGACGTGTCTGTGATAGGGTAGCGCTGTTAGCAAGCGTGTATATAGAGTTGAAGAAAGAATCTGCCCGTGTTCATGATTGAACTTGAGGACGCGATTGGCGGGCTCATAAGGATAGAGTCGCGGCCTCGTTAGAGTGATATTCGGTTGTTATTTAGCTGCATACAGATTCGCAGATATCTTCATGGCAGGTGTGACAGCGTTGGAGAGGGAGCCAGTAGATGCGAAAAATGAAATCCAATTTGGCAAAAACGGATCCGTAGCTCTCTGCCGCTGAAGGGGCTTATTCGGACATGGCCGGCGTATTGGTTCCGTCTGGAGCTGGAGGCGGTCAAATAGGGGGCGAGTCGCCGCCAGTTTATGGTCGATATCGTGATTCCTTCCTTTCCTTTGGTCGCCAGAGCTGTCGGCGTCTTTGCGTAGATTGAACAGCAGGGAAGCAGTTCCAGGCTTGCCCTTTGGAGTTCCTTTTTTTTTCTTCCAACTTAGCAAAATCTTCAACCTTTCTCATCAATGTCGCTTCGGCCATTCTGTCTCAGACCGCCTCCATCTCGTTCATTAGTTCAGTGATACAAGGCCACCCAAGAGACTCCAGAACCACGGGCGAACCACTGTTGCACACGTTTTGGGTGGGCATGCGGTTGAAGTCATCGCCTCTTCACGAGGCAGAGCTGCGCCCACCACCGCATGAGACGAAGTAGAACGGCACTGGCAGCTCTTTAGTGCGCTTGGTGCCACCTTGGGTAACCTCGTGCGGAGATGCGTAGAAGGGCGGTCGGTCGATGTCGTGAAGAATTCAAAATTATGAGAAGGGTCGATGTTGATGCTTGAGATATATTATGCTCGCGCGTCTCCTCCTCTTCCAAGCCTCGATATCATTATCAGGGCAACAACAGAAACATTGCCAGAAACATTGAGAGCCAGTATCAGCATAGCTCACCTAGAGCAAGACCACTTCCCACATATCTCAGCTGTGCCTATCCGTCTCCCCATCATAGATCAGATGGCCATTGTCAAGGTGGCAAACAGGGGTATAGCCCGCCATCTCCTCCCCAAGGCACGCGCTGTGTCGACATCGGCAGTCATTTCGCAGACCGCCGTCGGCCATAGCATGCCTCCAGGCTTCACGGCCAAGGTCGGACGGCTGGAAACATTTACTCTGCCTGAAAGAGTCTCGGGCTCTGTGTCTGACAAGGCCATAGCGGATGCCATGATCGGTGCCTGGCGCCGGGACGGCATCCTGCAAATTGGCATGACCAAGTCACAGCAAAGAGTCTACCAAGCCGCCAGCGCCACCAGCAGGCGCTTCTTTGCTCAACCGCATGCGCGGAAAGAGGCCTGTGTAGACGGCTCGAGCTACTCGGGATACATCGCTTCCGGTGAAGAGATCACCGACGGAGTGGCCGACTATTCCGAAATCTTCACCGTGACCAAGGATCTTCCGCACACCGACAAGCGAGTCGCCCAAGGCTGGCCATGTCATGGGCCATGCCCTTGGCTGGATCAAGAGATGAAAGCCGTCATGAACAAGTACATGGAAGACTTGGCCGTATCGGGAGAGAAGCTCCTGCAGCTCATCGAGATGGGGCTGGATATCCCCACAGGATCTCTCACAAAGTACACAGCCGACGGGTGGCACCACATGCGCGTTCTAAGGTGAATGGCCCTTCTCTCGTAGCACGGTGTAGCCGTGACTGACTGGGTAACTCTGCAGATTTCCGCAAAACAACAGGACCAATGGAAAGGGCAAAAAGGGGCGCGGCATTGGCTCCCATACCGACTATGGCTTGCTTGTCATTGCAGCCCAGGATTCCGTTGGAGGTGAGTAGTTTCATGACACGGTTCGTCGAGTCGCATGTCTAACCAGACGTCCTGTAGGGCTCTTTGTTCGGCCTCCGCGTGATACCGAACGCTTCTCCAACTGGGAAAAGAGTTCCGCTGGCCTCCGAGAAAATGAGGCCGGATGGGTGTACGTGCCTCCCGTTACAGGAACCTTCACCGTCTTTCCAGGTAAGCTTGCCTGTCCCTTTTCAGGAGACTGCAGCTCACAAGCCTTCTTCAGGAGACATGATGCAGTACATGACCAACAACTTTCTGCAATCGACGCCGCATAAAGTCGGGCTCAATGTTAGGGAACGTTTTGCCTTTGCGTACTTTCACGAGCCCAACTTCCGTTCCGTGATTCGGCCGCTCCCTGGCTACAACGCCGGGCAGTCACCCCTTGAGGGCATCCATTATGGCACGCACTTCACCAACATGTTCCTGAGGAACTATCCCGACCGTATCACCACCGCTCGACTTCAGGAGGAGGGGCGGTATCGGCTGCTTGAGTCGAAAGAGCTTCGGGACGACGATGAGCCACTGTGAGAAATCTACGGTGTTTGCGGTCACTGGATGGTTAGCGGGCGCAACTGGGCGCAACTGGATTCTGCCTTGTTCTTGCCCTTGGTCCTTGGTCCTCTTCTGGTTCTTCTTCTTCTTTGTATTTAGATGATGTCTTAGCGGATGCGAGAAATCGGTATTCCGGCTCTTCGACTGGAAGCCGAATACACTTCGACGCATCAGTTTCAGTAGCGCGCAGTGGTACATCTGAGCTCTGTGGCGTTGACCTGTATTGGCGGAGAAAGTGCCGTACTGAGCTCGGCAGATGCAACACAGTCCGTGGTTGTCAGCCCAAAGCATCCGCATCCGATGCAAGATGGGAAACCAAACTCTGGTGACATGCCTCGTGGAATTCTTATCAGACATGTGATGTCAATAGTAATACCCATTGCTATGGGATGGGTGCCGGACACCAGAAAACAATAAGCATAGCGTCGTATCAACGATCCCACTCTTCCGTGGACAAACAATGACAGTATGGGATTATGTCGGCGGATTCGTTGGTTGTGTCTGTGAGTCGTCAAGTGCTTCAATGAATGGCCGAGAGGAGGCTCAGCATCAGTATCCTGGCATTTCCCACTTCTTCTTTGAGAAACGGGCAGTGGATAAAAGATGAAATGTCATAGCGCGCCATTCCGGGATCCGGCCCGCCGGAACGGGAAGTGTTCCCAAACACACAAAGAAAGTGTTGCTTCTGCTGACTTGGGTGCTCGGGGCATTGACGCAGTCATCAACCAGTTGTAAACCCATGTCAACCTGGGGATAAGGGCAAGAAACGACCTTCTAGAGAGTGCTTGTCACGGGTTTGCCGCGACATGTAGAGCCAATCATAGAGTTTGATGGACTTTGGCCTGCCGCTGGCCAGTTTGAATATCTCGAGTTTAGCCACCCTCACCGCATGTTGTTTCGGACGAATCATGGCAAAGACCGGAGCATTGGTGCCGCCGACGTGGTTTTTCGCCGCAGCTGTTGTGGTTGTTGAACCAACACATAGCGTTTGGGCAACACTGTCACTTCTGCAAGGCGACAAAAGCGGTATGTCGCTCCCAGCATGCAACTGTCGTATCAGGCCCGCAACAGAGAGCTTTGCTCCATGCGCGTACAGTAGCAGAAATGCCATCAGAACTCCGTTCGTGGAGTGGCTTTGGTGGCGGAAGAGGTCAGATACAGCACAATTTGACATCCTGGCTGACGAGACCTCTCCTCTCCTAGGGCTGCATGGATTGATCAGTTCTCTATCAAAGTGGGAGTCGACGGGACATGGTGCCCTTGAAGGTCGTACTTGTCACTGAAGCACGGGCCTTTGCATCTCTTCTCCAGCTTCTTTGCAGTCCCAAGCCCGGCCGGCTGCTGGGATCCAAGCGGAATCCACCGCGCCAACATGCTTGTCGACCAGGTCCTCCGTAGCGATGCGGGTCTGAGGCCCGCCATTGGGCGTGGATGGAGGGCTAGCAGCGACTAGGCGCGAGTCGACGATGCAAAGTCGACTCTCGGGCGCGATGGCGAAGATGTTGACGACATGATTCTGGGCTGTGCCTGAGTGATGACGATGATTCGGACAGAATTCGAGTACGAGGAGATGGATTGCAGTATGTTCCTAAAAGCTGAAGAGAGCAAGACACAAGGTAATTGGGCAATTAGCCAGGCAAGTACCTGATGTATGGACGCCACGTGCCGCTGCGGGTTGTGCCTGCCTCCTGCTTCTGTTGAGAAGTCCAGGGATGCGCCGTCATTCGCCAGACACGTGCAGCGATGGAGTGGCGGATCCACCAGCGAACAGAAGGATACCTTGCAGGAACCTTGAAGGATTGCAGGATTTCGTGAGATGTCGTCGGATAGGACTTCTATACCACAAATTGCTGGTACCTATGCAGACGCAGGAAGAAGGAATCGGTCTGCACTTTGGTTCGCCTCTGCGGATGCTTGTGTTACGGCAATTATGCGCCAGGAAATTTTGAAAAGGAGAGCTGCAGCTACAGGTACTACATTCAAGGTTGAAGGTGTACTTGATTGAGCAGCAAACTCGGGAATCCTTGTACTTGTACCTCCCACCGCACCTTGCCCGCCTTATCGGGTTCGTACTCGTATCAATTTTCTCGCCCCGAAAAAACGAGGGACGGAAATCGAAATAAACACCGACAGCGGCAGCCTCACTAGTGAAATTCATTTCATCATCCACCGAGCTTTTTGATCCAACCACTTGAGGCTCTGGACAAATCACATCTCCCAATTGCCCTCCCGCTCGCATCTGATTCGATCGACATCGCTTCAGTGCCCCACGATCAACCAACTCGGATCGCCCGTTAAGGCCAAGCGCTCCAGACCGCGACCCCCATATACTACCCCATTAGGCCACCGCTTTGGAGAGGTTTAATTTGCACCAGTTTGCTATCTGCATTCTGGGCCTCTTTTTTTCCCATCAGGGGGACCTGCAGTGGCCATAATTTTCCCTTGCTCGCCCGCTTCTTTTCTCCCCGTCGACATTAAAGAGAAGGGGACCGCTGCCGGCTTCATTCCTTTCCTTCCTTCTCCCCCATCTGCTGCTTCTTAGAGGCATCCCAGGCGCTGTGGCTGAGCTGTCCTACGCCCTCGTCACTCTTTGTCAAGCCGGATCATCGTCAATTGCTGTCAGCATCCTATTGTTCTCGAGGAGCTCAGCACTGCCGTTGGCACTCCTTCGCCGCCACCACTCCGAATACGGCAATCCTGGCAACAAGGCTGGCCCGGCGCTTTCAACAGCAGGCCAACGTTCGTCATCAGGTGAGTCTGGATCTTACGGCACAGCTGAGGCCTTCTTTTTGCTCTATAAAGCAATCCCCATGTCCGCCCTGTTCCTCTCCCCTCCCACGTCCACGAGACTCTTGACATTTGTACTGTTGCGAGATGCTTACAAGCGGACGCGGGCACTAGACCGCACAGGTACCGATCTAGTCGACATCGTACGACGAGACTTGCCAATGGAATAGCTGCAAGCCCGGCAACGAAGCATATCCCGTCTACACCATGAATCCCTCCACGCTGCTCCCCAGCCGCTTTCGCGGGGAGCCTGCTCCGACCCAGGCTCCGGCCCCATCGCGTCTGAACAAGCGGATCACGCCTGTGCTCCAGTTCCTGGCCAAGGTGGCTTGTTCCCATCCTATACATACCATTGGTGTCATTGCTCTGTTGGCCAGCACCTCCTACGTTGGCTTGCTCCAGGAGACCCTGCTCGGCAACACTGCCAGCGTGAGCAAGGCGGAATGGGCGTCGCTGGCCGAGGGCAGCAGAGACTTGATAGCCGGTCCCGAGACGGGCTGGAAGTGGCAGAACGTGGAACAGAACTCTGAGACTCTAGAAGGAGTCGACCACCTTGCCCTCTTGACTCTCGTCTTCCCAGAGATTGTCTCAACGGACTCGGCTGTTGCTGCCCCCCATGCCCACGCTGTGCAAACTCCCCAGAACCTCTCCATCACCGCCCTGCCTGCCACGATCAACTCCTTTGCCGCCTACGCGGGTGACAGCGTTTTGGCGTACTCTCTGCCCTATGAGCAGGCACCCGAGTTCGTCGCTGCTGTACAGGAGATCCCCGTCGAGAATGCCCAGGAGATCGAGACTCAACATGGCCGTGAGAAGAAGATGTGGATCATGAAGGCTGCCAAGGTCGACGTGGGCAATAACCTCGTGCGGCGAGCTCGCGAGTCCTGGTTCAACTTCCTTGACCTTCTGAAGAACGCTGGTGGTTTGGACATTACCATCATGGTCTTGGGCTATCTCGCTATGCACCTCACGTTCGTCTCTCTGTTCCTATCCATGCGCCGCCTGGGTTCCAACTTCTGGCTGGGCATGACCACGCTCTTCTCTTCTACTTTCGCCTTCCTGTTCGGTCTGGCGGTTACCACTAGTCTTGGTATCCCCATCAGCGTGCTTCTGCTCTCCGAGGGTCTTCCTTTCCTCGTCGTCACCATTGGCTTTGAGAAGAACATTGTCCTTACGAAGGCTGTGTTGAGCCATGCCATCGAGCACCGCGCTCAGGAGACGAAGAAGGGCAAGCAGGTCAAGCAGGAGAATGTCATCTCCTACGCCGTCCAGGCTGCCATCAAGGAAAAGGGCTACGACATCGTTCGCGACTACGCCATGGAAATCTTTGTCCTGAGCCTCGGCGCCGCCTCCGGCGTGCAGGGCGGCCTCCAGCAGTTCTGTTTCCTGGCCGCTTGGATCCTCTTCTTCGACTGCATCCTGCTCTTCACCTTTTACACCGCCATCCTGAGCATCAAGTTGGTCATCAACCGCATCAAGCGCCACGTCGAGATGCGCATGGTTCTCGAGGCCGACGGCGTCAGCCGCCGTGTTGCGGAGAACGCCGCCGCCAGTGCTGATGGCCCGACCTCCAAGGAGAATTCGCTCTTTGGCAAGAACGTCAAGAGCACCAGCGTTCCCAAATTCAAGGGCTTGATGGTTTCTGGCTTCATCCTTGTCAACCTCATCAACGTCATCACGATTCTGTTCCGCAACGGCGCTTCTTTCTCCAACATCCGTTCGCTCGTGGGCGGCCTCAGCGGTGTTGTTTCTACGCCCCCCATTGACCCGTTCAAGGTTGCCTCCAACGGACTCGACGCCATCTTAGACATGGCCCGGGCCAAGGGCTCCGCCGTTTTGGTGAGCATCATCACACCCATCAAGTATGAGCTTGAGTATCCTTCTGTTCACTACGCCCTGCCTTCGGCCACGGAGCCCTCTGAGGGTGAGCTTTTCGGCGTTGGAGGCCGCGTCGTCGGTGGCATCCTCAGCAGTCTCGAGGACCCTGTTCTCTCCAAGTGGATTGTGGCCGCTCTCGCCCTCAGCGTCGGACTCAACGGCTATCTCTTCAATGTGGCCCGATGGACCATCAAGGACCCCAACACTCCCGACCACCAGATTGACCGCAACGAGCTTGCCCGCGCCCAGCGCTTCAACGACACTCCTACTGCCACCCTGCCTCTTGGCGAATACGTGCCCCCCACTCCCCAGCAGACTCAGCCGGCCACTCCTGCCATTACGGATGACGAGAGTGACACTGAGGCCAAGAAGCCCAAGGTGGAGGCTGAGAACCGCAGCTTGGCCGTCCTGGAGAAGATGCTTGCCGAGAAACGCGTGGCCGAGATGACGGACGAAGAGGTTGTCGAGCTGTCGATGCGCGGCAAGATTCCCGGCTATGCCCTCGAAAAGACCCTCAAGGACTTTACCCGTGCTGTCAAGGTTCGCAGGACCATCATCTCTCGTACCCGAGCCACTTCCGAGATTACCAGCGTTTTGGAGAACTCGAAGCTGCCTTACCGCCACTATGACTGGGAGCGCGTGTTTGGAGCCTGCTGTGAAAACGTCATTGGTTACATGCCCATTCCCGTTGGTGTCGCCGGTCCTCTTGTCATTGATGGACAGAGCTTCTTCATCCCCATGGCCACTACCGAGGGTGTTCTTGTCGCCAGTACCAGCCGAGGCTGCAAGGCCATCAACTCCGGAGGCGGCGCTGTGACTGTTCTGACTGCTGACGGTATGACCCGAGGACCTGTTGTTAGCTTCGAGACTCTGGATCGCGCCGGTGCTGCCAAGCTGTGGCTCGACTCTGAAGAGGGACAAACCGTGATGAAGAACGCGTTCAACTCGACCAGCCGATTCGCCCGACTGCAGACGATGAAGACCGCTATTGCCGGCACCAACCTGTACATCCGCTTCAAGACGACAACCGGTGACGCCATGGGCATGAACATGATTTCCAAGGGCTGCGAGCACGCTCTGAGCGTTATGCAGAACGAGGCCGGATTCGACGACATGACGATTGTCTCCCTTTCTGGAAATTACTGCTCGGACAAGAAACCGGCTGCCATCAACTGGATCGAAGGCCGTGGCAAGAGTGTTGTCGCCGAAGCCATCATTCCCGGCGAGGTCGTCAAGAGCGTCCTCAAGACGGATGTCGACTCTCTGGTTGAGCTCAACACGTCCAAGAACATGGTTGGATCTGCCATGGCTGGCTCGATCGGTGGCTTCAACGCCCACGCCGCCAACATTGTCGCCGCCATGTACCTCGCCACTGGCCAGGATCCCGCACAGGTCGTGGAGAGTGCCAACTGCATTACCATTATGAAGAAGTGAGTCCCCTACTTGTTCCCTCCTTGAGATCCGACAGCATGCTAACTATCGTCCAGTCTCCGTGGCTCTCTCCAGATCTCCGTGTCTATGCCCTCTCTGGAAGTCGGTACTCTTGGCGGTGGCACCATCCTCGACCCCCAGGGGTCCATGCTGGAGCTGCTCGGCGTCCGAGGATCCCACCCCACCAACCCAGGCGATAACGCCCGCCGCCTTGCTCGCATCATTGCGGCAGCCGTGCTTGCGGGTGAGCTGTCTCTCTGCAGCGCCCTCGCCGCCGGCCACCTGGTCAAGGCTCACATGGCGCACAACCGAAGCGCCGCACCTTCAGGGGCTCCCTCAAGAGCGATGACCCCGGCTCCCTCGTCAGCATCACTGGCCATGTCCAACGGATCTGCGGTTCGGAGGTAAAAAACAAAATATAACGATGAAATGGACATTTTTTCTCTTTACGTTGGGTAATGTGAAAGAAATCAAGCGCAGTAAAACGGGTCGGGTGTAGGTATTTACACGGAGTTTGTTCTTTGATTGGATGTAATGGGATCCGGGCAATGCACTGGCATGCTCCATAGACGATATATGCCTAGTATATAGAGTTGAAAAAGGCTGCGAATGGCAGATCTTAATACCCGCGGACAGTGTGCTTCGTCAATGTGTGTTCATCAATTGCGTGTATCAATTACTGTGCTTTCTGAGGGGGGTTCGCCGACACCATTTGAGAATTTGAGACTACCTTATCTGAAGATGTCACGATCACGCCAACCTTCGAACCCTTGCAATCTCCTCTCCATCAATACTCACAATCTTTACACCCTTCGCTTCAACCTTTTTCTTCCCTTCCTTCTCCCACGTGTCCTTCATCACAGGCCTCGTGCCCTCTTCCACAATAAACGTCTGGTATCCCTCCTCAGCAGCCGACTCCGCCGTGGATTTGACACAGTAATCCGCCGCCAATCCCACCACAAAGACATGCGTCACGCCATTCCTCCTCAGCGTGTCCCCTAACGAACTCACGCTCACCCGCATCGGATCCCAAAACGCAGAGTACATCTCGACCCTTGGGTCGAGTCCCTTGTCCAGCACCTCATCGATCTTATCGACGTCTAGTTCAGGCACGAGTTCCGCGCCTTTGGTTCCCTGGACGCAGTGTCGAGGCCAGAGGAGCGTGGTGTCGGATTTGGTTGGATCCGTGGGATGGGTGATTGTGTGGTATGATTGCAGGGGGACGGCGCCCGGGTGGTTGTCGGCGAAGGAGATGTGGTTTGGGGGGTGCCAGTCGCGAGTGGCGATCTTGAGGGCAAAGGGGAGGGTGAGGAGGGTGTTTATGACGGGGGCGATGGCGCGGCCTTGGGGGACTGCGAGGGAGCCGTTCTGGATGTTGGAGTGAGCAAATGGAGATGCTGAGCTTGCTTGGGGATGTACTGTTATGTTATATAATACAGACGCCTTTGGCGGAGAAAAAGAAATAGGAAGTAACAGAGAAATAGAGGAATAGAGGAGATCACGAGAGAGGAAATCATCGTGACGTGAGAGAGGAGCGTGTTGTAACTCACTGGAGGGCAAAAGTCTTCTTGGAAATCAACAATTATCAAGGCGGGTTTGAAGGCCGTTTCTGAAGCCATGATGGACGGTCTATAGATTTGCTGTCCTCTCAACCCACTATGAGATTAAGTTAATTAAGATCTGGTATGATTGTAATCTATACGGAACAAGTCCCGAGAACTAGGGAGCCTTTTGCCTTGAAGAGTGAAGAAGAAGAAGAGTGAGTGACTAATGTAGGTCGTTGAGGAGAGCCATGATATAATAAGGTACCATTCCATCGCCTCATACACGGGAGAGGTGCTTGGAGCGACCCCACTCCCAGCGTGGCTTATCGCTATGGCATGCGATAAGCCCGAATCAAAGTTGATGGCTTGCAGATGCAAACCTATCCACATAGCTCAATGATGGATTCTTCTCCATATCGGTTCAGAACTGAACCTCATTGCGGTGTCCGCCGAAAGCGGAAAACAGCATGGACAACAAATTCCAGCCGTGTCCCAGGTCTGCGAGAGGCGGCGAGAGGGATCATGTACTGCATCATCCAAGAGTCATCCCGGGTTAGGTAAGGTAAGGTACCTGAGGGTTAATAGGTAAACGTTGGTGATTCTATCGGTGGTTCTTGGAGGAAGGTGCGAGGCACAGTCTTGAACAAGGGAAGGATGGGCTGTTTTCCACAACACCACACAAACTTGCAACCTTCAAGCATCTTCAATGACAGTCTTGCAAAACGAACCAAGCTCGAAGCTGAGCTACCTCTTTACTCTTCACTTCGGTGGGCACTCTTGCAAAGCCGCTTTGAAGCATGATTTGACGATACCATCACATGTCTTTACAAAAGTCCTCCTGATTGCATGTGCAACCGCCCATCCAACGCCGTGCCATCTATGTGCAGACCAAGTCATCGACCCTTCCGCCAAACCACGCATCGTCAGGCTATCAGCGCTCTCGCATCACGGCGCCTTGTCCTTGTGCGACTCTCCCCTCCTTCTCCGCTGGCGAATGTTCCGTTTTACGCGCGCTCGCTTCCCCACGCGCCACCTATCATGCCTCTCATGCCTCTCGTGGCCCTTCGTCCTGTCGCGCCTACAGCTTGCCAGTCAGTGATGGATGGAGAATTGCGGAGTCTGCTAATGACATACATCAGGATCTGTCCCGTTTCAAGGCCCTCTTCAAGGTCAAGATGGGACTCACTATCAGCCGAGGCTTGTTCTGGTTTGAAGCGAGCCATGTCAGCCTCGCCTAGTCCCGCCAAACTGGGATTCAAGTCTGATGGATTCCGAAGGGTGTCTTTACTATCGTGCGTCTCGGCGAGTTCTGAAGTCTCCCCTGGAGATGCGGACATCGAGCAAGTCGGTGACCTCCGGGGGCCTCTCTCGTCACAATCTGTCGCTGTGCCGCGAGTGGCCCCTGCCTGAGAGGCATCGTTGCGGTCGATGTTGTGTATAATCTCGTCGAGATACTTCTTCACGGTGGCCCTGTTGGACCCCAGAGCCGGTACTCCGAGAGAAAAGCGCTCGTGGCACTGCTCTTCGGCCAGATAACGCTCCAGGCGAAGAACCGAAAGCGACGACGATGTACCGCTCGCGCCCGAATGCTCCTCTGCAGCGGATGGGTCATTCGCGGAGTAGGTACCGGGGAAATCGAGAGGAATCATCAAGAATGGCTCTTCCATCCTCGGGCCGTACGCCGTCCTCTGCTGCTGGTGTGCGGTATAGAGATCGGATCTGCTGAGCCTAAATGGTCAGACGTGAATCAGCAAAGGGCCATTCGCAAGGGACATGGGAGACAATGCTCACCTTGGAAATCGTCCGTTGTGGTCTTCCAGGCTGATACTGCTGTCACGGCTGGGTGTATCTCCTTGAGAGTTCTGATTCTCCATGCTGACGGAAACTTTGAGAGCTGAACCAGGGAATATCTCAAACGAACAGGACAAGCTTGGGGAAAGAGGCATCTCGGTGGGCTTCTTATCCCCCTTTTAAAGTGTCTGGACCGACTCGAGCAAGAGAGACGTGGCAGAGAAACTATCTCGTACAATAAAGACGGTCAACCGAGTCACGCCCGCTGGGTCGCGAACCAGACAGTCGCCTCTCCCAGGAACCTGGAACAAATTCGATGCGACATCAACCAGAATTCAGAACCAACAAGTCGCATCCCATGTGCCGATAATCACACCCCCCTGAAATTTTCCCCGGTTTCGCGAAACGCTCCTCCCAGGATGCTGTTTTCCTGATTCCCAACGCTGACCTGTATTCGGAACCAATACTCCAACCGCGGTGTACAGCTTCAAGGGAGGAAAAGCCACGCAAAGAAACGTTCAAGGAACCCTTGAGGAGGGAAAGCAAAGCCGAGCGTGGGGGGTGGCAGTAGGTAGGTATTGCAGGGCCTAAACTAATTGCTCTCTCCTTTCCTCTACTTTCTTTGCTTTTTCTCCGTTGTCCTGGGATTATTTGCTTTTCTTGGGCTTCACTTCTCGCTTGCTCTTGTTCTCCCGAAACTTTTCTCGACCAGCGGCGTACACGGCGCCGCGGTTCAACATCAGCAGGGAGAACAGACGAGGAACACTAAGAGGGAAAAGTGAGGCTGTGATGTCTCATTAAGCTTCCGACAAGTGGAACGGGAGAGGCCGGCAAGTTCACGCGAAGCGCCCAGAAAGAAGCGAACCCGGGGCGCGAATTGTCCAGCTGTGGCTTACGCAGGACAAGGAACATGAATGCAGAGAGCCGATGGGCCTGTAGGCAAGGAGGGGAGAACCAGCCCAGCATCCGGCGCAGAAGATCAAGCATCAAGCACTTACCTACTTACTTACCTACTTACTGCCTGCAGCTTGCAGCTGCGGCCGATCTGGAGCGCGAGCTGGATGAGCTGACAACGGGGCTTCTGATCCGAGCCTTTTCAGCCTCTCCTGACAGGTAGCACTCGTAGCTGGTCATTTCATACCAAGCAAGTCCCATCGTTGTCCCCGTGTCCCAGGACGATGGATGCACTAATGCAGCTTTCCTTGTCCTTTGTAGTATCCGCCCTTGACGGAGGCAGCAAAGGACTGGTTGTGAGGCCGGCATCGAGAAGGGCTTCCGGTGGGAATCGCGATGGCGGGCCACTGGCAATTCCCTGTGAATGCGACACCCGCCTGCACTCATATGCTGCTGATCCTGGTGAGGTGGTATTATAAGTTATCAGGTGTAGGAGGCTAATACTACCACAGACTGCTGGCAAAGGGGAGTGAAGGGGTGGGCTGGGCGGACACGGAGCGCGTCAGATGGGCGAGACAAGGATACGGGGACCTGGTAACGGGTGCAGGGGATGAACTCGGCAGGCCACGATGGCAGCATCCGATGCTACTGCGAATAACTCTGCCCACTCTCCATCTCTTGCCCGAGATATGCCTGGCTCCAGGTGCGAGATCTCGGCCTCGGTTGAGCTGACGAGACGAGACATGACGAAGGGCAGAAGCTGACGGCTTGGTTCCGCGGAGACGACACACGCTCATGGATGGTGAGAATCTTGCCAGCTGAGAGGGCTGCATGTCGCCTGAAGTGGACAGACTTGGCGTCCATCAAGGAGGCCATCATCTGCGAGCATCATGTACGTACAATCTTCGAGCAAAGACGAGACCCAACCGCCCTCGGAGCCAGTAGGAGGCATGGTGCTTCTTGTTTGCCGTCTACAAGTACAAGGCTCGCTGGGCTAGCTAGCTACTGACCGGTCAGCTCCGTATATTCATGGCCTCTGTTCCGCTCAAGACTGCACCCGCTCGTCCTTGGGCCACGAAGCAACCTCAGACGTGGGAGAGGGCAGAAGGGGGGTAACTAGCCGTTGCTGCAGGAGGGGGGGAATGACGGAGGCTGTTCCGTGCTAAGAGCCAACAGCACAAAAGCAGGCTGCTGATTTGACGATTCGGTCATGGGTCGAATCATTGGCGGCATGCCGTTACCGCCCTTGTCCCGGCTTGTGTCTCGATGTCCCCGGGCAATCATTTCGTTCGGCTCCAGTCTGCTGGTAGCTGTCGTTGGAACGCCTGCGATTGACGGTTGTGTTATTGACACCCTCCCCTGGCCGACCGTTGTGCTAGACCTTGAGCGGAGGACCTACGGCAGGCCGGGATACAATGTGATTTTCGCTTGGCAAACAAACCCCGTCAGTCCAGGGGCTTCGGAGGAGATAATCTGGCCAAAGTCTTTCAAAGGTCGGCTTTTGTTGGGCAAATATCTGAAGGGGATGGGAACAATATGACAAAGGGAGGACCTGTTGAGGCCGATACAGGGGGGATAGGGGACTCAACTGGCCCCGGAATCACTGAGTGGGCATTGACCACACAGCCGTCTGCGCCTTTACCATATCGACTGGGCTCCCATACCCTCTCGTCTCGAGCAGCTTGGGCTCGTGGGGGGGAAAACCGAGCAACGTGCTGTGCTTGAAGTGCGGCAGCCTTTTGACGTGGCCAGTCCAAAGCCGCAGGATTTGACGTTGATGCCCTTGTCATGCTGGATGCTGGGGATGCTGGCAGAGCTGAACCGATGCATTGAAATGACGTTGGGGTGGCGAGCTGATCAGGCTGGCGGTTTATGCAGCCCCCAAGATTTCTCCAAGATGCGCATGGTGGCTGCTTGAGGGGGGGATGCGGGAGAGGCGATCATGGAACGGGATTGGGAGATTGGGTTTCGATAGTTGGATTTTGCAGATGTGATGGGTAACATGTGGCTGGCAGCTTTGTTTGTGATGTTATTTCGATCTGGTGCATCTACACAAAGAAGAGCGCTGGTGCATCATCAAGGGTGGACGGGCTTGGGCACGGCTCAGCTGCTGCACGAGATGCCTAATCGAGAAGTGAAGGGGGGAAGACAGCCCACAGGGATCTTACAGCTCTGTCTCGACGCAGCAATTGTGCGTCTCGAACACGTTGATGTTCCAGTCCATGTTGTTTGTTTGCGTGTCTGACTCTTGGTTGGCCTCCCGGAAAGAAAGATGGAAGGTTATACTTGATTTCTTAGCAGAGCGCCAATTTTCAAGCGGTTTTGGAAAAGTTCCAACTTGACTACTGATCTATTTACGTAGCCACTGAGCTCAGTATCAGCACAAGTAGAAACTCTTGACTCTCACAGGTGGAAAATACCATGTCAAAAGAGCGAGAAGTCTGGAATTGAATAGAAACGGTTGAGTTGATGAGCGGGAGGGGGCTTCTAGAACGATTTGGTTGCCGCTATTCGAGCTACTAGACTACCCTATAGCCGGGTTGACACTTAGCGGGCGGGGTGATTCGGAGTGGATGATCCAGTAATCGATGTCTTGTGCGCGCCTTTTGAAGAGTCCAATTGACTTGACGCCATTCTCAAGACTGATGAGATGAGTGTCTGATGTGAATTTATATACCCTCAACTGTTGACATCCTCCCACTTCTCTTCTTATGTGAAGATTGTCTTTTTTCTTTTCGCACTTCACTTGCTATACAAGTCTCAACTCCAAAGACTCAGCACAAACACAAACACACCCCCAGAGAGAGAGAGAGAGAGAGAGAGAGAGAGAGAGAGAGAGAGAGCCAAAAGACTGGAGTCAAGACAACTTCACAACAACATCACCAAAAATGGCCGCCCTCTCAACAACCCTCCCGCTAACCCGCGACTCGGTCCTCCAAGCGCACAAAGTCATCCAGCCGCACGTCCACCGCACGCCCGTCGTGACAAACCAGACCCTGTCCCAGCTGGCCTCGACTCCGCGAAGCCCTCAGGACCTCGAGGGCACGCGCTTCGCCGGCCGAACCCCTGCCAAGCCCGTCCTCAGGCTGTGGTTCAAGTGCGAGAACCTGCAGCGCATCGGGGCGTTTAAGGTCCGGGGCGCATTTTATGCGCTTCATCGGTTGAGTGAGGAGCCGGGATGGGTGGAGGGGGGAGGCAAGGAGAAGGGCGTTGTGACGCATAGTTCTGGTGAGCTACCTATATTTTCTTTTATCATCCATGAGATGGAGTTGTCAATGCTGATAATATATATATATAGGCAACCATGCCCAGGCCTTGGCCCTCGCCGCAAGAGAAAACGGCATCGCAGCGCACATTGTCATGCCGCAAATCTCCATCCCCGCCAAAATCGCCGGCACAAAGGGCTACGGCGCAAACGTCATCTTCAGCGGCAGCACGAGTGTTGAGCGCGAGGCCGTCACGGAGCGCGTCATTGCCGAGACTGGAGCGCGCCTTGTGCCGCCGTATGATCACCCGGACATTATGCTCGGGCAGGGAACGCTGGGACTGGAGCTGCAGGAGCAGGTTGAGAGGAGCATTGCGGAGGGGGTGAATCCTGCTGGACAGGCGCTGAGGGGGGTGTATGAGGCGGCGGCACTGAAGAAGGAGAAGAAGAACAAGGAGCAGAAGAAGAGGGGTTTGGATGCTGTGATTGCGCCGTGTGGTGGCGGCGGGATGCTCTCTGGTGTCGCGCTGAGCTGCGAGGGGACGGGCATCAGGGTATTTGGTGCTGAACCCTCGTATCAGGGCGCCGACGATGCGAAACGAGGCTACGAGTCGGGCGAGCGCGTGCCGACGGTGTCTTCCCTCACGGTGGCGGACGGCCTGCGGACGCCCGTGGGGTTGCACCCCTGGAGCGTCATCTACGAGCGGCGCCTGGTGAGCGGCATGTTCAGCGTCACGGACGAGGAGATTCTGCGGGCCATGAGGCTTGTGTACGAGCGGATGAAGATGGTTGTCGAGCCGAGCGCGTGCGTGCCGCTTGCGGTGGCGCTGTTTGACGAGGACTTTAGGAGTCTTGCGGAGAGGGAGGGCGGAGAGGAGGGATGGGATTTGGGGATTGTGTTTAGTGGTGGGAATGTTGCTGTTGAGGCGCTGGGGAAGTTGCTCGCTGGAGACAAGTGAAGGAACTTGATGCTTTCTATACACAGGACCGGACTCATCTGCTCATCAGTTATATATATATATATATATATATCACATACTCAGTCTTCCACATATAGAGGTATATTTCATTATATATATATATATATATATATACAGGTTCAGTCACGATTTATAGAGACTCAGTCTAGAAAGAACAAACATAACTTCATATCAGGGTATCATGCACTCATCAGTAATCCTTCAATGCCTCGTCCATCTGCTTCCTCCACCGCGCCGCGTTCCTCCTCAGCGTCCAGATGCCGATGAAGCCCGCCAGCATGCAGAAGAGGGCCACAGTGGTAAAGACCCAGCCGACGCCCACGGCATTGATCCAGGGGGCCGCCACAATGACGCCCACGCAGCTGAGGATGTTGCGGACAAAGTTGTTGACGGCGACGCCCGCGGAGCTCTTTTTGCGGACGAATTCCGTGAGCATCGTGGTGGCGGCGGACTACATGGGTGTGAGCACTGGTCGTTACGATGAGGAAAGGGGGATGGTGTAAAAGGGGCAAAAGATGGACTTACAAAGACGAGCATGGATGCTGCGCCAAAGATGAAGCTGCCAATGGCCGGGACAATGAAGATGACGCCGTAGTTGAGCGTCCATCCGTATATCAGCAATCCAATGGGATACATGGTATTCGCCAGCCACATGTTCTCACGGAACCTGTCCTCGGGCAGGTAGACCAGCTTGCCGTTCTCGTCATATCGATTCGCCTTGATGGCCTGCCTCGCCATAATCTTGTCAATCCATCTGCCCCCGAGTATGGACGCCACAAAGTACCCCAAGCCCGCGGGGATGTACATGAGTCCGATGATGATCTCGCTGAAATTGTACGGCGGCTGCGAGAACTTTTGCTGGATGGAAATGTTGGAGATGAAGAGCGCCCCAAAGGCAATGGCGGCGGTGAAGACGGTGATGAAGACGGGCGGGAAGCGCAGGAAGAGCAGCACGCTCAGGGGGTCGATGAAGATGCGCTTCGCGCTGGCCGCGAGGTTTCTCGTGCGGACCTTGGCGGACTCGGCCGTCGTCATGCGGCGGATGGACGATTCCAGGGCGGGATTTTCTTCTTCCTCGATCTTGGGCCTCCGCGCCAGCGTCTCCGGCAAGCAGAAGACGAGAAGCAGGAGGATGGCGAGCCCGTAGATGGCGAGGAACCACATGGTGGCCTTCCACCCGAAGCCCTGGGCCAGGGCGCCGCCCACAATCGGCGCAATGAGCGGCGCCAGCAGCGGCCCCAGGTAAAAGGTGCTCATGGCGCGGCCCCTCTCGCGCGACTCCCAGATGTCGGCAATGGTGCCGGCGCCGACGGCCTGGACGGAGGCGGAGGCGCCGCCGGTGAGGATGCGGAAGACGATGAGCATGGCGACGTTGGTGGAGACGGCCGACAAGACGGCGAAGACGAGGAAGAGGGCGAAGGAGATGATGTAGATGGAGCGGCGGCCAAACTGCTCCGAGAAGGACGACCACCAGAGGGGGAAGATGGACATGGAGATCATGTAGAGGGCCACGGAGAGGTTGGCAATGTCCTCCGTGGTGTGGAGGCTCTTTGTCATTTCCGGCAGGGCGGCTGCGAACTTTGGTCAGCTTTGATGGACTTGAAGAATTCAGTCAGACTTGGGGGTCATATGTGAAGATTGGGTGTGCATTACGGTAAAAGATGGATGAGCCGAGGGGGGCGGCGGCAGTGGCCAGGGCAATGGTCAGCGTGATGCCCCATTTCGTCGAGTTCTTGTACTCGTACGGACGCTCAACCTCGGGGACAAGCGCGAGGCGAGCCAGGACGCCCCGTCTTTGGGAGCGAGGAACGATGGTGAGGGCCCTAGATCGTGTGGTCGAGGCACGAGATCTTGAGCGTCCGGCTGCTGCTTCCTGTCCGGCTGCTGCGTTGGTGTCGCCTGTGGGCTGTGCTGCCGTGTTTATGCTGACGGTTGGGACGAGGGCATCGTGGTGAAGCTCGGAGTTGTCTTCTTGGTCTTCTTCTTCTTCCTGGACCAGGCTGCGGGCCGTCTTCTTTTCGCTGCTGGTGTCTTGGTCTTCTGACGGCGCCGAGGTGATGCTGTCACTGGAGGAGCGTATAGAGGGCGGGGAGGATGTCGGTAGGCCCTCTGTTTTCTCAGGGTCGGGTGTTGACGACATTGTGAGTGACGGGTCCTGGATGTATGCGATGATACGCAGCTGGTGTTGTTGTCGAAGCGAAGCGCGGTCTGTATGAGGATGATTTTGTTTGTCTCATTCATGGGACATACTATACGTATGACAGTTGTGACGGCATTGACTCAGATGAAGCCGTTCAATAAGTAAGACAGTGAAGAAAATTAGGAATGCAAATCTGAAAACTGGTTCTTCATCACCGCAAACAGACACACACACACACACACTCCTTGAAAAGTAAAAGGGGAGAGGAAAAAGAAGGACGGTGAAAGAGCAGGCCACAAGGGTATTTGAAGAAGCACAACGATGATGACATGCAGCAACAAGAAGGGAAAAAAAAAAGTTTGTGAGAAATACTCAAGGCCCAGCCAACCAAGGATGTTCCAATTTTTCGATTCCTCGATTGTCCACCCCCCATGTTCGTTGGCTATGCACCCTTTTGTTGGCACTACATAATACTGTATCGCGGTGAAAATTGCCCTTCTCCGTAACGGGTGGGCCTTGTTTTCGGATACGCACCGGCTTGGATTCCAGGGCCGAGGCCCGTGGACGGGGCCGGACGATGCTTGATGGAGGGGGATTGTGCTTTGCTTTGCATCTACTAAACGGCGGTTTTATGGGATGAGTTTGTTGTTGTTAGTCTGGGTTACTGTTGGTGGCTTTTGCTGGGATTGGATATGTCGGTGTTGAGAGAGATGATGATACAAGTCCGTGACAATGAAGAGAGGTTCGAGTCTCTTTCTCTCTCACAGACAGATCAGTGATAGCCAACTCGGAGGCAAATGGCAGTCAGCAATCTGCAGTATTACTAGTTGTATTATCACTTTGTACGTACATGCAGGGGCACCGCTTAAGGCGTGCCGCTGGGAATTAGCCGGGCAATGGAAATCAAGGCCTCGCCAGATTTCGATGGATATTCCACACGGGAAATGTGTGGGGCACAAGAGGCTGACAATTGGATACCTAGGCATACGCCTGTTAGTCACGGAATCATTGGGGTAAATTGCAAGTTCGACGGCTTGGGGTAACGTGAGTTGGGGTGGAATGGATTGGCCTGGGAATTTTTGACTTGTAGACGAAGATTTGGGGTTTGAGGGGTTGAGGTTGACTCAGTTGCGTACTTTGGGAGGTGAACTCAAGTACGGTGTGTGATTGAATATTTTAGGAAATAGTTCAACAAGCGGCTTGTCTTATGGAGCTTGTCTGTATGTTGTCTATGAGAAGTGTATTGGTAATGGCACAGTACAGCCGAGACAAGCTCGACTTGACGTTTGATTTTTTGGCTTTTCACAAGGCTTATCCCGTCAGAAGTGTGGAGAAGCATACTGGATAGATGATCTTGTATCCAAGCTTTCACATTCGAGGTGAGAGAGTTACTATTGCAGTGAAAGATGGTTATAAATAATGCGAGCAGTCGTGGAACGTACTAGTTGTCGAGATGGAGCATCACAAGCTCCTTGAACACCGAAAGCTGAACTGAAAACTCATTACACTGGAAACACTTCTCCTAGAGGTCACCCATCGTAGGCGGACTAATTGAGCAATGTCGTGGCCGTATGTACATATAGAATTGGCCTGAGAAGAGGAAGAACAAGCCAACACGCAAATGATACGCTTGAAACGGCATATGCATCATGAAACATGTGGAAGAGAGATACCTAGGAGTTTAGAAAAAGTCACTCGATCGATAGTGCGTTGTGATATTCCGTTTGGCGGTGGATTGCATGGAGTATCTGTTTCCCAGGGTTCAATCTTAAGTGATCATGATCCTGTGCTCTACCCTCTTTCATGCAAACATCACCGCAGGATATGGCGGAAATGTGCTTAGGCTCTGCGATGGCTTTGACAAAAGCTTGATTCTCATAGTCACCAGCAGACTCGTAGATCCTGCAAGAAAGCATGATTGTCGCTTGAAAATGCAATATTGGTGATGCCTGGGTAGAAAGTCAAGACGTTCAGCTTATGGTCCTCGCCATGGCGTTGACCCTTCCAGGGACTTGCAAACATGCTTCAATACCCACTGCTGCACTTTGAACAATGAACCACTGGTCCGATGCTACAAGATCGAAGTTATGGTCATGCATAGATATTCAGCTCTATTGGCGAGATTATCATAGGCAGCTCTAGGTACCGTACCTCGGTAGAATCACTTGGGAGAGAATTGTTGACTTTTGATACAAAAAACAGCAAAGGAAAGAGCCATGCTGGCAGCTGCTCAACCTCGAGCCACCGGCTGCAGTCCCGTGATCTGGAGAATATATCGGCACAACACCAAGATTCCTCGAGACTCCTTATCCATCCTTCTTATCAGCATCTGCGCTTTAGCGACAAGCCTCGAGGCCTCTTTCACTTTTCATCTTCCCTGGCCAGATCTCTGATATCTCGTCGACGACTCGACAACTTGGCGAGGACATGATGGCGGCTGCAGAGGAAGAGGAGAATCAGCACTCCGAGACGCTCCTCTGGGCGATTCACATGTGCGCTCCTGGCTCGACCTATCCTGACGAACGCATCGTGGAGGCTAATAACATCGCAGGTGCTTCAACAGCAAGCTTTATGCAGACGTCAGCATCCGCCTGGGCGGCGTCGAAATTCCAGCGCATGCAATCGTGCTTTCGGCACAGAGCGAATACTTCAAGGCAGCGTTGAGGTCTCCCATGAAAGAGGCCACCGAGAAGAAGTTTGAGTACAAAGAGGGCAGCATGCATGCACACTGGAGAGTCTTTGAGTACCTGTACAGAGGAGAGTACTCGGAGGATCCTGCACCGCCGCTGCTCCCAATAGGTTCGTCGCCTTGCTTGGCCTGGCCTTGGACGCCGTTCGCTGACCCTCTAACAACTGACCGCATCCTTTCTAGCTGACGATGACGAACTCATCAAGGACATTCGCGTCTACCAGTTGGCCGACTACTTTAGAGTCGAGGGGCTAAGGGAATACGCCTTGCACAATTTCGAGTCAAAGATCAAGCACCTCTGGGTCAGCGAGAGCTTTGTCGACTGCATACGAGAGGTCTATGGGGCAACCGATCTGGGTTACGAGATGAGAAAGGCGATTCTACAGGTTGTGCGCGGCCACCTGGGGGAGCTGTGGGAGAAGAAGGCCTTTCGCCTGCTAGTCCGCGAGGGAGGCGACTTTCCGATGGAGATTATAAGCGGATTCATCAATAAATGAGTGGGCAAAAGTCGACGAGGGAGACGGTCAAAGGTCGAAGACATGAGCTGGGGGCGGATGGCGACTACATACCCTGGAAGTGAGAATATACAGCGAAATGTTCGACAAAGTCCAAATGGTTTACAGATTAGAGAGTCGTGTTGACAGTTTAGTATTGCGACTTTCTGTGGTTGGAGAAGCGTTGGTCGATGCCGAACAGGCCTTGGTCGGAACCGATATCGCAGAGGGAAACGGGTGGATGCTCAGCGCAACAAACATGGCATGGGGAGGACATCAAAAGAAACATGTTGAGAAGAGATTTCAAGTCGATATTTGAGTCGAGTGTTCTCCAGATTTTGGAAGCAATGGGTGATGTTTATGCACAGCAGTTGTCGCCTTTGGAATTGAACTTGTCGGCCCTGATGACTGATTACTGGACTAGGCAATGCGTGGGCCCCCGATCGGAGCTTTTTGAAAATCAGATCTGACTGTACCCGCTCTCATAAGCTCATGATTTGATCTCATGCTCAACCTCACACTCATCAAAACGCCCAATTCAATCAGCCCTCTCCATTCATAGCCCCTTACATACGAAACGAAACGTAAATCAAAGTGGCAAAAAGAGAGAGAAAGAGATAGAGAGAGAGAGACCGAGGTCCAAGCACAGAGACGACGACAATGTCCCTCACAAACGGCTCCCCCGAGGCCGCCGCCGCCGCCGCGAGAGACGCCTCCTTCACCCTCGCCTCGCTCCCAACGTCGGCCCGCAACGAGGCCCTCGACGCCATCCACGCGGCGCTGGCCGCAGCCAAGGACGACATCCTGGCGGCCAACGCGCGCGACCTGGAGCTGGCGCGCAAGGCGGCCGCGGACGGGGCGCTGAGCCAGGCGCTGGTGTCGAGGCTGGACCTGGGCAAGAAGGGCAAGTGGGAGGACATGCTGCAGGGCATCCTGGATGTGAGGGACCTCGAGGATCCAGGTATGTCCAACTTGGTTTACGAGCAACAATCTCAAGTGAGATGTTGCCATTATCATAGCCGCAAAGCCGCAAGTTACAAACCCAAGCCAGTTGCTAACAACCCACACACAGTCGGCAAAACATCATTGCGGACAAAGCTCGACGACGACCTCATCCTCGAGCGGGTGTCGTGCCCCATTGGCGTGCTCCTCATCATCTTTGAGGCCCGTCCCGAAGTCATTGCCAACATTGCCAGTCTGGCCATCAAGTCGGGCAATGCTGCCATTCTCAAGGGTAGGCTCTCCATCCCCCACCGCAACACAGAATCTACGAGAAAAATCAAGATATAAAACTGACACCCCCGTCGCAGGAGGCAAAGAATCTACGGAATCCTTCGTCGCCATCTCCCAAGTCATCTCCTCCGCCCTCGCCAAGACGCAGGTCCCCAACTCGGCCATCCAGCTCGTCACCACGCGCGACGCCATCCTCCAGCTCCTCAGCCAGGACCGCAACATCGACCTCGTCATCCCGCGCGGCTCCAACGAGCTCGTCCGCTACATCAAGGAGCACACCAAGATCCCCGTCCTGGGCCACGCCGACGGCCTCTGCAGCATCTACCTCACCGCCACGGCAGACAAGCACAAGGCCGCCGTCGCCGTCGTCGACGCCAAGACGAGCTACCCGGCCGCGTGCAACAGCGTCGAGACGCTGCTCGTCCAGGACAAGGCCCTCGGCACAGTCTTCCCCGGCGTGGCCGCCGCCCTGGCCGAGAAGGGCGTGACGCTCCGCCTCGACGCCGCCAGCAAGGCCGCCCTCTCGGAACTGCTCCCTTCCCTCCCCGAGGGCGCCATCCAGGACGCCGTCCCGCAAGACTACGACACGGAACACCTCAGCCTCACGCTCGCCGTCAAGACCGTCGCTTCCGTGGACGAGGCCATTGCGCACATCAACGCCCACGGCTCGCACCACACAGACTCCATCTTCACGTCGGACGGCGCCGAGGCGGAGCACTTTATGAACCGCGTCGACTCGGCGGGCGTCTACTGGAACGCGTCGACGCGGCTGGCGGACGGGATGCGGTACGGCTTCGGCACGGAGGTCGGCATCAGCACCAACAAGATCCACTCGCGCGGGCCCGTTGGCCTCGACGGGCTGACGATTTACAAGTACAAGATCAGGGGGGACTACCAGCCGACGACGCAGTACGGCGAGGGCGAGGGCAAGAGGCCGTGGAAGCACGAGAGGTTGGCTTTTTAGATGGAAGAGGGTGATGGGCTTGAAAGAGAAGGATAGGGAGTGCTTTGTGGAGATGGGGGGAAAGGCAACGGCATACTAGTAAAAATGAGAGCTAGTCAGGGGCAGAAAAAAAAGTAAGAAAGGAAGAAAAAAGGGCCATTGGCCGGAGCAGTTTGAATCAGTTGTTCTACTATTCCGCTCCATTTGTTTGCGACTTTCCTTGTTGGAGATCGCGGTGAAGCCAGATCGGCGGACGCTGAACCGCGCGGAGGGACTTTTTCCTGGAGCCAGGGGAGCGCGCAAACAAATGCTAGCTCTAGCTGTTTCCTATCGGACATGCACCAATACAGACAGGGCAAGTCATGAAGACACAAGTTGTCGCCGGTAAATTGTCATTTGTCAACTCTTCAAAGGGCAGAAGCGCGTATCGCATCACTTCGTACCGCAGCCGTTCATATCTCAGCCAGCCAAAATTCCCCATCTACTCCCACCATCACCAATCCCCTTATCAAAGTTTGAAAGAGGAAAAAGATCCTTTGATTGCCCATCCTGCCCGAGTCAGGAAAAGCAAAAAGAAGCAACGAAAAAGCACAGAACGCTTCTCCCGCCCAGCTGAAGAGCCTAGCCCTTGTCCTCAGACAGGGGTCTACATACAGTAGTCTGGGCGCGGCGGCGGCGACATCCCGACGCCTGTTGCAAGCAAGGTCTGCAGGTGAAAAGGGATGTCGGTCTGCAAGGAAAAAGCTTGTACCTGTACGAAATGCTGCCCAGGCATCTCCTACACACAAAGAAGCTGTTTGTTCAGAACTGGTGGATGTTGGTCTCCAGTTCTCTGTTCTCCATCGTGAGAACCACTGATTGATTCCATCGCCTGAAATTCGAACTGCTGATGCGGGCCCTCTCTTGTGATGATAGGAGGACCTTTACGATTCACTCATTGTGACCCAGCCGTCGCTTCTGTAGAGCGTTTTGCATCTAGAATTGCTCGCCGTTGCCCTTGTCAGATCATGTTTCCAACCTTGAAAGTCAAGTATTCACACGTCAGGACAAAAGACACAGAGTAGCACTGCGTGTGCGGCGTGCAGCGCAGTGCATCATCTCCCATCATTCACATGTAATATCTTCGTAATTCAACGGGGACGTGTCGTATATATGAGCACAGCCAAGGCTTCGATCAGTGTCACAAAATGCCGTTTCTCTTCCAAATACTTCTCTGAGTACTTATCGGAATACGAGGGAATCAGGTAATATCAGCAGAAGATGAAAGAATCTGAGAGAGAGAAATGACAGAAAGAAGAGAAAAAAGCCAATAGCTTAGCTTTCAGCTGCCCTTCTTCTCTCGTATGTGAAAGTTTTCACCGTTCGGCCTAGTAATACCTTATTGCGGCTGAGCGTGCCGTTTCTCGTCCATTGGCTGCCCTCTTCCAGGTTTCTTCCCATGTCGTGTGTTCTCCTCACTCTAATACGTGTATTGCCTTATCGGCCTCTGTGCCTGTGATGCAGTCATCGTCTTGCCGCCTTAGTAAGGCCTGCATACCGGTCTGCTTTGCGGTCTCGAGCAGAAAAGGGCGCTCCGGCTTTGTGATACCCGTCGTCCCATCACCGCCTCTTGGCGGCCCGTCCCACGACTAGGTATCCGTGTGCTCAATACTCGACGAGAAAACAAGTCAGAGTCGAAGAAAAACCCAAGAGGCATCCTGATCTCCCGAACTGTAGTCTCACATCTCCAGAAATCGGGTACTAGGCAATTGAGCCAAGAGACACAAGAAAAAGCAAGGGACTCACGAGATTCCACACTGATTCAATGCACGTCAAGAGGCAAAAGAGCGGCGGCATGTCGGAGAGAACCCCAGCGTCCTGTCAGCGTGATCCATGTCTGTGACGCTGGCCGCCTCAGTAAGACAAGCTCCTGTGCCCTAACAAGAGCAGGAATAAGAGTCTGACAGGGCCATCCAAGAAGGCTGGGTCGGCAATTTCGAGCGGTTGCAATAATAATTTGCGTGTGCGCGTATCACCGCCAGCATCTTGCATTGACCTGTGGAATGTCCAGACCAAGCTCGCATGTGCGCTTGTGCACCTTCTCATAATACCTGTGATTCCGTGGGCAGTGCCGCCCTGCTGGTGGTTGAGGCGACAACGACGACCCCATGTGATGGTGACATGCTCTGCTTCTGTCTCTCTCCTCTTTCAGCCGTGCCTCGTGCCCAGACCTTCTTCTCTCTCATCACCAGGCTAATGATCCAAGCTACTACATCATAGCCTCGAGGGGACCAAAAAAAAGCTCGCCTTGCTCGAAAATGGGACCGATACGAGGGCATAACGAATCTGGATGGCCCTCGATACCTCTCTGGCCTCTGTGAACTTTCCACTGCCAACGGCATGGATCAGGCTTGGCTTACACACATCTGCCCAATTTAGGGCCGAGGCGGAGGGCAAAGGTCTTTTTTTGGAAGCCAATGGCGTCACTATCCAGTCGTTGTGGATGGGAAATGCCGCTGAATGTTCCTTGGTTTCTTTCTTTGTTCGTGTTCCTGTGCCCTCTCAGCCTCTCTTTTGTCGTCTTTCCACCTTTGCCTACCATCATCAATGAAACACAGTGCGATATGTCATGGTCTCCCTGTACCCAATTGCCCTATGTTTAAGCAGTGATCGTCGGTGTGATGAGGGGGCTCGCAGGGATTCGATAGAGATAGCGGCGGCTTGGGAGCCTGTCCGCACTGTACGGCGAAACGTTGCGTCTGGTGCTCGAGACGAGGCCTCATCAGAAAGATTCTCCGGGTGTGTGTGTGTCCTTGGACGAGGAAAAAAAGGCGAAGGGAAAAAGCTCGTACGAGTGAGTACCTACTCGGTACGTACCCAGGTACCGAACAGCACCTTCCTCCCGACGACAGAAAACGTGGAGATGCAAAAACCGGGGGCATTGCGCGCCATGACGTGATATGAGCCAATGGCGGCCCGGTACGGCCCTCATCCTGCCTGAACAGGACAAGCCGCTGCCGTGTCAGGACCAGTCAGCTGCGAGGGCAAGAGGGGGGAAGAGCGACCAGAAAACCGGGGGGAAAGCAGCAACCACCGCACTTTCTCGCTGCTACCACAGCTGCTAGCCACGCTCGGGGCCTCGGCCAGCGAATAGAGCGGAAGCAAAGCTCGTATTTGCTTTTCTCTGTCTCGCCATCTCTTTGTTTATTCCCTCTCTTTTCCCTCTCGTCAATCCATGCAGATTGTGCTGAAAGTCGAGTGACTGACGGCATTGTGTGGCGCCCGGCGCTTGCACAGCACATCACCGCCACCGCCTGTACTGTACAGCATGTAAGGTATGTATGTCGTCTCTTGGCGCCTCTCATCGTGACCGCACTCGAGCCACGCGTGGCTACCCAGGTCTCGCTACCTCCGACTACATACAGCTGTGCCGACGGACAGACAGAGCAGGACCTGCCAGGACATCAATACCTACAGTGGGCTGTCGGCCCAAGTATGGACCAGGTATCGCTACTCAGCTAGAGAGACCGGGTGCTGGGGCCTTTGGTGGGACGACCAGAGGGGACCCCCTGGTTAGCATCGTGACGGGTTGGGGCCGCCTCTTTGCTGCATGCTCCCTTTCTTCGCTGCCTCTGCACTGGTCTGAAGCCGGTATCATACGGCTGGCTGCTACAGAAGACCCCGGCTATGCTGCCAGACGACGTCTCCAGTGCTGGCTGTGCTGTGTGTATGTACATGTCGGCATTGTCGTCCTTTGCACGCATACGGGATCCATCGCGATGGGCTAACAGTGACACGATGCACCTTGGTCAGCACCGGCTGCGATGCGAGTTCTGCGTACGATACAAGCGGGCTACTCGCACCCAAGCAACAGACAACATACGACCGACGTCCCGCGTGGACGGCCAAGCGGCAGGTTCCAGCACAAGTGTGTGCCAGAGGTGGGAAAAGGGAGAAGGGGGCCTTGTCACTCGGCCGCCGCTACGCCCAACAGGCAGGTACCGCAGCCCGTACCGGTACCAGCGTCTGGAGACCACTTGGAGACCACCTGGCGACCACTTGGGATCCCCGGCACTCGAGGGGACCCTGGCCGCCTCCCTGCATGTGCCTTGTTTGGCTTGGGATGCTGGCAAAGACGAACAACCTCGTATTACTATCAAGGCATACAGGGACGCATGGCACACATGGTATATAATCATGTCCTGTCCTCGCACATCTCGTCCGACTTTCTGCTTCCGGACCCAAACTCCAAAGCATTATCACTACACTCGCTAGTTACAAAGCCCAGCGTCAGCTGTACTCTCGTTCAACAGCCTGCTATATCAGTATCCGCCTAATATCTTAATATCATCCTCACCCCCCTTACGCCCGTTTTATCTTCAAAACAGCACAAAAAGCAAAACAACAGACAAAATGAAGACCTCTGCCGTCATCGTCGCCGTCGCCGCCGCTCTCGTCAGCGCCCAGGCTCCTCCCGAGGGCACCAACAAGGTGTCGTGCGCCAAGCCCAACGCTGCCTACTGCATGGGCGGCGACATCATCGTCCGCTGCGACGCCAACAGCGTTGGCACTGCCGGCCGATGCTCCGACAACGTTGCCGGATACCCCCCTCTGGGCGGCGTTGCCGAGTGCTGGCAGAGCTCCGAGCAGGCTGGTGATGCTGCCTGCCAGAAGAACGTACGTCTTCCCTCCCAATCAGACCTGACCGATATGACGACCTCAAGCTAACATCATCATGACAGTGCGTCGTCTACGCTCAGCCTTCCTTCACCCTGGCTGCCTCTGAGTGCACTCCCAGCTTCACTGCCTCTGCCACCGCTGCTCCCACCACCCTGGAGAGCTCCGTGGTTGTCACTTCCACCGTCGTCTACTCCACCCCCAACGGCACCGTCCCTACCGTCACCTCCACTCAGGTTCCCCCTCCTGTCCAGACCACCCCCGTGGGCACTGGTGTCCCTCCTCCTCCTCCTTCTGGCGGCAACAACGGCACCTCTCCCAGCGGTACCAACACCCCCGTTGGCCCTACCACCACTGGCGGTAGCACCGGCCCCAGCACCGTCCCTACCAACGCTGCCGTTGCCAACCACGCCACCGGTGCTCTGGCCGTCATGGGTCTCGTTGCCGCTTACTTCCTGTAAGCGAGCATTCCGTGCTTGCTCGCCTTGCTCTGTCAAGTTGGCATAACGTTTTACGACTGAATTCAATATCTCACCATGTGTGGGCATGTTTATGAAATGTCTGGAGCGGACAGAATGAAGAAAAACGAGAAAACCATTTCATTTCATCTAGTGGAATCTGTGCGGGAAAGCAAAAGGATTGCCAGTCATGATGTTGCTCGACTACCTCCTCTTGCGAGTGGTTGTACATAACGTCGCAGCAAATGGGAAGGAAGCGGAAAGTCATGATGGAGGGCGGGAGGATATTATACCTTGGGGGACTAATGTTTGGACACGGGAGTTTGCTTGTTTTGCTTTTTGCCGTTATCTACCTATTAGATATCGACGTATGACGGAGATTACGCATTATACCTTTCTACATGCCTTGAGCGATGGAATAATACATTATTACTCTTGCGATTGTTTCGTCTCATGCTTTGCTGTCTTGACCTGATCTTGACCTCTGATGAAACATTGTGTTATGATAGTGTATCGTCTGGTTGATAAATATCGTCTCCCGTCCCGTTGTCTTGACCTCACTTTGGTTTCCAATTCAGAGTTCCCAATCGAGAGTTGTGTATTATCTACTGTATTGTCTGATATATAAAGATGGAATAAACGCCGTCCACGAACCCCCCCAGGAAATGATGCCCTATGAACGAAAAGACCTGATGCCATAATATGGAAAATGAATTATAAAGAATACCCAGCTTGCCTGAAGATCCGTCATTGCTGCTGCGCCCACTTCTTCGAATTCATCACCCACAGCTGCGGCGCCTCGCCCTCTCCCGTATAGACGTAGCTCAAGTAGAGCGCATACCGGAACAAGGCCTGCCGCAGCACGTCCTCAGTCACCTCGTCCATGCCAATGCTTCGCCCAAAGTTCTCCGCCGTAATCTTTTCCCCTTCGGCGCCACTGTACGTCGTGATGTCTGAGCCTGCATCGCTGTCTTCACCGTCGCTCCATGCAGCGGTGCTGCTTGCTGAAGAAGAAGACCACGATGATGATGAGATGGAAGGAGAGCGGGCCATGGGAGATGACGATGAGGCAGAAGACGAAAAAGAAGAAGAAGATGTATAAGATGCAGTAGGACAAGGACACTCCTCGGCGCCCCTCAACGCCGCACGCATCGCAGACAGGAAACTCTCCGGGACGGGAAGCCCGCGCGGGACGGAGCACCCGGGGGACCAGATGGCTTTTGGACGACGGCTGAGGTCGGCGGCGATGTGCTCAATGGTCTGCTGGGCGACGGCCGGGTCGACGAAGGAGGCGAGGACGGAGAAGGTGGGTTTCGCGAGGGCGGCGTTGAAGGCGTGGCAGGTGAGGCGGGCGGAGGGGAGGTCGTGCCGGGGGAGGTGGGTGAGGATTTGGGTGATGAGCTCGAAGGGGAGGGAGTCCATTTTCTGTTGCTTCTCGGTGTTTGGTGTGTGTGTGTGTGCGGTTTGATGAGGGAGATGATTGAGATGAGATAAGGTGAGTTTGCGAAGAAGAAATGTTTTATTGGTGATATGAGAAGCCGTCGAGATGTGTCCGGGAGGATGTTTGTATAGAGCGTGTCGTCGGAGGTGGCTCAAAAGGTATCGTGAATGAAGTAGTTGAGTGGTGATGATGTGTCGTCTCTGTAATGCCAACACCTCACGATGACCAGCTCCAAATGAGTTTTATATATAGGAAGCAATTATCCAAAACAAAACATCCAACAATGAATGCGACGAAGCGTGCAGTCCAGGATCATACTTATATACTGCCCTACTGCCTCCTTCACCCCCCTTGCCGCCACCTCGTGAGCCTCACCCTCAAGGTTCGCGCACTCCCTCACGCGTGGCCGTGCTCACTGCTTACTCTCCACCCCCCAGCAAGCCAAGCCCCCCAGCCCAACCAAGCACCAAGCACCAACACCAACGCCAACGCCAACACCAGCTGCCGGGAGTCGGACCCGATGCTGCAGATCCAGTTCAAGGCAAATCCTTGGCTCTCAGGCTGGCAGACTACTACATACTACATATTGATTCCACACACGCCCCCAGCTATTGATATACCACTGATATGCTTGCTGTCATCCTTGCCTCACCTGAGGAGCGAGACTTTAACTGACGTAAGACGCAGAAGCACTCTTTCAACTTGGTTCGACAAAACCATTCATCAATTCGAAGAAAGAAGCTTCACTTTTTGAGCAGCAATTACTAATAAAACAAAAACGCCGACGTTTGTCCTATGGTACTCGTCTCCAGATATGAGACTCGCGGATAGACTTGACTCGAACGTTTCCGAGATTCTGGTGCCGCTCCATTTCCATTTGCGCGACCTTGATGGCAAAGGTCTGCCGTTAGGGCTGACGGGGGACGTTACAAAAGGGGGGATGATTTGGCACAAAGGAGCCGAGGGGAAATTCCTCTGTTTGTCCTTATTTTAGGTTCAATCTCTTATTTCCGAGGTAAGATCAATGAAATGGCTGACATCGGTTCGTTAGCCAGCCGCAGGTAGTAAGCTTTTTTTTTTTCCCATCCGCGAGTGGCATTTGATGCGGTTGCTGTTGTTTTTTGGGCAGAGGGGGAATAAACTAGATACTACCTTACCTAGAAAGGGCTGAATGGAGGATGGCCATGTTCCACGCTATAGGTAACTGGGGCTGATTGGCATGCAGATCCTATGAGGAGAGAGAGGAGGAAGCAGGGGGTGTGTGTGAAGTGCAAATAGCCGGGGAAGAGGGGATTATACTAGTATTACGAGTATAACAGTACTGCAATCCATATGAATTGGGCCCAAAAGGGTCGTGTGATTCAATGTTCAAGTGGGATGAAGGGAGCAATCGCCACCTCTAAAGTCGGCGACTTATTACCCAAAATATTATAATCAACTTCGGGATGCCGCACATGTCAAGTTTCGCACCTGATTTGCGGCATTGCGGCTATCGGACAATGAGCTTATGTGGCTTGAGAGGGGAGGGAATAAGTCGGATAAGCATGAAGCTTTAGCATCTTCTCACATGTGGAACGAAGGAGAAAAAGGTACAAGTTCCCTCCTTACAATTACCCGATCCGGCAACTTTTGGCGAATCTAGGATGGGCGAAATATGTAGTACTAGTATGTAGGTAGATTAGGTAGCCTCAGCAACATTTTGGCAATTCGATTGCTTCTTTGGTTGTTACGAAGGAGTGAACTGGTGATGCGTGGCAATGACTCGTGTTATCGGATGATGGGCGAGGAGGATTGCACGTGAATGCGGGTGATGAGTATGAAGGATCGTGCAGTTGATCGTACTATCTGCCTACTGTATGCAGTGAGAGATGGGGTTACTAGACATTTGAGCCTGAATCATATCAATATACGTGGCACTTCGAATTGGTATGCCGTGCTCCAACACGCCGCCATATCAACATTGCCAAACAGGGCATATGAATTGCATGTATCAAAGGCACAACGGCCCAACGACAAAGCTCAGTCATGGACGTCTCTTTAATACCCGAGGTCAAGCTGCTCAAGAGCAACCCCAGAAAACGATGGGGATCCACTACTCCGCAGACAGGCCACTTCTGGAGTCGTGTGGGTAATATTGGTGAGGAGAGTTTGGCGGTGTTTTATCGCGTCCAAACAGGCGGTTTACCGGCTATCGGTGCTGGTAGTACTTGACAGTGCTGCTTGACGATCTGGGGTTGTTGAGGGCTTGGTATGAATCGCATTGTCCTGAGATGGCATGTGTTTCAACTACCCCAGATCGGACGTTGGAGACACGAAGTGGAAGAGCAGGGTAACTATTCGTTGCGTTCTAAATTTCAGTTCAAATGCCTTGATGATACGTCGTTGAGTTAATTGCGCAAAGCAGATCGATCAAACCACCCTTGCTGAAGCAAAAAGCTCGATGAAAAACCCAAGATGATAGTCTTGATGAGTAGCTGCATTTGGTATGATATTCCAAGGCATCTAATATCAGGGTAGACGAGAGCATGTCAACCCACAAGACTCAACCATCAACATGAACCCTAGCATACAAAGACTATAACCTTCTGGCTTGTAACATCTCAGCTCAATGCTCATGCCCCTACTCAATCCCCTCCGTCTCCTGATTCCACCACTCCTGCATCAGCCTCATCCTCTCCGTCCTCTCCTTCGCCATCTCCCTCCCAACATCCGTCTTCATCAGCCCCTCCAGCTTCAGCAGCTTCACATCAAAATGCCCAATCGAATCCCCCAGCGCCCTCCCCTTTGCTCCCCCAAACGTAAACGCCCGCCCAATGCCCACCGCCCCAATGGCGTCCAGCCGATCCGCGTCCTGCACAACCGCCAGCTCCGGATGCTCCTGTATGAGCTCCCGCACGCGCGCCAAGTCCTTCATCTCGCTCGTGTAGCTCACTCCCAGACATATCGTCTGGATCTTCTCCGCCAGCTCCTCCGGTGCCCCGAGCGAACGAAGAGTCTCGTAGACCATGCGCAGGCCGTCCTCGCCGGGCTTGAGATACTTTCTGTCGCCGACGTCGTGGAGAAGCGCCGCGAGGGTGACGATGTCGCGGTTCGTGTTGGGCACGCTGGGCTGGATCGCCTGGGCGAGGTGCACCACCCGCTTGATGTGGCTGTAGTCGTGGGAAGGGTCATAGTTGGACATGTAGACCTTGATGTAGTCGGTCACTTTGGCAATGAGTGCCGGGTCCACGGTGAGGGGAGAGCTCATGGTTTGACACTCGCGGGTTGTGCAAAGGAACGTGTCTTTGTTTGTCTTTTTTCTTTTAGGTTGGAATTATGATAACAAGATGCTTCCTGAGCCAAGTTTGTTTCTTCCTTGTGCTTGACAATATGGATGTGACCAATCCACCAGCCTGGGAATCTACCAAATTGCTCAGTCTCTGTCAAGTCAATGTCAGAATGCTCTCTCCCAGGTTTCGGATCAATCGATGGGAAATTGCTGCTTTATATAGGTAGGTATATCTGATGGTTCTGTCGAAGTTTGGTCCTCGTTTCGTCGTCGATAGATACTGGTAGCAGGGAGAGAAACTGAATAGTGACTCAGCCGGTGTAAACTCACGTGACCCAACTCCTTCGCCTTATCGTGATTCTGCTTCTTTTTTGCGTCTTGGCCGTTGCGCGTGAAGTCCCACGTTTTGCAGTGAATTTTCCAACCAGAATTATACTGGCAAACTTCACTCATTACCCAGTCTGATAAACTCAAGCTGCAGCTCATCCATGAACTCCAAACCGTGCAGAATCCTTTCACATCTTGGACTGTGGGGCTTATCACGGAAAAACTCCGGTCAATCCTTCATTCCCCGCCCATCCTGCTCCATCAACCAATCACGCCCCGCGTCACAGAACACAACAAACGGCGCACAAGTAGCGCCATCTGTGCACCCCTGCTCCTTCCCTCTCCCCTCTCCCCTCTCCATGTCACCAACCCCAAGCCGTCTTCATTCTAGCGCGCCAACAAGAGCCACAAGTCTTTGTACCTGGTACCCTTGCCCTTGACTCGAAAGATTCCAGGTCCCGTCGCTCGTCATGATGGCGCCTGTTCCCACCGCAGGCGTTGATTTCCGCGACCTGCTGCGCTCCGGCCAGTTCTCGGATCTGACCGTTGTCTGCCGGGGCATCGAGTTCAAGCTGCACAAGGTCATTGCGTGCCTGCAGTCGCCCGTCTTTCTCGCGGCTGTCAACAGCGACTTTCAGGTAAGAAGTAGAGAGGACAGGGTAGAGAGAGAGAGAGAGAGAGAGAGAGAGAGGAACGAGAGACACAGGAGAGGGTGTGTGTGAATCCCGGCAAATCAGAGCAAGGACGCTGACGGATTGGTGTGGTGGATACAGGAGGGCCGCACCGGCGTGATAAAAATAGACCAGTTCGATCCCGAGACTGTGAGACGCCTGGTCGAGTTTCTCTACACGGGAGACTATGGCCGCCAGCCTCAGGAGCCTCAGCCCGTGCAGGAGCAGACTCAAGGTTCGTCGCTGCCAAGTGGTGCGAAGTCCCGTCAGGCCGACCCAATCCACTGACCGAATGAGCCTTAGGAGTAGTCAACACTGATGATCAAGACACTCCAGGCACCGTGCTGCATGTGCGTGTCAATGCCATCGCCGACTACTACGGCGTCAAGGCCCTCGGCCATCTCGCGACCCAGAAGATCAAGCAGGCGTTCCAGGACAAGTGGGATCCCCAGACCTTCATGATTACTGCCAAAGAGGCCCTCGGCGCCAGCGGCGACAAGACGCTGCACGACGCCATGGCTCGCATCGCAGCCGAAAACATGACGGACCTGGTCGGATGCCCCGAGCTGACTGATCTCGTTGGTGACTTTGCGGCCGAGATCATGCGTCACCAAGGCAAGAAGCACGCTGACCTCGTTGCCATGCATCTGCACGCCGAGCTGGGAACTGCCCGCGTCGTGGCAAGGTTCCGCAAGATCATTGAGGAAATCAACCAGAGAGAGTACTGCCGCAACGCCGCTTGTGCAGAGGCCTCCTTTGGCTGCAACATCGAGCAGGTCGATAATCCCGTCGGCGAGCCCACCTACATTCTCCGCTGTTCCTACTGTCGATGCAGGCATTAGGTAGCCCTCTCCCAAGAAGGGATGGACGAAGAGTATGGTATCCTCGTCACGCTCAAACCATTCTACTGATGGCCAGAAGTGATGCTCACAGTTGTTGTCCGCAGGCTCTGATATGGTAGGCTTTGCCGCCGGCGCTAGGGATAGGTTATGTTACTATGCGGAATGCCTCCAAGTTAGAGGACAATGACATCAAATGACAAACGAAAATTGAGCCCGTCCCTTTGGTCCCATACCTACTTTGTAATACTACGAGTAATACTCCGTACTCCCAGGTATCATCCCTCCAGGCAAGGACATGGAGGCGGGAGATGTTGATGCAAGGGACACGGCTGCTGAGGAGCACAAGACACTAAAAGGAAGCCACTCCGGTCGACCGACTGTGCGGTCGCCATAATAGGCCGCAGAAGGATCCGGTGATAGTCCCTCTCTGCGAGTACTACTCGTAGTCCTTCGTAGTACTAGGACTAGAAGTGCGGACCGTGATGGCCTCTCTGCAAGTAGTCCTATCACTACTACTACTACTACGAAGGACTACTAGAAGTGCGGAGTCCTTCACCCGCATTGTGTCTTTGAACGTAGAGTCGCCAGTATGTGCCTGCTGAACTCTGTAGAGAGCAACTCAGTGTTTCTTGCGGTATGTTGGATCATGAAGACAAGAGAAACGCGACAATGGATATGAGAGCATAAGAAACAAGCCTCCTTCTCTCATGGGGGCACCAGGCGAATCACCGCCGTGCAGTACATCGTATCACGCTTACACGTTGGTCGCTTCTGCTGCGGCCGCGACGGGGAGATGCGGATGAAGCCGTGGTTGGGCTCATGAGCCGGCCGCGTCAAGGGCCGTCGGGAGGCCGAGCCATGAGGTGGAATACATATGTACCAACCTAGGCCTGTTGCTGGCTTTTACCGGGCGTTGATGATGGAGTGTGATGTGATGAGAGTGCGGCTGGCGACAGGGGTTGACGACAGTTGGGGATTTGGTAGATATATGCACTTACCGGGGTTATACCGCTATCCAGGCTCTGTGCTTCAGGCCTTGCTTGGACAGGCCGAGGTTCAGCCGCTCGCGGACTTGGTGGGGCGGTCTGCTCTTCGTGTGGCCTTGGTTTCTCGTCACGAAACTTTCAGCCTTGCGATAGCGTGCCTCTCGCCGGAAACCCTCTACACCTTCGACGCCAGCAGACAAGATGAGCTTCGTGCCGGTGAACCCTCGGCCTATGCTGCAGGACCTCGTCGACAAGACGGTCCTCGTGCGCCTGAAGTGGGGAGAGACGGAGTACAAGGGGAGACTGGTGGTGAGTCGAGCTCAAAGCTTCGGGAGAAAGGCGATCGTCTGCCCTGACTGATGCTAATTGCGCGTCTGCTGCCTCTCTAGTCCATCGACAGCTACATGAATCTCCAGCTGGCCAACACCGAGGAGTACCTGAACGAGAAGTTGACGGGCGAGCTGGGCCAGGTTCTGATCAGGTAGGATGCTGCTGCAGCGGCACGCGATACCGCTCCTCTGCCTCTGCCCCTGCCCCTGCCCCTGCCTTGTTCGTTGGAGGACTGACGATTGCTGCTATAGGTGTAACAACGTTTTGTACATCCGCGGGGCCGATCAAAAGGACAGCAGTGCGGACGTCAAGATGGAGGGTTGAAGAGGATATACTTTGGAAGAATGGGAAGAGCATACTCAAGACGTTGAGGGCTGATTTGCTGCTTGGATGAGGAAACGGGACACTGTACAAGATATCACACAGGCATCGTTTGTCAGAGCCTAACGATGGAAGCCCGATGGAGCGAACCGAATCGGAGCTCGATATCGATGCCTGCATACCGAGAGGATATACCAGGCGTTTGCCATACGAGATGGAGCAGCCGCGCAATACCAAAGGCAACGCCTCTCGATTATTAGCCATTTGTCAATCAGCATCCGTTGTTTTACTCAGATTTTGTCGCCCGTGGGTATTTGGACCTTTGACAATTTCGGTGGTTGGTCGTGGATGCCGAGGCCTGTAAGCTTGGTCTCTTTGACTGCTAATGCTGGGATGGGGAATTTTCCCCCTCAGGACGAAAGCGTGGTGTCAACAGACGAGGCGACCTCTTCAGCAACCAGCCGATCAACCGGGATTCTACTACATCAAGAATACGACAACAAAATCTGTCAGCCTTGTCTACACACCTTCTGGTGGTCCGCCTTCTCGCGTTCGACTCGAACATGGCATACTTGCCTACGGCTGGTTAGGTGCATATTCGCCAACTTCGTCGTCCGCATCCTTGTACAACCATGACCGAGTGAAGCCCTTTGCAACTCTCCGCGCCTCCCCACCGACATTGTGTGATCAAAAAGCAGCGCTGCAGCTCTAGCCCTTTGACCCAGCCCGGTTTGTTTGTTTGTTTCTTCGCCTATATGCACCTGTCGGCTGGGACAAATACCACGTCGGTCCACCCCGCAAGCGCCCCGGCGAATCACGGCCAGCTCGGCCTCTCCCTCAAAGGACCTCAAAGGGAACTAACGGATGCTAGAGGACGCAATTACGGTTCGCAATCAGGCCATGAGCCAGTCAAGAGCTCCAAGAGACCCCGCGGCCTTGGTCTGCAGGTGACGAGTCCTGCTGGCGGCAGTCCAATCAAGCGCCGCACCTAGACGCCGGCAGCGCTGTGGATGGTGGATGGGCGCCACTCAAGTGGTTAACCGCCCGACCCCTGTCCGATGAGTGAGGTGCATGCAGAAGCGGCCTTGGTGTGTGACTTTGCCGCGTTATTGGCCCGCTGGCAAGGGCAGATCCAGGCAAGCAGGTCGAAGAGGTTGCAGCTCTGGATCAGGTTCCAGACATGGGCCGCACACGGTTGGACCAAGTCGGCCGTCATCGCGGCCTCTTCGCTGGGCTTCGCAAAACGTATATCAAGGCGGCCAACACCCGTCCATCTCGTCTTCTTCTTTTCTGTTCCTCAGCAAGTTCTGCCAACCTCAAATCCACCTTTCTGTTTTTCTTCCCCCCCCTGTTTGTTTTTGTTTGTTTGTCCTGGAGCTGGTCTCCCTCTTAATCTTCTAATACCATATCTCGTCCTCACTTACACAAACCCTCTACCTGTCAACTACACCATCAACCATCTCAGTTGCCGGTCAGCTTGAGACGAGATAATTTTTAACACTGAACCATTTTTTGCATTTTCACCATCACGACACTCTAATTGATACCCCTTTCCCCTAAAAACAGAACTGTGGATTTTACTTGCTCGCTGGCGATCAACACCCAATCTTTACCAATCTTTTGCTCACAGAATCACATTGAACCTCCTACAAGCATCTCCCTAATCACAACAACTTAATTCACATCAAATCAACATGTCTGCTGTTCAACTGTCATTCTCTCTCCGCGTCTCCTCTGGCGTCAAGACCGTCCACCTCCTCGGCTCTTGGGACAACTACGTCGGCCAGCTCCCCCTTGCCAAGGACAAGACCTCCAAGTCCGGCACGTGGAAGGGCACCTTCAGATTCCAGAACTCGACCCTCGAGGCTGGCAAGCGATACTGGTACTACTACATCATCGACGGCTACCACATCGCCCACAACCCCTCTGTTGAGTCCACCACCGAGCCCACCACTGGCCGCGAGCTCAACATCCTCGACGTCACCGAGTCCCACAAGTCAGGCAGCAAGAGCTCTTCCAGGCACTCGTCGTCCAAGGACAAGTCCTCCCGCCACCGCGCTTCCCTCACCGTCGACATCCCCAAGGGCCGCCCCCTGTCCGTCTCCCAGATCAAGGCCCCCAAGCCCATGTCCCCCCACGCCACCAAGCACATCCTCGAGTCCGACTACTACGGCAACGAGGAGCTCGAGGAGCTCACTGCCCGCTTCGGCAGCACCGGCCTCGACGAGGACGTCCTCACCGACTTCAGCACCTCCCCCGTCTCGTCCAACGGCTCCAGCCTCTCGTACCGCTCCGACAGCTCCTCTCCCAGCTCCTCGCTCTCGGGCTACAGCACCCCCAGCTCCGACTGCAGCTCGTGCACCTGCGAGCGCTACGGCATCACCCGCAAGGGCGAGCGTGTCAAGATCGACTGCGGCGGCTCCCGGTGCGGCTACGACGACAGCTCCTCCTGCGCGAGCGACGTCAGCGACGACGAGGAGTACGACTACGAGGTCTCTCCCCAAGCTTCCCGCCGCAACGGAATCATTGTTGCGTGAGCGACTAGGACCCCATGCCTTGATGATAATGACGATATGAGGAGGCTCGTTCCGGAGAAGAACGTCGCCGACATGTTTTATTCCCACCCCACGACAGTTCGGGCAATTTGCATCATGATCCTGCAACGCCTGCTTCTGTCTGGTGAAACACACATTAATGTTGTTGTGTGGTAATGTATATACAAGCACATTCTCTTGCTTCTATATCATCCCTTCCCCACCGCGTCACACCCCCCAGAGCTGCCCGCAGCGCACAAGCTGGTCTTGAATGCTGCCTGTCTCTGATTAAGGGGACGCGTGTGATGACCATTGGGTCGATGCTGCGGCCCCTCGCGAGTGGTCCCTCCCACTGCGCGAGTAGTTGATTCTTGAGCCCTTTCAGTAAGAGTCGGACCAGTGGCGGTACCTGTCCGCGTCCTTCCCTTGCTATTTCAGCCAAGACCGGAGTGTCCTCTCCCTCTTCTCGTAGTAAGATACAGAGGGGGGAAAGAGGATATCCAGCTCCGCAACCGTCAAGACGATGGATGTGGCTCGGATCAGGTTCATGTCAAATGATCCGGGCTAGCCATGACAGAATTCTGTGGATGAGGGGGACGATTTGGCAGATGGCTAAGGAATACTGCCGTGTTAGATACTCGATAGACGACTCTTTGAATCTACGGTTCTGACTGATGAGGAATGACTTGATCTCTCTCTTGACGCTGTGATGTTTGCTGTGAATCTGTAGCATCGTTCATTTGTGTTGCTAGTTACGTAGTGTGACTAGTGCACCTCTATGTAACCAACCTTGTTGAAGTATTTGATCCAGCATAGCGAGGTTGAGTCGTGAATCACAAATGCTAACATCAAATGTATGTATCCCAACAAAGGCGGGGAGGTCCGAATGTCTCTGGGAAGGTTTCTTTACATCTTCAACCTCAACCACCTGTTGATCTTTTGTTCCCAGGGTTAGTCAGATACTCTTGTTGGTCTCATATTAGGTAGGTACTTTAGTTCTCGGAGAATTCTTCCTCGAAAAAGGGCCTTGCGTTAAGGTTAGCAATGAAGGGGAACGCCAAAGCAGCCATCTCCGGGTCGTGGCTGAAGGTTATTATCGAGGTTATTTTCATCAAGGTACCTACTTGGACCCAGATTCCCATATTGCAAGGCGAAGAGAGTCAAACAAAGGGAATTGCCCTGATAGGAGGGGTTTCATGATTGTGAAAGCTATGTATCTTGTTCTTTCGAAATCACGCTCTGATCGTTCACGCCGTATGTGAACAGGGTTCCTCTCGATGCTTTGCTGGACAAACTGGCGCCACTCGGTTACCATCATGGTACTCAGTAGGCAGGTATTCTGGTCTTGACTTTTGGCTCGCTTCCAGCTCGAATTGGCAGTGATTCAGTGCTCGGTTAGACAATGTGCCCCGATGGTTTCGTGGCTTTTCCCATATCGAACCGAAAACCCTCCATCAGTACAGCAAAGAAAAAAAGAAAGTTCAAGCCCCAAGAAAGGATATCCATCCTCTAACCCATACACAACTGCCCGAGTCCAGGTCCTTTCTCGCCGAGAAAGTACGCAATCAACCTCTCAGCGACGAAGCGTGGCCTCTCAACACTTTCATCCTTGGGTATAAATATCTTCTGATTCCCTCCCCCCCCTCCCCCTTGCCGTCCTTTCGATATTTCACCTCCATCATACATTGTCTATCCTCTACCATGCCGGACAGACAATCACGACGGCAAAGGAGCTCCACGGAGCACACGAGGGGGCCCAAGAGGAGCGGCCACCCTTCGACTCCGCCGACCGCATCATCGAGTCGGCGTGGAGAAACCAGGACCGGCTCTGCGAGCGCCAGAGCCGAGGAGACAGCAAACCTTGGCAATGGCCATGGCAACACGGGCTCAGGAAAGCTGATTGCGTAAGCTCAAGATCCTTTATCTTTCAATCCCTGTTCTTCATGTTCTTTCTGTGGTTGTGGGGGGGAGGAGGGATTTTGATGGCTGATGCTGGGAGAGTGGTAGCCCGTTGAAAGCCTTCGTTGGAGCGGCGGCGAAGATTGCTGAGGAGGAGGCGTCGCAGCAGAGGTGGATGGCGAGGCTCGAGGCCGGGAGAGCGGCTCTTTGGGCGAAATGTCTGGGGGAGAGCAGGACACAGGGACTCGTTGGTGAGTTTACTCCTTGACAACTCATCCTCATCTTCCCTACTCGACGTCTTTCAGTAAACTGTGGCAGCAGTGCCTAGTCGACGTTCGAGTGAAAAGCATCGTGGCTGATATGTAGGAACATAGGACTGAACGAAGAGGCCACCCACTGCTCGATATCGGAGCTCTCTCAGTTGATGGAGGACATCAGCCTTGACGACGAGAGCCTTATGGACGAGTCGGCGGATGAGAAGGGCAAGGGGAAGAAGAAAGATGAGGATTGGGTGGTTGTCCAGGAGGACTTTGATGTGCTGGTGTTTTTGGACGATGGCTGATCACTGAGGTGAGCCGGAGGATAAACGGTGATTTTCGGGCGGAGTGTGTTTCGTCCGTGGGCGTTCAGGCTTTTGTCATCTCCGGACATTTGGTCAGGCAAGCGATATTCTGCAAGGCGTACAGAGTTGAGATTGAACGAAAGTTTTGTTGCCATTATTGCAATTGAATCCAAGAGATCTTCTCGCAGACAGAGGCTGGAGAGCACTGTCCATGACAAAGCCACAAAGAGGCACGACAGAGTACGAAGCAGCTCCAGCTGAATCGAGCTTCAATTCCCATTCCGTGTCGCCTCGTTGCAATAGGAAGTGTTGGAACGTCGTGATTGAGGTCCCGTTTAGCGATGGAAAGGCTGGAGCTGAACTGAGCTGAAGAAGAGAAATTAAGAATCTGACATGTGCTGTCAGGGCTGGAAGGCTGCCTCACGAGAGGCGACCAATACGCGCGCAGAACGGCGGCCTGTGTCGACATACTGTATTATCGAAGAGTTGTAGGGATGCTACAGCTGAAAAGCCTCCGAGTAAGACGTAAGGTAGGTAGTGTAGATACTACTACTAAAGCACTATACATACCATCAACCTTGTCGAGTTACAAGCGTCGTAGTACATGTAGTTGCGAATACCTAGTAGTAAGCGGTCCTCCCGCTGATGACACCGATCGCTTTGTATCCCTGACAAGCCATTGTCTGTCTACCCTTGCCCTGTCTTGCCTGTCGCCCTCCCACCATTTTTGACCTCAGCTGGCCACTATCTAGGAACTAGACTGGAAGTAGCAGAGCCTTGCCGTCGAGTGGCTCAGGAACGTCTGATTATCCTTGGAGGAGAGGCTCGCTAACCGTTGGAGAAAGAGGAGACTGGCGGAGGAGGCCGTCGGTGGCTTTCGGTGATGTTTGGTTAGAAGGTGGAAAAGATAAGTCACAGAATCAGGGACGTATGTACGGATAATACAGTCAAACAAGTATGTATGTACATGCAAGCCAGTGCCTGTAGACGAGCTTCGCATCTCAGATGCAGAATCGAGGAGGCAAATCGGCATGCAAGGGAGGGTGATGATGGATTAAGAGACGGAACCACGTCCGACACGTCATTTCCTGAGCAGAGAGGTAGAGGGGCCTCGAGCCCAGCGGGCTGGTCTGGATCCAGTCCATGAGGACAAGGGCAAACTGGCGTTATTACTGCTGCGTCTTTGTGCGATGCCCAGATAGGACATAAGATTAGATTGGTGTTTTCATGTATTGTCTGCGCAGTGTCGTCGTGGTAATATGTACAAGCTGGGATCTGATGTGGTGAGGTGCAGCAGCCGATGTTGGCTACAGGCCCTGGTCGGGTCTGGTCTTGAGTGCTTTAGGCGTGTAGATGCCCTGTGCTACAGGCGGTACCACCCACTACGGCCCCTATAGCCCCTATGGCAATCGCCACACACACAGCACCTGAGTCACTGGAGTTGAGTGCAGTTGAGGCCGAGTTCAACACCCAAAACCTGCCTGTTTGCTGCCCACTCACCTCGTCCTCGAGTCATCGCCACATCATTTTTTACTCATCTTCTCCAAGACAACCTGAATCCTGACCTGCTCCCGCGCTGCATCTCAGCAATCTCGCCACTCGCCGTGTCAAGCCGAGCACATCATCTCGACCGATACCGTGATGGCCCTCGTATCTGCGTTGCACTTGTACCTGGGCCCTCGGGTCATCAGCGTCTTCCTCCGCAGCGGACCTCGCCTCGTCCATCTGCTTCTTCCTCTCCTCTCTCTCCACCGAACGCCTCGGACCCGCCATCGCTACGAACCGCCTGAGCCCACTCTCAGTATTCCTGGCTGCTTGGCTGCCCTTGGCCGCGTCGATTCAGGCGCAGATAGTGCTGTCCGGTAGCCCTGCGGCTTGCAATCGCCGACCTGATTAACCACGGTGCCGATCGCCTGCGCAATCCATCACGGCAGCCTCCAAGACAGACTGACGCCCATCTGCATTTCCGATTGGCGACGCCCAACAGGGGCCACCCTGGAGCCCGTGGCCACGTCGGGTCGGGAGAGCCTTGCCTGGACAGGTCGCTGCTGGCTAGCACCCAAATCATGCTGCCCCTTTGATTAACCATCCACCAGAATGGGGCATCTCTGGCGGCCTGCCAGAGACACTGCCAATGATGGAGCTGCTTTGGTGTGCGGTTGAGATGGGGGGACAGAGGGGGGAAAAGAGGCTGACTGCCATCCATCACCTTTCTGTCTGTTCCCCCCCCCCCATCTCGCTGATGCATCGATTGCCGGTCTTGGCCACCCCGGTCCCTCCAGCCCAGACCCTAGATATGTGCGGTTCCCCCAGCTGGCAGTTCGGGCTAGATGCAATTCCTGCGTCGTTGCTCGCCAACGTTGTGCAGAAAATTACTTGTACAAGTAAAACGCCAACTGAGCTTGTGCGCGGTCGGCTCGTCTTTACCTTTGTTGCAAACTTGCTGGGCGATTCGGTTCGATCTGGTTGTTGTGCTTTGCTCGCATCGCATCATCTTGTCAAACGGAATACCGACACGATACACGAGATCCGGTCTGTTGGCTTCCTCTCGGCGATGAAGATGTCTTGCCCTCGCCATGTCTCTGCAGCCTGAGCTTCGTTCCCATCGCCAGCTTCTTGATATGGCCATCCCATGGCATGAGCTCCTTGTGAGGGGCCTCACGCTGGTACGTCATCTCAGCTACGATATATGCTAGCCGTCTCTACCATTTGTGACGTCTGGAGACTCGCTTCCATCTGCACCATCTGGCGGCGCTGCACCTGGACAGCTGAAGCGGGACGGGGCAGATGGACTATGGGTTTGGGGGCCCATCAAGCCACAACTCGAACTCGACGCCGTGTACCATTTCCTGTTACTAGCCAACTCATGATCTGACTCGCTTTTCACATAGCCCAATGACAATCGAACGGGGTCTGCCCGCGATGGCTCTGAAGGTGGCACTCTTAGCACATCAAGCGGCAACAAGACGGCGTCGCTGTCCAAACTTGGTGCTACTTTTGCTCCCGTCGCCATATACCTGGGCCTCTGCCTGACTTGTTTCATTCTGCTACGGAGTCGGTCCAAGCGAGTGTATGCGCCGAAAACGATTCCCAGCCTTCGGTATCCAGAGTAAGGCACAGCTCTCTTGATCTCCTGCCACCTCCTGCCACCTCCTGCATCTCGATGCCCCTACCCCTCCCGCCTCAAGCCACTATGCACTCTCAATGCCGGACCCAGGTCTGATGCTCCTCTAGGAACCCCATCCCTGAATTGCCTTCCGGCTTGTTCAACTGGATCATACCCTTCTTCAAGATCCCAGATACCTACATTCTCAACAATGGCTCCCTCGATGCCTACTTCTTCCTCCGCTACCTCAAGGTTCTGCGAAACATCAGCTTTGTCGGCTGCTGCATCGTGTGGCCCATTCTGCTTCCGGTGCATGGCACTGGCGGCAACCGCCTTCAACAGCTCGAATTCTTGACCATCGGAAATGTCATCACCGGGTCCAGAAAGCTATGGGCCCATGCCGTGGTTGCTTGGTTATTCTTTGGTAAGCCGAAGGATAGGCGGTAGATGCTCCATGGGGCCGTTTCTAACTTGCAGCCGCCAGGATTCGTGCTCTTTACGGTCGTCCGAGAGTGCATCTACTTTGTCAATTTGCGCCAGGCGTACCTGTCGTCGCCTTACTATGCCGATCGACTGTCATCCAAAACACTGCTTTTGCTGTGCATCCCCAAGCCCTATCGCGACGAAGCGATACTGCGGAAGCTCTATGGCGATTCTGCGAAGCGCATCTTCATCCCGCGGACAAGCAAAGACCTGGCGAATCTGGTCGAGGAGAGAGAGCAGACGGCTATGCGGCTGGAGAAGGCTGAGATTGCTCTGATCAAAAAGGCCAATGCCGCGCGCAACAAATGGCTGAAAAAGAACCCGCAAGTTGGCAATGTGCTCGACAACCCTGGAAAGCTAGAGGCTGAGGCAGCAAAGAGGAACAAGATCGCGGCGCTGGATAGTGCCGAAACTGTCCAACAATCTAGCGGGCCGCTGGAGGTAACGTCTGATGTTGAGAATCAGAGAAATTCCACCAGCGTTGAAGCCAGCAACAAGCAAGTCAACGTAGAGGAAGAGGTGGAAGTTCAGGCCGAGGACTCGGATTATGTGCACCCATATGGCTTGAGGTCGACCTTGCCGGATGTCAGAGGCTCCGTCGCGAGCGAATGGCTTCCAGCTGAAGCCCGGCCATATCATCGACCTCTCGGCAACTTTGGACGCCGAGTCGATACGATTGGGTGGACGCGAAAGCGGCTCAAGGAGCTCAATATCCAGATCTACAAGCTGCGGCGCCAAATCAAGAGGGGCGATGCCGAGCCTCTTCCGGCCGCTTTCATTGAGTTTGATACACAGGAGGCTGCCCATGCCGCACAGCAAGTTGTTGTGCATCATTTACCTCTGCAGATGGCGCCCGGCCTGCTCGGCATTCGTCCAGAAGAGGTCATCTGGGAATCCCTGAGAATGAAGTGGTGGGAGCGCATCATCCGGCGCCTGTTGATATTGTGTGGCATCACGGCCGCCATCATCTTCTGGTCGATTCCCTCAGCCTTCATCGGCGCCGTGTCCAACATGGACTTTCTGACCAAGGAGATTCCGTTCCTCCACTGGCTCGACAAGTTGCCTTCGTTTGTGAAAGGCGTCATTGGCGGTTTCATTCCCCCATTTGCCTTGTCTGTGCTGATGGCGCTGGTGCCAATCCTGCTAAGAAGTCAGTAACCCTTTCTTGTAAGCCTGTCTCTGGAGACTATACTGACCATTGGCTTGTAGTTTGCGCTGCTCAAACTGGCATCCCTTCGCTCATCATTGGGGAGCTCTTTACGCAGAATGCATACTTTGCCTTCCAGGTCGTCCAAGTCTTCTTGGTCACCACCATCACCTCGGCAGCCTCTGGTGCACTTCAGGACATCATTCAGGATCCCCTCAGCATCCAGTCGCTTCTCGCGCAGAACCTGCCAAAGGCGTCCAACTTTTACCTCTCTTACATCTTGATTCAATGCTTGGCTAGTGGAGGGTCTCAGCTACTGCAAGTATTTTCCTTGATTCGCCACCACATTGTCGCAAAAGCATCCGATGTGCCCAGGACTCGATTCCGGACTTGGCGCAACGTTCGGCCCGCTCGCTGGGGAGGCATCTTCCCCGTATTTACGAACATGGGAGTCATTAGTATGTCATGACATTACATGTTTGCACTGCTCCGGGAAGGAAGAAGCTGACACTGCTGCTAGCACTTTCATACGCATGCATTGCGCCGTTGATATTGGTCTTCAGCGCCGGAGGCATGGCGTTCATGGCCGCTGTTTGGAAATACAACCTGCTCTACGTCTTCGATACCACGACAGACAGCAAAGGCCTCTTTTACCCGCGCGCGTTACAGCAACTGATTATTGGCCTTTACCTAGCAGAGATTTGTTTAATTGGTCTCTTGATTCTAAACTCTGCGTACGGACCCATGGGATGCGTCATTGCCCTCCTTCTTCTGACGGGCTTGATTCACTTCCTACTCAGAGACGCCATCTCGCGCCTCATGTGGAGCTTGCCGCAGACGCTGGCACTGGAGGAACAGATCCAGCAAGAAGCCAAGGCCAAACTCGCAGACCACGACGATGGAGTAACACCCGGCAATGATGCCGTCGGTGCGGCCGCAAGCTACTTTGACGTAGAGCAAGCATTTGGGGACGAAGAGGAGAAGATTGATGACGACGAGGAGGATGACCACCAGGTCGTCTCCAACAGAGCGATTGAAGGGGCCACCAGTATCCGACAAGCCCTGACGGCCTGGATGAAATCGGCTGCTATCGAAAAAGTGAAGACGGGGATGGAAGATTCGGGACTCAACGCGATACTGGCCAAAGTGTTTGCGTTTGCGAGGAGCGGAAATGGAGAAGAGCCTCCTGGCTTTCTGGTGCGGTGGCTGCACCCGGAGGAGCACGAGGACTTTGTGGCACTGCGCAAATTGATCATCCAGGAGGACCGGCCGCCGATTGTCTATACGAACGAGAACAAGTACGCCACCTACCAGCCGCCTGAGCTCTGGATGCCGAAGCCAACTCTGTGGATACCGAGGGACGAGGCTCGAGTGAGCAGGCAGGAGGTGGCACACACGCGGCTTGTGACGCCGATATCCGACCTCGGGGCAACGCTGACCAGGTCTGGACGGATAGATGTAGATCTTGATGCGGCTCCGTTTGAGGAGACTAGATTGTTATTGTAGCGAGCGTGTTTTGCTTGATGCTGGAGCTGTTGAAGCTCTGTTCTCCTGGCTAGTATACCCGGCCTGTTTGACATACCTATGGTCAACACAGACTTAAATCACGACAGGATCAATGAAGATATCGCCATGAAATCTCCTCTTTTTAAATTAAATCGTGATTCCTTAACTTCGTGTAAGTGACTATTTCATGGATTTTAGACTACCTTATACAGGTACCTACCTAGGTACCTGAAAAGAGTTGAGGAGGTCAGCGCCACATCTACCTACTTATCAGCCACACTCGAACCCAGATCGACCCCACTACTACATCCCAAAGCTCCAAAATTTCTTGATGATCCAGCAAACCTCAAAACTGACATTGTCAATCGAGGCTTGTCGCAAACCACCAAACTACTACCTAGGTACACACTCTTCTGACAGCTCCGGGTCAAGTCGCCATATCACAACGACACAAGCTCTACCCAAATGCCTCTCGACACATCGACATACTCGCTCGCGCTCCTGCGCATCGACGGCCGCCGGTGGAACGACCTCCGGCGGCTGCACGCCCAGATCCACACGCAAGAGGCCGCGGACGGCTCGTCGTACCTGGAGATGGGCCACACAAAGGTCATGTGCGTGGTGACGGGCCCGGCGGAGCCGCAGGCAGGGCAGCAGAAGAGGGGGACTACGGGAGGAGGAGGAGGAGGAGGAGGTGCTGCTGCTGCTGGCGGTGCGCTGGGTGCTGGACAGAAGGATGCGGCGAGCATTGTGGTGAATGTGGTGGTTGCTGGGTTTTCAAGCGTGGATCGGAAGAGGAGGGGGAGGAATGACAGGTGAGTTGCACGAGGGGCGAATTCTGGAGAGAGAGGAGAGGAAGGGAAGATCAAAAGTACCTATGGGGAGAATGCGTGAGATTTGAGTTGACTGACGGGATGGATCGTAGGCGCATCCAAGAGATGGAAATCACCATCCAGAAAGCCCTGGCCGCCAACCTCCACACCCACCTCTTCCCGCACTCGACAATCACCGTCTCCCTCCACGTCCTCTCCCAAGACGGCTCCCTGCTCGCCGCCCTCATCAACGCCACCACCCTCGCGCTCATCGACGCCGGCATCCCCATGACGGACTACATCACCGCCTGCACCGCCGGCTCGACCTCGTCCTACGCCGCGGGCGACGACTCGGCCGACCCGCTTCTTGATCTCAACACGCAGGAGGAGCAGGAGCTGCCGTTCTTGACGGTTGCTACGCTGGGCGACTCGGATAAGGTTGCGGTGCTGGTGTGCGAGAGCAGGGTGCAGGTGAGCCGGTTGGAGGGCATGCTGGTCGTGGGCGTGGATGGGTGTAGACAGGTGAGGAGGTTGCTGGATGGCATTGTGAGGGCGAAGGGGAGTAAGATGATTAAAGAGGGGGTTGTGCAGAGGAGTGATGTGATGGCTGTGAGCTTGGAGGAGTAAGAGGGGGGAAGCATTGTATGGGGGACGGGGTACTTTTTTGTTTCTTTTTTGAATGATACCAGGTACGTTTTCTTGAGGGAATGGCTTTGAGATGAGAAATGTTCATTCAATCTTATTGGTATACTGTCTTGCTAACTTGGATGAATGTACTTGTAGCTATTCCGCCTGCTTAGAGCTCATCGTGCTCAGGCTTCTCAGTGGCCTCATCAGCTGCGGCAGCTTCAGTCTCAGACTTTGCTTCCTCCGCCGGCTCCGCCTTCTCGACGACGACTCCCTCGGGAAGCTTCTTCTTCTCGCCCTCGCCCATGCGAACGGCGTCAATCCAGGACTCGACGCTGTGAACGCTGAACTCACCGTCCTCGTATCGCCTCCACCACCCCCGGCGGGCGTTGAGGGCAACGAGCTCAATCTTGCCCGAGAGGCCGAGGGCTTCCTTGAGGGCGGCAGAGCCTTCGACGTCGCTGTCGACAGAGAAGAAGGGGAAGTGGCGCTTTCCGTGGACGTACTTGGTGTGCAGCTGGGAGACGGCAGAAAGGATCTTGTTGCGCATCTCCGAGGCGGACGCGGGCACAAAGGCGAGGACGCAGGTTTGGGACTTTGGTTGGAGACAGTGCTCCTCGAGCTCTGCCTTGGAAGTCAGGGCGGGGATGTCGATGAGGGTCGACTCCGGCGCGGCGGCCGTTGAGGTCTCGGAGGATGCGGCGGACGAAGACTCGTCGGCGGCGGCGGCCTTTTGGGGGGCCTCCTTGCTGCTGGCCTTGTCCTTGGTGGAGGCCTTCTTGCCGGACTTGCCGTTTGAGGGGGCCGGGTCGGGGTTGGGCTCGGCGACCTGCTTGAGGAACTCGACCATGTCCTTCTTGTTGAGCTCGCCGCTGTAGACGACGGGCTCCTTGCCGCCTCCGGGGATGAGGACGAAGGAAGGGAACGAAGAGATGCCGAACCTGTCGACGGCAGCCTTTTCCTTGTTGCGGACCTGGCCAATGGTCACGGCGTCGAGAAAATCAATAGCAAGGCTCCTCAGCAGCGCACTCGTAGTTCCCTTTTCCGTGAACAAGATGGCCTTTGGCTTGTCGCCGTCCTTTTCCAGAAAGGCATCAATGTCCTTGTCCGTCAGCTTGACGACGTGGTTGTTGATCTTGGCGACGACGGCGTCGGCAATGGCGCCCGCGGTGCGCTGGCCCTGGTAGTCCTCGACGACGGGGCGGCCGGGCTTCTTGCCGGGGCGGACGATCTTGAGGGTGGGGAAGCCCTTGACGCCGAGGGAGCCGCAGAGGGCCTTGTTGGCGTCGTCGTCGCAGTCGACGGCGGCGACCTTGGCCAGGCCGTCGAGGGTGCGGGCGGCCTTTTCGTAGGCGGGCTTGAGGTTTTGGCAGTGGCCGCACCAGGGGGCGTAGAATTCGACAATCTTGGGGGAAATGTCAATGAATGGTTCATATATATGAGAGTTGTGTATGTATCTGTGTGTGTATGTGTTTGTATGTATGTGTATGTGTTTGAGCTTGATATATGTCTTGTGTTTGTGGTGGTTTGGGGTGGATGTGTATGAGATATGATGTCGCGTTGTGAGTGAGGTGAGTGTGTGAGGACGGATACTTACAGAGGTATGATTCGACTTTGTGATGAGGCGGTCGTACGACTTGGCGTCTACTTGCAGCACGGGAGAGCTCTTCGAATAGAAGCCCGCCTGAGCAAAAGGAAGAGCAGCGAGACTCGCCGCGAGGGTGGCGAGGAGGGTTTGCTGATGCATGGCTGGGCGTCTTCTGTAATTGGCTGCTGTGTAAGTTGGGAGGTTCAAGTGAGTTGAAAAAGAAAAAAAAAAAAAAATTCCCAAGACTTAAAGACCAGGTGTATCTTCAGCCGTTTTGACAGTCCCTCTCTTAACCCTTTGGTGAGAAAGAGAGGCTGACGATGAAGAGACGGAGAGTGTGAGGATTGAGCCAAAAACAACGGGATGATGTGGCTTGCTGGTGGCTTGAGACTTTATAGATGGGGTGTGTGTGCTTCGGCTTCGTGGAAGTTGGCGGAAAAGGCCACGCTGGAGAGGATGCACAGTGCGAGTGTGGCTGACTTGCCGTCTGGGGTGACGATGCTAGTATTCACAGATATAGTAGTCTTAAGCAGTATGTGAACGGCTCTTGCTCTTCCTCCTATGCCAATCTACATGCATATTTCGCGGTATATATCAATTTGGGGTACTGTTTTTGATAACCAGATACCGGATGTGTAGGACTGATGGTCTGATAGCTATTGATTCTGGTCTGTAATGAAAAGACAACAGTCATGATTCAAACGTGCACAGCGAAACATCGTGCACAGTGTGCGTAGTCTTCTCAGCTTGCAGCTTCCCAATCTGTCGCTGTGGCGCGACCTTGAGCGGGGCACCACGCTGTGGCTGACGTGCTGTCTGTATGTATGTACTCTGTACCTTTTGAAGATCAGCCGTCATTCTCAAAGGCTGCAGCTTTTGATGGCAGTTCGATGTGGGGGAACAAGCAGCAAGCATCGTCACCACGCACTACGTCGTCGTTGCGACGATATTCGCACAAACCATCTCTCTCTCTTTCCACAACCCACCTCTGCTCATCTACTCTTTTGCTCTAATACTATACAAAACATCTCGACCCTTTTGAGAATCTACAGTCATAGATACTTGGAGAGACAGCCCTCGAAATGGCAGAGCCACTCCCCATCCCGCCACCCCTCAAGATCCCCGAAATCAGCCGCTTCATCAACCGCGCAAACCAGCTCCGCGCCTTTAAGCCCGCCATCGCATACTGGTGTACGTCCTGTTGAACCTCCCCCTCTTTGTTTTTTTCGAATCAAAGTCGATAACTGAGATCTAAACAAATGCGCAGGCGAATACCATGCCGTCAACCAAATCGTCGGAAAGGGCCTGCACAACACCGACGATGACTGCTTCGCCTTCACAAAGGCGCTCCTCGAGCGCCTCGAGGCCACAAAGGCCGAGCGCCCAGACGACGACGCCATCATGGACAACACCGCGGGGCAGGCCTACGTCGAGCAGTTTGCGCAGGAGACGTTTGACCGCGCCGAGCGCACAATGAGGGCCAACAAGGTGACGAGGTAACATACACATATCGAACAACCAGCACCATTTCATTTAGCGAGAAAGAGAATGTTCCCCTCCTAATTTGTTCATTTTGTCATCGCACAGACAAACGGCAGACACGTTCGACGCCGCTGCAACCTTCTTCGACCTCACCCACGAATGGGGCACCCCCGAGCCGGAAATCCTCCAGAAGATCAAGTTTGCAAAGTGGAACGCCGCGCGCATCCTCAAGGCCATCCGCGAGGGCAAAGATCCCAACGAATCGAACCCCAAGCCCCGCGAAGCAGAAGACGAAGAACCCGCCCTCGACCCTCTCGATCCCGCCGTCCAGCAGCTTACGAGTCCACCACCGCCGCCGCCGCGGGCAGCCTCCGTTGAGGAAGTTCCTGATGGAGGCGAGCCGTCGTCGCGTCAGGAGACCGCCTCAGAAGGATATTTCCCCCCACCGCCGCCGCCTCCTCCTCCTCAGCTGGCGGAACAGGATACCGAACCGTTTGTGCCGTCGCCCATGAGCACCAGTCCTCCCCCGCCAGCAGACTCCCAGCCTCCTCCTCAGCTGCCGCCACAATTCACTTCCTTTGCGCCTCCTCCTCAGCCGCCTGAACCCGTCAATCCCTCGATTCCGCCCAGCTGGACAGCTCCCACAGTAACCGTCCCTCCGGCCGTCGCATCGCCGACTCCCCTGTCAGCTCCCGTCTCGGCGCCCGTTCCGGCTCCCGTGGCGCCTCCGGCTACAAGCCTCGGCGGCGGCGGCGTCGGCGGCCACCCGTCCGTGGCAGACCAAAAGAGCATTGCGCAGGCGCAGAAGCATGCAAAGTGGGCCATCTCGGCGCTGAATTTCGACGACATCCCGACGGCGGTGCAGGAGCTGCGGAATGCCCTCGCTACGTTGGGGGCGCTGTGAGGAGGGGGTTCAAGCTAAGACGGAGCCAAATTGTTTGTGATGTATTAAGAGGTGAATGATTATGGAAGCGTCAAAGCATTGGTATTCAGGAGTCGTTATTCGCCTATAGAAGGAGTGGCATATCTGAGCTACCTTACATATGCAGTGAGAGAGGAGCGCTACCTGGAGCCCCCAGAGAGTCGTAGGGAAAGGCAAGACATAATGGTGAGATAAGAAAAGAATAATCAAAGTAATGAGAAGCAAACAGACGCCAAGCCAACCATTTCAGATCCATCGTCAAAGTCATTCCACAGAGTGCCATACACATAGAAGAACCGTACATCCCAATCCCGTTGCTAACATGCCAATGCTCGCTGCTAATGTTCACGCCTCAACCAAAATGCCGTGCAGGTTCTCGAAGCCCGGAATCGGAACGCTTTCGAGCGGCCTGTTTGGGTCGGATCCAGCGACCGTTGCTTCTTCGTCCTCATCCGCGTCCGTCCAGCCGCGCTCTGGCCCCCATCGGACCGCCACGCCCTTGGCTTCGGAGGCGACCTTGATGAGGCCGGACATCATCGCGCCCGACTTCTTGACGCTGGACCAGGCGTCAAACTCGACCTCGGCAACGGCCGGCAAGGCCGCGAGCACGTCGGCGAGAAGCTTTTGACTGAAGCCCTCGTAGAAGCCGTTGGACCGGCGAAAGCCCTTGAAGATGTTGTCGCTGGGGTCGCATTCCACGAGGACCCTGACCTTGCGCACCCTGACGCAGTCCCCAAGCCCGAGGGCCTCGTTGACGGCCCAGCCCTTGGGTGGCGCATTCCACCCCGGGCCAAGGCGCAATTCCAGCGTCGTCAGGCATTCACGCTGCCGCGGCTTGAGGCGCGCGAGTAACGGGCGCTTGGTCTTGAAGTACTTGCCCGGATACGTGGGGAAGATGCGAAACGTCCGGGTGCCGTAGTAGTAGTACGTCGCCTCCTTGTGCAGGAGCTTGCAGACGCGCATGAGGCCGAGCTTCTTATGGATGCGCTTGTAGTTTTGAGGAGACAGGTCAATGACCTCGTCGTCATCTTCGAAGTAGTATTCGTATATCTTGATGCGCAGTTCGGTGGGCAGGGAGAGGAAGTGGAACGGCGTGGCGGGGACACGCGGCGGCTTCTTTCGGAGCGGGATCAGAGGAGTGTCGAGGGTGAGGGAGGCGATTGATATATTGTTGATTTCATCGTCGATACTGCTGGGCGCAGGCGCCTGGGGTTCTTCCGGCTGTTGCAACTCCGGCTGCGATGCGTCAAGACTGGGTTCTGAGGCTTGAGGCTTCTTTGCCATGGCCTGAGTCTTCTGCATCGCGGCTTGAGGCTTGCTCGACGAGGGGTGCGCTTTGTGCGTCGCGGCTTGCGACTTCTTCGCGGTGGCCTGCGCCTTTCTGGGTGCTGGGGGAGGAGAAGGTTTGGTCAGAGACGGTCGTCGACCGGTGCTCTTGGAAGGATGCTCGGACATGGTGGCGTTGATGAAGGCGATATGGGTTCGATCTTGTTCCAATCTAAGGTGTGGCGAATAGTGGTAAAAATGGAAATCGTTACGGTGCTTCCGAGAGGTTTGGTCTGCCGCATGCCACACTGGCGGTTAAATAGAACGGGTGACGGATAACGGGTGATGGGAGAGTGACGGGGCAGATTCGGTCGGTCAATCACAGAGGAACGAGACACCTCGTAGAAGAGGGTGGTTCCATGGCGAGAGGACAATTCGTCGAGTTGAACCACCCTCTACCATGCAGCAAACGCAGCGGCCATGGTGGTGATTGGACTGAACAGAGCGGTTTTGTCTTGAGATGAGCCGATGTCGAGGGAATGGCGCCTTTGATCTAGAACCAGAACTGATTCAGGGTCTGGCAGCAGCAGTAGTAGGAGTGAGCAGAAGATGCAGCATCGAGGAGTAACAGGGTCGTATCCGAGACAGGTTTCAATTGAGGAGTAAGACAGAGAATTGCTCGCGTGAGGGGAGGCGGAAGCTGGGGAAAGCCAGTCTTTGATCTACACCTCAGTACTGTGTTTTGTATGACAAAGCGGAATCGTCGAGGCAAGAGTACGAACGGGTACGTACTCGGTACTTTGCGCAGGTCGGAGGTTTTGGGTTGGAGAAGGAGCAGCTGCCATGACGAAAATTCCCCAATCGGCAGCTTCACGTGAGCGGGCTCATCAGGCGCTAGTATCGATGCGGCATCGAGGGACCCAATCGGGGCAAATGCTCGGATTACGCAGCTACCCCACAGTTCAAGAGAGAACATGCCAGAACCGCTTAAACTCCGGCAGAATGCATCCCAGCAAAAAAATCTGGATGACGGCGGCGGGTCAAGACGCAAGAGAGGATGAACTTTGCCTTTGAGCCACTAAATTGATCGCAGCAGCATCATCTTGCACACGACGAACAGTCGCTGAAGCAGCGAAGCAGGAGATCTCGTGCAATCGGCGACACCTGCGAGCATCGTCCAGCGACCTGGACATCCGCAATTGAACCTGTCCCTCTCCCTTCTTCCTCTCTCGCTCTCCCCCCCCAGTCGCATCACGATGCTCTCCAGAGTCGCTCAAGCCTCTCGGCTGGGGCTGACGGCCGCTCGCCTGCCTCGAACCGCCGCGCTTCAGCCTCTCCGGATTCGCCCAGCAACGGCCGCTCCCGCCTCGCAGTTCCTCCGTGCCTTTGCGGACAAGAAGCCCAGCGCCGACGAGACGTCCAGACCAGCACCGAAGCAGCCCTCATCAGGTCCTCAGAACCCCGCAGAGAGCTCATCAGCGCAAGAGGACAAGGTCGATGCTGCCGCTGACAAGAAGCCCGCCGATGCCGAGCCTGAACCGATACCCTTCCACAAGCTGCCCGATCTCACCCAGGGCATTCCCTCGACACTCGAGGCCGAGCTCGAGCAGAAGAGCGGCAAGTCGCCGTCGTACCTGGAAGTCAGCGAGGGGGAGCCGTCATCTGGAGGAGGAGGCCGCGGCCGAGGTGGCAGGGAAGAATATGTCTCGACCAGCGAGCGCAACCGCAAGTGGTGGACTCGCTTCATGCTGACCGTCGCCGGCTCGGGATCGCTGGTGGGCATTGCGTACATGGGTCGCAACTGGGAGGACGAAATCGAGGCAGAGCGCCACCCCGACATCCCCAACGGATGGAGCCCCAGTCTGTGGTGGCAGCGTACCCGCGCGCGATGGGGAGAGTCTGTGTCTTACTACCAGGACCCGGCCTTTGAGAAGCTGCTGCCCGATCCCGACCCGAGCTTTGAGCGTCCGTACACGCTCTGCATCAGCCTGGACGACATGCTCATCCACAGCGAGTGGACGCGAGAGCACGGCTGGAGGGTGGCCAAGCGCCCTGGCATGGACTACTTTATCCGATACCTGAGTCAATACTACGAGCTTGTCCTCTTCACCACGGCGCCTTTTGGCATGGCGGAGCCGCTGGTTCGCAAGCTGGATCCTTTCCGCTTTATCATGTGGCCCCTCTATCGCGAGGCGACCAAGTACGAGGACGGAGAAATCGTCAAGGTGAGCTTTACACTTTTATCAGCCCCATCACGGTCGACATGAGCTAATCCTTTACTAGGACCTCTCCTACCTCAACCGTGATCTCTCCAAGGTCATCATCCTCGACACCAAGCCCGAACACGTCCGCAAGCAGCCCGAGAACGCCATCATTCTGGAGCCCTGGAAGGGCGATCCCAACGACAAGGAGCTCGTGGCGCTGATTCCCTTCCTCGAGTACATTCACACCATGCAGTACGCCGACGTACGAAAGGTTCTCAAGTCGTTTGAAGGAAAGCACATCCCCACCGAATTTGCTCGTCGAGAAGCCATTGCCCGACGAGAGTTCAACAAGCAGCTGGCCGAGAAGTCCAAGAACAAGAAGCCGTCGGGCATGGGCGCGCTGGGCAACCTGCTCGGCCTCAAGCCCAGCAAGATGAGCATGACGATGCCCGTCGATGGAGAGCAGGATCCCCTCGAGGCCTTTTCCCAGGGCAAGATGATCCAGGACATTGCCCGCGAGCGAGGCCAGCGCAACTACCTGGCTCTGGAGAAGGAGATTCGCGAGAACGGCGAGAAGTGGCTCAAGGAGGAGCAGCTTGCCATGGAGAAGGCCCAGCAGGAGGCGATGAACAGCATGATGGGGTCCTTTTCCGGCATCTTTTCCTCAAAGAAGGGCGGCGAGAACAAGGCGTGAACCTCAACACACCAATGAAGGGCGAAAGAAAAAAAAAGATGAAAAATTTGAAAGGAACAAGCTTGTAGGAAAGATGACGGACGTGCCGTTTCCTTTCCCCCCCCAACCACCATCTCTCCGCTACATAATGGCTTCAGTCATACCATAATACATGTAAAAACACCAAAACGGGAGGGAAGGAAACGCGGCAAGGTCATGGTTCTCGAATTCGATTTCGTCTATTGAGGACGGGGGATACTTGCATATAGAAAACTCTTTTACGGCACATGGCACGGAAACGAGCTTGCTGAGAAGGCACTGAAGGAAGAGGCGACTACGGTTTTGTATGCTACGGCAGGACGGGGGATGGAAAAAAAGGACCTCGTGTGTATGTTGACTTGTATATTAGAGGATGTATGAGTATCTTCAAGGAAGAAATGCAAAAAACGCGTTCGAAATTGCTACGGTTATTTTACTCGATGTGAAGAAGATGATTAATATTAGGTGGTATCCTATGCGCCTGGCTCATGTTGTCATACTTTCGAGTCCCCCCCCCTTTTCCGAACATCCCTCAATCACCCAGCTGTTTGGAAACACTCGCACCCAGTCGGCAAACTCGACCGCGAATCTTGTCAACTAATCAAGGTAGTATCCCAGTACATAATCAGAAAGAAAACGCTTCAAAATCGTACAGATTTCCACACAAACCCGCACCACATCAAAGCCCTCCACCGGGCAAACCATCCCCTCACTCACACCACACCACTCCCCACGGCCTCACACAAAGGCGTCACCTGCACCTCCCTCGTCACCGTCAGCGTCACAAAGTGAATCGACGCAGGCTGCTGCACGACGACGACGTGCGCGGTGCCGTGCGACGAACTGGTGTATGTCCCCGGGAGGAGCGTGCGGTAGTCTGTGCTGAGGAGGTTTTTCGTTGTTGCAGGGGTGGTGAGTATGATTGGGGTAGAGAATGAGGGGAGGGATGATGATGATGTTGTTGTTGTTGTTGTTGTTGTTGTGATGTTGATCCAGCAGTGGTCGCAGCGGGGGTTTGTGACGCATTGGAAATATCTTGTTATTATTATTTATGGTCAGATGGTGATGCTTGGTTATATGGAGGGATATGTAGGGGTAGGAGGAGTGTGAGGAGTGGAATGAATGGTGAAAAGGGGGGGGAAAGACATACTCTTCGCCGTTCTTGTCCTTGATGCGAGAACAATCGCACTCTTGTCCTGGCAAACACATGTCCTTCCATGGATCAGACGTGGTTGTCGGCGGGGGCAAGGGAAACGACGTCGTCGGTGGCAGGGGGAAGGGAATCGGTTCGATGATTGTGGTTGTTGTTGGCGGCGGCGGAGGAGGCGGTAAGGGGGCGACGACGACAATGGCCTCGAGACTCCTGTTGTAGTGGTGGTTGCGGTGGTGAGGAGGAGGAGGAGGAGAAGGAGGAGGCGAAAGAGAGGGAGTGTGGCGAGGGATGGAGAGGACGATGGGGAGGTGGAAGAGGAGGGAGGCGAGGATGCGGAGGAGAAGCATTCTGATGGATGGGATCGATATCGGGGTGATTCTGTAAGAGGCCGTTGCAGAGGGGACTGGGGTGTTCATTGCGATAGAGCGTGGAGAGTCTGAAGAATAAAAAGGGGGGAAGAAGAAGAAGAAGAAGAAGAAAGGCAGGAGGGGGAAATCGCGAGCTTTATGGACAGGGAGAGGCTATATATATCTACTTGTTGTTTCTATCCTGAGTGACGACTTCTCGGCCTCTGAGGGGTCTGGGAATATATTGTGAGACGAGAGATCGGGCTATGCATAAAGGGTTTCTCGGAAACTATATCCAACGAGATTGTTTGTCCACGATGCTGACACGTTACTCGGATCGTGCCCGACGGATAACGGCATCTCATCTCGCATACGGCTCCCATCTATGCATGTAGCATCTCACAAAAAAAAAAAAAAACCAGTTCCCAAGATCTTGCCCTCATCGAATTGTACGCCGTGACGTCGATGAAATGGCTGGCAGTCTGTTTGCTTCAGGGTTTGAGAAACGACTCAGCTTACATCGAACGTCTTCCAAGGGTTGAAGGGAGGGTGATGAAAGGTATCACATGGTAAGAGGTATGCTTGAACTCTTTAGTCTTTTGTGTATTGTTACGGCGGCACGGGCAAACTCTCAATCGGGATCGTGTGTCATGTCTTTGGATTGTGTAACGGACGAGATGTTGTTGAGATGGGACAAACATACAAGACATTGCACGTGCTTCTTGCAAAGAATGTCTCACAGTCTGTATTAGGGGAACTTCTGGTATTTCTTATCTAAATCATCCTGGATCTAGCCTCTTCGATCCTTGTAGAAAGCCTGCATGAATACCGAAATCTGAAAAACAGCCTCCTCCTCATGTAGAGCCCCTCCAACCAGAGGGACCCGTGTATAAACCCAAGCCTTGCACTTACAAAGGCATCCCGTAATACTACATGAACCCGTCTTATCGTACAACAAATTCGAAAAGAAAAATGAGAACCCGGGGTATTCGCTACCATATCCAATCACCCTTTTATCCTAGCATGCCCATTCTGCATCACCGCATCGTCATCGCTCTTCCGATACAACCACCGCGGGACAAGCCTGAAGAACCGTGCGTCCACGTCGACGCCTACAAGCTCCAGCAGGCTAATCACAAGGTAGACCAAGAAGACGACGATGACGCCAAAGTCCAGAATGTGGACAAACCACCAAAAGTGCTGCGTGCCCAGGCGACAGTTGGCAAACTCGTACTCCCACTCCCACGTCTCCGGGTTGAACCACATGCTGAGGAGGCCTGCGTTTCCGCTAAAGTCGCCCATCATGCTGCGCACCGTAATCTCTCGCCTGCCCGGGACGCCCGACGTCGTCAGCTTTGGCAGCCCGCGCGCCTGGGCATCACGCCACCTCGCCACCTCCCACGAGCGCTCGCTGGGGTCGGAGCCGTTTGTCTGGTTGACAAAGTGCCACGTATCGCAGCCCTCGTGATCGTGTCCGTTGAGGATCAGGCCCTTGCGGCCTCGTCCGCCGCCCGCCGCGTCGGGGTTCTTGTTCATGCCGAAGAAGCCCTCGAGGAAGCCCTTGCTTGCGTCCGCACTCAGCAGGTACTGCTCCTTGACGCCGCTGCCGTCCTCCTCGCCGTGAAAGTCAAAGAAGGGCGCGTCCACGCAGACGCCCTCGGGCTTGTAGAGAGGAATATGCGTCAAGACGAGGGTGAAGATGCCCTCGTACTCGACAGCGGCCGAGGTTCCGATGACGGTGTTGATGAAGTTGTACGTCGCGTCCTGCAGGCTGGTGTCCTTTGCGGGCGTATCCAGGTTCATGTCGTTGAGGACGACGATGCGGATCTCGGGGTCGAGGCGGTTGGACTCGGGATTCCTGTCGTCGTCGTGGATGCTGGCTAGCACAGCCGAGTCGTTGAGCGGGATGCCGAACCGAAGCTCGTAGTTGACCTTGCCAAAGACGCGCTCGAACCGGTCCAGTCGCTCCTTGGTCAAGTCTCCGGCATATCCAATGTCGTGGTTGCCGGCAACGTTGATGATCCGCCGCGTCCAGACCTGCTCCTCCTCGGAGCCATCCAGCATGCCGGCCAGGTCGTACTCGTGTGCGGGCCACGCGGCCACCTCGTCCGGCACCCTCTCGCCGCCGCGAAAGACTCTCTGCCAGAACCTCTGGCCTCTCCGGTCAAACTCTTCGTCTTCAATCCACTGACTGCCCAGGAGATCTCCGAGAACGGTCACGTGCGTCGGGCGCGTCCACCAGTGCATCGTCCTGTATATGTGGGCGAGGTAGAAGTCGTTGCCGATGTGATCCAGCCGCTTGCGCCACGACTCGAGATAGTAGGGGATGTCTTCGAAGAGGATGTCGACAATGTCGTGCGCGATCCAGCGGAGGCGCTCGCGGAAGCACCAGTGCTCCGTCTGAAAGGTGACATGCCTGTAGATGCTGGCTGCGTGCGGGAACGTGCCGAGGATGACCGTCGGGATCGAGGTGTCGCCCTCCAGCTGCGGATCGCCCAGCGCGAGGAGCCGGAAGGGCGCCAGCTGGGTCGGGGCCTGGGCTGAGGTCGAGTTGGCGCCGTCGTCGGTCCTGTTGAAGGGCCAATGCAGCCGCTTGGTGGCCTCGAGGGCTTCTCTGGCGTCTCGCGAGGGCAGGGGAAACGCGCAGCCGCCGAAGAAGGGATAGAGATAGAGGTAGATTGTGCAGGCTATCGCCAGAGGCACCAGCAGGCCCAAGCCATTGCGCAGGAACGCCGCGACTAACATGAGGCCAGCCTCGAGTGCGAGAAGCGCGCCAGAACAAGCGGGGGAGGGAGGAGAAAGAATGGAATGTGATAATCGAGAGATTACTTGAAGCACAAAAGAATGAAAGATCTGGAGCCGGCGATTTGTTTTGTAGGTAGTACTACCACCCACGATTTATTAGCCTGCCTTGAACCTTCAGGGGTCCATGGCGTGGCAGGGCTTAACAGACAGGGGCTGCAGTGTACTTGAGGAATGCCCTACGCTGGCGGGCAGCCGGAGGTACCTGTCGGTGCCCCGCATTAGTGCCTGATCCTGGTGGCCCCTGACGGTTCCATGCATGTTTTAGGGTAGCAGCGATTTCATGTGTTACACGATCAGGGCCGTTCATCAGGACGACTCAGATGCATATGAAAGACAAGGCATATATGAGATCGAAGTCTCGGCTCAAGTATTGCTAGTGATATCCTGAAATATTATCATTGCCGTGATGAGCTTCTCACTAGGTTATGGGATAACAGCGAGTTTCATTGTCTGCACAGGTAGAGTCAAGGGCAATGAAGCATATGAACTTGAACGCTTATAGGAGGTAATAACGTAGCCTCAAGTGCGTTGCTCAACATGCTCGGAGGAACTGGAGCTGTAATAGTACCTCACAGGTTTATGAATTTGAGCAAGATTCTTAGCCAAAGAGATGATTATTGAATCTGAAGCAACTCGATAGAAAGACAACTAAGAGAGACGAAAGGAAAGTCGAAAGAATGAAAAGGAAGCTCGAAAGAAAGAAGGCAAACTTGAAGTAAAGAAAGGAACCTCGAATGAAAGGAAAGAAACTCGAATGAGAGAGAGGTAACGCAACAACCAAAGGAGAGTCAACACAGTCCGTTCCAGTCGCTGCAAAAAGTCCATCTGCCTAATGAACGACAGTCGCCACACAACAAACGCTGCTGCTAGACAACTTGAAGCTACCTTCCATAGATGCAGACGCAATTTGCAGCGAAACACAGGACCCAAAGACAGATGAAGAAGTCTCCGCCGAACGACATCAGATAAAGGCCCAAGAGATGGAACACCAAACTGGCAAGTCGAAGCTCATCATCTGAGTAACGCCGCAGTTCAGAGTCCAGCATTTGTCTCCAAGATAATCCTGCCCTGTTCCTCCGAGTGATTGGAACAATGACTGTGCCAAGCCCTGGCTGAAAGAATGATATGCTCATGGGCCTCGCCCCTGGGGCATCCATCGGAAGATGCTCCGACATACGAAACATCAGGTTCAGGGGTCTGGTAAGCGGGACACCTGGTGGGCCATCTCCCAGTTCTTCATTATACCGGAGACGGATCTCTCCATTGGGCAGGTCTTCAGGCAACTCTGGTATGGTGACTGCGACGATGCTCCCTTGAGGCCCCATTTGGGGGAACCTCAATAGCAGACGGACAATTCCCAGGCCGTTGATTCTCATGAGTGACGTCGTTGTTGGAATCTGGGCGGCGGTGAGACTTGGGGTTGGAGTTGTTGCTCCGGCCCGTTGGTCCAACACTCGCCGGGCGTGGTCAGCCACAAGCTTAGCTGGCATGACGAGAGCCAGGTGGTTCGGAGCATGATAATGGATGACATGACCAAAGAGGCGACCCGTCGTCTTGTCTACGACCAAGCTCCCGCGGTCCCCAGGACGCAGTGGAGGGCACCTCATCAGGAGCACCTCAACGCAATCTCTGGTATCAGGAGGTCGAACAATCCAAGTCGTGTGTTCCAGAGCTCCCTCCACCGTACCGCTTGTTGGAGTCACGGCTCTGACAGTTGTGAGGCGGGGGCCGGGTTCGATCCCGTCATCGCTGTCGAATGAAATGGCGTTGTCAATCAAAGAGGGAGAGAGCATCTCGGGAGTAACCCAAAAGAGAGCAAATAGAAGCTTTGCAGTGCGCAGGATCGTCTTGACCTGATTACCCGTCTGCCCGTTTGTAGTAGCGGAGGCTGCGGCCTGACAGCCTCCATTACCCCTTGGAGCCGAGGCTGAACTCTCCAGGCTCGAGTGTAGAGAGATGTACTGAGTCATGTCTTCGTGGTCGTTCCTGAAGCCTCTGAAACCGATACGTTCGATTGCTTGGAACTGGGGCTCTTCAGCCATGTTGCTGGGAGTCACAACCGCTTCTGATTCCGAATCTCCCAGAAAGCTGTTGACGGTGAGCAGCATGTATTTTCCTTTATATTTGACGATACCACCCCCGGCTGAAAGAGATGCCTGACCGGGTTGGTTGGCAGGCGGCCATGATTTTGATCCTCCTGACCACACCACACAGGAGCTCAGGGAGCTTTGCGACTGCAAGGGGGAGAACTTGGCATATTCTGGTTTGGACGGCATAGCTCTTGCAATGCTCAAGTAGCCGACCTCGAGGTCTGGATTCTGTTTGGCGTTCTTGCTTGTTACGACGTGGTCGATGGCTGATTTGCGAGGGAGTCTGTTGTCTAGATAGAAATCTAGAGATGCTTTGCTCGCTGTGTTATCTCACGAGGAAAAGGACAGCTTTTTTAAGCATCGTCTTCTATAGCCTGTGCTCCCTCAACCCCCCCCTTGAGCCTCCTAACGGATGCCTGACTGCTGAGCCTCATGTTTGTAATCATGGGCCACGCTTTTTGGTCTCGCGAGACGAATCTCATTAGTTCTGTGGTGTTTTCGGTGGCTATGCCTCCGTCGAGGTCGGACAAGATGGACGGTTGCTGACCGCCATGATCCCTTTCCACCAATTGAGAAATAACGAAGCTTCAAATAGCAACATTATGAGAGAGATGCCTGGTAAGTGTAACTGACAGTGAGCGAGATCCAGATGTTTGCGTCGTTTTTCTTTGAGTATAAGGGCTGGTTATAGTTGGGTTCAGCGAGGTTTGCATGGAGGCTTTGTTTGTGCCTCTAATGCCGTCAACGCCAACAATTGGATGAGGTTTCTTTGTCTGATCTCGTGATATGCATGATCAAGTCAACACGTCACAAGTTTGATCCTGATGCCAAGGCTCCTCATCTGTCTGCACCCGTTCGTGCCTAAAGGCCATTCAGGTTCCCAAGTCTGATGGTTGTGAAACGGAGAGACAGAGCCTCACATCCAGTATTGGAGGCCATGTCTCCTCAACAAGTTCGCTCCATTCCTGATATCATTTACCCGGTTAGTCAGAATGTTTGATTGCAATCGATTGCAGGTTAGCGGCCTTTTTTCGCCTTGCACTGCTCTCAATGAAGCCTGGTATAAGTCAGGGGTCATCTGTCGGTGACCTCCAGGGACGCCTAATACACGACCCTGTCCCTTGATCAAGCAAACCATAACTGATCCTGGTACGATGCTACCGTCATGACATCTAACAACCGCTATACTCCGCTGCGAAGGTTCCCCTTCTCGGCATCGGCACAAGAGGAAATGCTAAACGTACTGTGGGAGGCGTCGGGAGGCCATGAGAGCATGACGCCGTACCTCGAGTATCACCAGCAGCTCGCCAAAGGCCCACGCATCGACAATCCTGCAGAGGTTTCTGCCAAGTCTTGTTCTGACCTTGTCTCTATTGCGAAAGCGATTCTCTCCGGCGTTCCTAAAGACGACATACTGGCACACCAACAACAAATAGCATCAACAACCAAATGCCTTTCCACTGCCGCCGAAATTGAGCACGACATAGACATGTGCGCGAGGCTTCTAACCATGACTCAAGTCAATCACTGTGGAAGCTCTTGTGGCCTCGCTGGAACAACAGCTGTGCCATGGACAAAGGTCTCGTTGAAAGATGCATTCTCGTGCCATTTCTACACTCAGAGGACGTTGCAAGCAGATCAGATGAGGCTCAGCAAAGACTTTACGGCATGGCATTTGAGCCGCATAGCGGGTGTTGATATTCGATGGACCGCAAACCTGGCAGATCACCTTCGCTTCGTGGATCATGATCAAGCTGTCTTTGTTTTCCATTGCGCGAGCTTTCTTCAGGTTCATATCAAGTAAGAAGAGGCCAGGATGGCAGTCCCTCAAGAGGCGAATATGGGATATGATTAAGCCCAACTGACAAATGAAATAGCATGAATAACAGCCCCTTTCCAGAATGTCTTATCCAAGAAACACTAAACACTATCGGCCTTCTCTTTCCCTCACACGATGATAAGACTACGAGGTGGCTGAAAAGCCTTGCGGAAATCGATCCACAGCTGATGAGATGCGATTCCATAGAGAGACACAAGCTCAGATTTGGCGACTTCAACTACTGGCACGATCGGCTGGTGATTTTGAAACAGGTGCTCGATGACTCCAGCCCCTCGACTCTGTCCCAGCGGTGGCACGATAGGAGGAACTGCCTGCGGTGGTATACTTTCTGGATTGCTATACCCCTTTTTGCAATCACTGTGTTCTTTGGGATTGTTCATAGCGTTGAAGCTGCGGTGCAGATATATTTGACTTGCAAGAGTGGTGCGTTGGGGACGTAATAGGGAGAGGATGATCTTGGGAGGCATGTCTGTTTAGATTATGTGTACGCGAGTCATCAAGTCGTTATTATCAACAAGCTTCTGATATCAAAATTGAGCTTTTCTTCATTCTTCCACTTGAAGACGAGTGTCTTGATAGAAAGATGAGGGCAATACGTTCCTTCGTGTAAGTCCACCACTGTCCTCACCTGCTCAGTAACTTCTTAATCGGTAATTCACCGCGGTGCCTTTCGCTGTAGTAGAAGCCCAACTCTTACACACAGATTCAATCTCGAGATCAACCGAATTCCATAATTGTCGATGGGATTGTCCATAGACCTGATAGTCTCATTGCTTTGAAGCCCGGATGAACTCGGATCTCCGAGGATTGAGGGCTTGATGCAGGCAGGGAAGTCCATTTTCCATTCCCGGAATAGCCCCTGGATCTGCTCTTTGGCATCAGATCCACAGACGACTAGCGCAGACAAGGTTGTCTTATTTCCTCTTTTGGCACAACTCCATGAGAGTCGGCAAAAGTTGATGCCATTGACACCTTGTTAAGCATCACTTGATGATGGTTTTCGGGTGTGTGAAAGACTCCGTGATTGTCTCAATTTATAAAGCAACCGATGAAATGCTAGCAAAATTAGATTGATGGACTGTTCATCTTACAAATCAGCAATCCACAGACCGCGCAATCATGGGCCTCATGAAGATGGATCCCTTAAAAGACAGATGGGGAGATGGCAATACCTCCTCGAGTACAAGATATAAATAAGGGCATCATATTCGCATAGAACAACAATATCCAAAGAGTTCCTCGTTTCCCATCAATCTCCTCACAATCCATTCTTTCAACTCGCTCAAAATGACTGCCGCAGACACCCTTTCCCTGACCGGCAAGACAGCCATCATCACCGGCTCCGGCAAGGAAAACGGCATCGGAGCCGCCATCGCCCACGCCCTCGCCCGCAACGGTGCCCGCGTTGCCATCAACTACCTCTCAGAGGCCACGGCTCCTCGCGCCGCCAAAGTGGCAGCCAGCATCGAGCGAGTCGCGGGCAAGGGCAGCGTCATTGTCATCCAGCAGGACGTTACCACGCCCGAGGGAACACAGAAGCTGGTCAAAGAGGCTATCAAGGGCTTTGGTGTTGATCATATCGACATTCTCGGTAAGCAAGTCATTATTTTCTGCTGAGTGTGTAAGGTCTCTTGAAGCTGATGATTTGAACATCTGTCAAGTCAACAATGCCGCTTGGGCTTCGCGAGAGCCCGTCCTGACTGCGACTCAAGAGTCCATCGAACGAACATTCAAGACGTGTGTCCTGGGGCCGCTGTACCTCATCCAGGCCACAGTCCCGCACATGCCCCAAGGCGGCCGAATCGTCAACATCGGCAGCGTCGCTTCAAAGCTGGGCATCGAAGCCGTCTACGGAGCCGCAAAGGCAGCCATGGACGCCCTCACATATAGCCTCGCAAGAGATGTAAGTCGCCGCCAAAACTCCAATCCCAGCCACTCGACGAATACTAACAACAAGAAACAAGCTGGGGAGCGACGGAAAACGCATCACCATCAACACCGTGATGCCCGGCCCCGTGCTCACCGACTCGCTGCCGCCGACGGCCGAGTTCGAGATGCTCAAGGAGGGTCTGCTGAACCTGACGCGGGCGGAGAGGAGATTCGGCACGGTGGAGGATATTGCGGACTCGGTGCTGCTGCTTGTGAATGAAAAGAGCCGATGGATTACGGGAGAGTGCATTTCCGTCAGCGGAGGCATCACTGGCAACTAGAGGCGAGACTCGGGGTACATGTACCTTCCAGAGAGGAAAGGGTTCAGATCTAGGAATTGTAAAGCACCTCCCTTCTGCTCAACTATAGTAGAACTGTATACTGTTCATTGCTCTGTGCTTACTGAACTCATTTCTTCTTCTGCATTAGTCTGGAGAATCTGAAGATCGGGTGGAGCGGCAAGGCCACTTACATGGATCGATGCTAAATAGGGAGGCTAAACAGGGACATTTATAAACGGCGTTGCTCCGTCTCTGAGCCCATGCCAACTCCGTCTGACTCTCTTCAAGCTGTCGATCTTCACACATACACATATGTAACCTTTGTAGTCTTTATACCCCCATCATATCACAATATGGGACCATCGAAACAATTCGCCTTTGTCAACATCTCCCACCCCGAAGAAGGCCGGAGTCGCCGCGTCTTGACCTCGGTCCGCCGCCACGTCATGGCAGATGTTGGTCGAGCCAAGCGCAAAAGGCCGAAATGGAAGATTGTTCCCCTTGAGATTTCCAGCAGAGGCAGATCACCCGAAGGCAATGCAGCACATGTCGATACAAGCGAGACGCCTCCTCTCGCACGAATGCCGCCGTCCTTTCAGACGCATCTTGTAGATCCTGATACCCATGCTTGCGAGCTCATAAACTTCAGTGAGTCTTGGTCAATCCATATGTCATATCGCTTGAGGTTTGAGTGCCTGTTCTAAATCCAAGGTCAGTGACTGCCGAGGCCGACTACGTATACCGACCGTTCCGCATCTCATGGGTCCAGATTGGACTCTCCGATGCAACCGCGTTCAATTTATGGCTCGCGCAAATCGTTGTGATTCGAAGCGGTGTCTCGTACGAGGGAGGAACAGCGTCACCTGAGACAGAGTACTTGGTCAACTCTGACGCGAATAGATACTATAGCAAATCGCTCACCCAGCTGTCCCATCGACTGAGCAACCGCCAAGAGTGTATAAGTAGTGGCGTGATAGCAACCATTATGGGCTTCATATGCATCGATGTAAGTATCTAAGTCTTCCTGACTGAAATTTTGAGGCTGATGCGTTCATAGACACGAGTCGGGAACTGGGACCGATACTGTATGCATATGAATGGCCTGGAACGGATATATCATCTTCGAAATGGGTTTGAAGGCCTGGACGCCGAGATTCCATTAATGGCATTCTTGTGAGTGTCTTGCTTCGAAGAATCTGACATGGTCACAGCCATTGACGCTGTAAGCAGCGTCGATCTCATAGGAGCATCCATGCTTGATCGCTACCCACGCTTCCCGATCCCAAGACGATTCAACACTTCTTCCAACATGGACCCGAACGACGATGCTCCCGACAGGTTGCGCGAGTTACTTCAAACAGCAGAAGAGGTGGCCCCCGAAGGAAAGCGAATATACGCTATGTTGAGAAAGATCGCAGCCGTCATCAGTATGGTCAACCAAAACGCCAACGATGCCCTCTTCTGGACTCAAGACGCAGTTCTGGTCGAGAAACTGGGGCTCGCAAGCCACTTCATATTATCAGTGCCAAAAACTGCAGAAGAAAATCCCCAGTTGGACCACTCCGTGTTTTTGGTACAGAGAATGGTGCAGCTGGCATGCCTGATGATCATCTCCAGGCTGAAGCAACTGGCAGCCTTCCACTGCGCCGACATGGACCCTCTCCGCGAGCGATTCGCCAGCCTGTTCCACGAGCCTCGCAACGAGATTCGAGCCGAGCTCGAGATGCTGCGGCTTTGGGCAGTTGTGACGGCCTGCTCATTGACGAACATCGAAGCACAAGGGCCATTTATCCTCGAGGCAAGGTATTTAATAAGGGCATTAGGCTACCGTACAGCTGAGGAAGCACTTGAGCACGTCAAAGGACTGCTTTGGCTGGAAGATATCGGCATAATCACACCCGAGGATCTGGCTTGGTGTTGTAGTAGGTAGTAGCCATCTGGCGACACATTGACCTGTAGGGGAAAAGAAAGGAAGTGCACTATCTGAGAGAAAGGAACCGTGGGAGAGACTCATTTGCAATGATAGGGCGGACGTCTCTTTCGCAAGCTACCCATTAGGTACTTGACTGGCGTCAGGAGCATGTACTCGAACGTCTAGGTGATAATCACAGTTACCTAGGTAGCTGGAGTTGAGACTTTGGCCGCTGAAGGGTTAATCGCAAGCCAATGCAGTGAGCATGTCTTGTTGCAACATCGCCGACCGTCCTGGATCTTGTTATGATGACGAGTACAAGACAGTAGAAGCATTCATTTCCCAAACCTCCGTATCGTGCGTTGCAGAGGCGATCTAGAAATGCCGAGGATAGCAGAATTCCCCATGTGAGCTGTCCCATTACAACTACACAAGCAGAGAATAGCTTAAATGACGTGAAGGTGGGCAATTTCAAGGCTGGGCAGCCAAGCCTTACAAATGCTGAGCTTAGAATATATCAAAGAGAATTGTTTTTTTGAGCCATTCTTGCATAAGAACGAGAATGAAAGAGATGAGGGAACGGTGGTATTGCATCAAGTAGGTACTCGTAGGTACTCGAACATGTAAAAGACAGCAGTGAGCGGCCTCAAAGGTGGTGGGCGCATCTTGCAGCGTCGGACCTACGTTGATCCGCATGCACAACTTGTCGGCCGCACCACCATCGCATTTTCTCCGCGATAGCATCAACTTTTGGCCTCGAGTCTATCCCACGAGCGACACCGCAAGCAGCTCCGGTTCCGATACCCGTTCGTCTTCCTATTCGACACAGAGAAGGGAAGACTCGAGTTGAGATTTTGGCTCTGGGATTCGAATCTTCACCGAGAATCGGAGCAGCCAACTTACAAGGCTCCATCATCCCACCACGACTCGAAACGACCAAGGCGACGATTGTGAAGAATAGATTGCGCCTCGACCTTTCGAAGAAACGTAACGAACCTTGACAAACTCCAAACAATCAGCATTCTCAAAATGGCCGCCTCAACTTCTCTCGCCGGGCTCTTCACCCGCCTCACCCTCCTCCCCCGAACAACCCCAATCTCAACCACAACCACAACCAAAAGCAAAACCTCAACCACAGCCCTCCTAAAATCAACAACCACCATGCCAACCTCAACCTCCCGCCCCTTCTCAACAACCCCCTCCCTCCTCGCCCGCAAACTCCCCACCCCGTCATCCTCATCAGCCAAACCCGCCCGCCGCAACCGCGCCGCCCCGAAATCCGAAAACTTCAACCGCATCCGCACCCTCCGCCGCAACATGTTCTCCCCGGCCCCCCCGCCCCTGCGCATGGCCCGCCAGCGCTACCTCCGCCACTGGACCATCCACCGCGCCTGGATGCTCTTCCGCCGCAAGCAGCACGAGGCCATTGAGAAGGAGCGCAGCAGGATGCACGCCGGCATGTTCAACGCCTGCGAGGAGCTGCGCAAGACCGTTGGCCCTGGCAGCAGGGGCGAGGGGTACCTGTACCGGGTGGCCATGGAGAAGAAGGGCATTTATGGGCTCGAGGGGGTGCCGATTGAGTATGCGAGGTTTCAGACGGATACCCCGGCGAAGGAGGCGTGGAATCACGATTGGAAGAGGTAGAAAGGGGGGAGGCTGGATGGTCGATGAAACTCTTAACAAAGGAGGCATAAAAGGAGGGATGAGATAGATGGACATAGTGTATGAATATCAAGAATTGTATAATACAACCCATGAAAGTGCTACACCTGAAGAACACATGCAGTACGTGTCACAGTGGAGGACAGTCACAAGTACACAGCGCAAACCAGGAGACTTGACATCTTATTGCTAAACAGCAAAGTATAAAAATCTCCTATCCGTCATTTTCCCTTTTCGCCCAGAATAAAGATACCCATATACCACAGAGAAGGGGGAAAACCGGTACATACCAGTTATCGATTCTATGCCATCCACCATATCAGTATAGAGGCCGAAGCCGCCTCATTGCGAAGCGTTTGCGCCTCCGTTACGACAGGATACGCTTGCCAAACTTGCGAGATACAAAAAACCAGTAATCGAAAAACAGAGCAAGTAAAAACAGATGTGTAGACAATTTCCAACAAGCTTGTATACCCAAAACGGCGTCGAAATTACTTGGTCTTTCGACGTCTCCCCACCGGGAGTATAGTCCGAGGGTGGTGTGTCTGCCCTTGATGCAAGTGATTGCATTATCAAAAGGAACGTAAGCCCCCCCCCCGTTGAATGGCGTCAAGCTGTGAGATGGTGAGAGCGAAACGCGCTTGTGCTTTGCGTCGCAGAGATATTCTTCGTCGAGGAGCAATCAGCTCAAGATTCAAGCATCATTGTCATGACCTCATGCGTCAGATCAAGGCTCGTAACGTGCGTTTCAACCATTATCGGTTCGCCCGTGTCGGTATCGACTCCTGTGGTGGTCAGAGCAGTCGACACGACAGCCCGCCTTACAGAACGACGCAGCAGCCAGTGCTCTCTCCCTTTTCAAATGTGAGGAGAGCGGCTCTGGTGGCTGCCTCAAAGACATCGTCGACACCCTCTCCGCTGAGACTAGAGCATTCGAGATACCTCTTGGCTCCTATTTCGCGAGCGACAGCTTCACCATCGTGGGTGGTGACGAAGCGCAGAGACTTTTTGCGCATCTCTTCAATCGCGACGGGGTCGTCGCGCAGGTCCTTCTTCAGCCCGACCAAGATGATGGGCACTCCCTCGCAAAGGCGAGTCGCTTCCTCAATCCACTATTGCGAAGATAGCACATCAGTATGAAGACCTCTCCATCACATGCTTATGGGCGAAATCGAACCTTGTGCTTAACATTGTCGAGCGAGTCTGGCGTATCGACGGAGAAGCCTATCAGGATGACGTGCGCCTTGGAGTAGGCAAGGGGTCGCAAGCGCTCGTAATCTTCCTGGCCGGCTGTATCCCACAGAGCAAGCTGTACGGACTTGCCGTCCACTCTGCAGTCGGTTACGTAGTTCTCGAAGACGGTCGGGATCTGGTCCGGGCTGTTAATCTCGGCTCTGCGGGTCCGCAATCGCGATCGAAACTCACATAATGCTGGGCCAAGTGTTAGCGATTAGACAATGTGGAGGAGAGAGCTTGGGTTGGACATACTGTAGGGAAGTAGCCGAGTGTAAAGACGCTGAGCAGACTTGTCTTGCCGCAGGCGCCGTCGCCGATGATGACGAGTTTCCTACACGATGTCGTGATCAGTGACCAGGTCCCCTCCCTTGTCCAGAGCTGCCGCCGGAGGGCAGCATCAAGCGAATAGTAAGCCAAGGGCCGAAGCCAGAGCAGCGACGGCGGCAGCAGCAATAATAACAAAAAAAAAAGAAGAGCGACAACAAGACGCCGGGTGTCAATCGTACCTGCGGATGACGTTCTGGGGGTTCCCACTAGCCATGTTGAAGCGACGAGATTAGGAGAGCAGCTGGAGATCGAATCGAGCCGAGGAAATGCAAGACAACAATAAATGAGCAGGGCCAGGCGGTCCCTCGTTGTGTGTGTATGCCAGACGCAAGTGAAGTCCCCCGGTCCCAACGGCTTGCTCGCCGGAAGATTTGTGGATGGCAGGACCAGTTTTAAGCGGCAAATCGAGCTCGACAATCGGGACGCTGTCGTCAGGTATCGTGGTCTTCGGCGACGCCGCCACTGTGCTGCCTCACGGAATCGTGCTGTCGCGTCTAAGGGGATACGGGGTCGACCGGGGCGGTGGAACGGATTGGTTGGAGGCCAGGCGACTTGATCGGAATACGAGCTGGGTGAAGGTCTCCAGTTATTCCCTGCGGCTTGCGGTGCTTGGTGCTTGGTGCTGTGTTGTGGTGCTGTGCTGGGTGTCGGCTTGTCCAGGAGTGGTTGCTGTTTGGCCGCGCCCGGTGAAGCGGAACTCGGATTCGGGCTTGGTAGGTAAGGTAGTATCTAGTATTAGACGTCGGGATAGGACAGCGCAATGGCGAATTGAAGCGAGAGACGAGAAGGGAAAGGAAAGAAGAGAAAGGAAAAGAAGAAGAGAAAGAAGAAGAAGAAGAGAAAGAAGAAAAAAGAGGACGAGGGATCAACAGGGTTTAGGGGGGGAAAGAGAGAAAAAGGGCTCTCTGCTGCTGCTGCTGCTGCTGCTGCTGCTTGCTCTGGAAGCGCTAGGCGAGTAGGTAGATAGTAGTATGTTGGTTAGACGATGGCAGTGATTACAGTACAAGCACAGCATTAGCCACCGCAGCCGGCAACGTTTCACCAGCGAGATGGGCTGGCTGGTGGATCGAGCCGAGCGAGGCTTGGGTCTGGCTGACGGAGTTTACGAGAGACTTGCGTGGAAGAGACGAGAGACGGCCGGACGGCTTACATAAAAAAACATGCCAAAGCAGCCAGACGAGCCAACCAGCGACCGGCTGCGCTGGGATATGTCTCGACTTGGACGGCAGGAATCGGGGCTGTACTGCATAGTAAGGTAGGTACATACGATAACCTCCCCAATGCCTGCTCGTCGACTGGAAGTTGTCGGTAATACTACTCAAAAGGTACTACATACCTTACCTTACTTGGCTCACAGCGAGTCGAGTAGTCGTCGTCTTACGGAGCTTCGGCTCTCACGTATCCATCTTACAGCGTCACTGCAGATCCAGAAACAGAGGACTTTCTGAAGTCGCGGTGCCTCTTTCACATGCAAATGGCGGCCTTAGCAGTTCTACTGTAATGCGACCATCGAAAAGTCTATCCTTCAACACTCTTTTGCTTTGTTCTCTCCCTCTTTCTCTCCTCGGACCCCTTCCTGATCTTCGTCGGCGGAAAGTTCCCGATCGTCCCGCCCTCCCAAGCGAGGCTGAGTCTCGGGCGAATGAGCGAGCGGCTGCAAAGCCATGGTGCAACATCACGCATTAGAGAAGCAGCGCTAGCAAAGCAAACAAAGCACGGGCTTGCAGACTATTGGGCGCGCGCCTCGAGATGCGCTTTGCGAAAACGCGGTTCTTCTGTTCTTTCTTGGGCTGCCTCATGCAGGGTCTCGGGGCTGAAAGGAGGACGAGACGAGATGCTGGGCTGGTCTTTGTCACGGTGACCTGGACTTGAAGTGCGCTTTCATGCTGGCATGAAGGCATCAAGGAAGAACTTCACCTCGGATCGGGTGGAGTCGTGACATAGCGAATGCTCTGCATGTGAAGCTTCTCGAAGGATTCTGGAGACTGACGAGCATGCCTTTGTTGATACTTGCCTTGTTGATCCATGGCTTGCATCACGCAAGTTTGGGCTGCTTGCCACTGACCATGCCTACACTACAGACTGCACCTACTACTACCTACTACTAGGTAGGTAGGTAGGTACTAGTAATACTGAAGAGCCTGCATCTGCTGACGACTGGCGGCGTTGACAGAAATGGCGGGGTTCAGCCCTCTGTAGGATTCTGACGTTGCATGGATGGCTCATGTCGAGTTGCCAGACGGCCCAAGGCAGAAACAGAGATGAGTGTCGAGGCTACCTACTAGTATACAGAGGAGCTGAGAGTGCACTGCAGTACGACTCGTAGGAGCCTGCTGCCTGCCTGCTACCGCACTGGGACATGTGAGTATCAGCTTGGTAAAGAGAACAAAGACAAAGACCGGGTAAATATCAACCAAAGTTCTCGAAGGCATTGGAAGAGTTCAATCCCGGCTGCTCTTGTCCCAAAAAGGTAGTTGGAAGCTCGATGTAGAGCACGAGGTCTTCTTCTCAATACAGAATCTTGCCATATCGATTGCGTCCGAGCTGCATCACGGCTGTTGGAGCAATTGGAGGCAATCGTCTACGTACATAGGTAGCTCTATTTGCTAGGTACCTTATAGCAGGTCATTTTGACTTGAGTATTATCATTCTCACGAATGGATGATTCACCTGTTGCTGGGTACCTACAGCTGTAGTCGCTACATCACTGCGCTGCCTGTTTCCCGAGAAAGCCTTGCATTACCGACATTGCGACAAAGCCGCCTACCTCGCGGCAGCTTCGGTGTGCAGGTGGCGCCGCGGTACGAGCTGAGGCAGCAGTAACAACACTTTTCTTTGTACGCATACCGAATGCAGCTACAGTACAAGGCGAGCACGGCCCTGATGCCCGACATTCTGATTCCAGGTCTGCTCCTTGCATCGCTAGGTAGTTGCTTATCAGGCCAATACCTGCAATCTATAGATGTCCTGGATCGTCCTTGTGTGGGAGATTAAGCTGAGGGGCGACGGGGATTCTGTTGAACGCAGGGAGACATCCCATCACCAGCTGATGCCAAATATAGCAAATCAAGAGGAGTCATATATCGTGCCTCTAATCAAGCCGCGCGGCTCAATAATGACCGAGTCTGCAGTAGGAGGCAAATAATGCTTCATGTGTGTCGAGAGGCAAAGAATCAGAGACCTTGCTTGATAAGTTGGAATTGGTGTTGTGTGTTGTGATAGCAATACAAGCAGCTGCCTGCCAGTGCTGTCCATCAAGGTTACCTATGTTCACTCCAGCAAGAGCGGGGGAACCTGTAACACCTAGGCCCTTCCGTACCTGTACTTGTTCACGCAAGGTACATCAAGGTGTGCTGGGCTTCAATTCATTTGATGTCCGCCTTTCTTACCGGGACCAGGGCAGCTAGAGGCGATACCGAAGGCAGATTACCAGGTACTACAGGCAGACGCATTCCAGAGACAAAGGCTGAGCTGCGCGCGATGCAAAGCACGGCGTAATACCCATGCTGCTGCTCTTTGTAGGTGCCTTAGTGTACTGGGCAAGGCCACAAAGGTCCCCGCCGTCCACCGCCTTGTACAGCTGTAAAGAACCTGACCTGGATGCGCTGTGCCGTGCTGTGCTGCTTGCCCTGTCTGTGCCCTGATTAACCTGAAAGCACCTGAAGAACAGCCTGTTCAATTGCTTTGTACAAATATTGTACCGGTACTTGTTGATTCTTTGTATGTACCTGTCCAGGGCGTCGCTCAGGCACAAAGGGATATCCATTCATTGATAGCCAGAGCCAGAGCCAGAGCCCGGGCCCAGATTTCGACTCGGATCTGGGCTTTGGACGGAAACAAGGGCATCACGTGCCCGCTCACACCAGGCCTTTCGCGAAATCTGGCAGCCGGCGCTTTCAGCCCCGGTTTTGGCCAGCCTCAACAGGGACAGCCGGCCAGACGCTCAATTCTTGCATGCCCTGCCAGACAAAGTACATGCCGCCATGTAACTGCACCCGCCCGGTGACTTTGACATCGACCTCGTCCATCCAATATTCCCTACCGGCTGAGCATCGCCAAGCACCTCCATCCCCACGCATCACATCACCGCAACCGACGCGAGCTGCCCTGGCTCTCCCGCTGCTGGACGCGCCGCACCTCGTCGCACCTCGTCTCTTCTCAGCCTCTGCCTCCGGACCCTCGAAAAACCCCCACTGGCGTCATTGCTGACCTAACCCTGACTGAATTGGCTTTGCCTTGCCTTGTCCATTGTGAGTGCCTCGTTTTGACTCGTCGCCAAAGCGTCTCTCCACCAACAAACAAACCCAGCAGCATCACCGTCTGCCACCGCCGCCCTGCTCTGCCCTGCTCTTCCCTGCCCTGCTCTACCTTGCTCTCTTCTCTGCCCTTGTCTTGACCCCTCCGACACTCTCCGGCACGGCTTGGCTGGCTTTGTCCTTCGAAACTATTAACCGTCCACCTCGCCCTCCTGCTCCTCTACGATCTGGTGTCTCGACAGCTGACTTTGCTTCCGTCTTCTTCCTTGCTGCAGACTGCGTCGTTTTGAGCCGCCTTAAACCCCCCCACCGAGTCCCGAGACCGACCTTGATGCTCGCGGCTGCCTTGCTTCCGTAGAACTCCTCACACACGATGCCGGCCCATCACCAGAAACCGGCCCCCCTCGCGCCGGCATCGCCTCGAAACACCGCAAAGTACACTAACAAGGACGGCTCCAAGTTCATCACCGTCCCCAAGGGTAGCCCGTCAGACTCGTCTCGGCCCTCGACTCCTCCCGCCGTCGCCAAATCCAGCAGCGCCCCGCCGCCCGCGGACTCGACAGCCCTCGACACGTCGGCACCGGCTGTGAATCGCAAGAAGCAGAAGCGACGGCAAAAAGCTGCTGCAAAGGCTGCCGCCGCGCAGGCTGCCAATGGCCACCCTAGTCCCGCTCTCAGCTCCGATAAGCAGACGTCCGCCTACTATGAGCCTGTCGCAAGCGATGAGGATGACGTCGAATATGTCCTCGCTGACGATGTCGAACCCACGTCAACGGCCAACGGCCACACGATAGACTCCAAAGCTAATAAGAAGAACAAGAAGAAAAAGAAGCGGACCGACGGCGGAGGCCACGCGGCACAGACGGAACCGGAGCAGCATCGTAATTACCATCACCACCACCATCACCATTATCACGGGGACGGTTCCGCGCCAGCGGCTCCGGCGACGACGCGAGGTTCTGGAATGTCTAGGGATAAAATATGGAGTACTAGCAATCACGAGGAGCGCGAGCGTATCAAGGAGTTCTGGCTGGGCCTGGGCGAGGAGGACCGAAAATCCCTGGTCAAGGTGGAAAAGGACGCCGTGCTGAAGAAGATGAAGGAACAGCAGAAGCACACGTGCAGCTGTACCGTCTGCGGAAGGAAGCGTACCGCCATCGAGGAGGAGCTGGAAGGTCTGTATGATGCATACTATCTCGAGCTTGAGCAGTTTGCCAACCAGGGAGAGGGCCCGCCCATGCTGCCTCCTCCCCCGCGAGACTTCTCGATGCGCCCGTCGCGGACCCTGCCGGGGGCGTACCCGCGACCGCCCCCGGCCCGCGGTCGAATAGTGGAACACGTCGGCGACGACGACGAAGAGCTCGAGGAAGCCTACAGTGAAGACGAGGCCGAGGACGACGAGTATAGCGACGACGAACCTCCCGAGGAATTTCATGGCTCTCCCGACCGAGACGTGGCTGATTTCTTGACGTTTGGTAACAGCCTCCAAGTCAAGGGTACGCAACTTCTTGATTCTCTTCTGCACAGATATGGTAACATGGACTTAGGCGGCATTCTCACCGTGGCGGATGACCTACTCAAAAACGACGGCAGGCGCTTCATCGAAATGATGGAGCAGCTCGCGGAACGTCGCATGGCCCGAGAAGAGGACGCTCGAGAGCACTTTGCTCGCGGCTACGGTCATCCCAACGGCTCATACTCCGCTCCTCACAATCACCCTCCGCCCGAAGACGAAGAGTACGAGGACGAAGAGGAAGAGGAGGAGGAGGAGGACTACGACGACAGTCAGGACGAGGAGTATGAGGACGAAGAGGTATACTGCCACCCTCCCTCTGTGATGCCGTCCAGGTTCCATAATACTGAATGCTGTTGCCAGGACCCGATGACGGAGGAGCAGCGAATGGAAGAAGGCCGTCGCATGTTCCAAATCTTCGCCGCCCGCATGTTCGAACAACGAGTACTATCCGCCTACAAGGAGAAGGTTGCCAAGGAACGGCAGGAAAAGCTGCTGGAGGAGCTTGAGGAGGAGAGCCGCGCCGTCAACGAGCAAAAGGCGAAAAAGGCCAAGAACGCCCAGAAGAAGAAGGACAAGGCGGCCCAGCGAAAGCAGGCGCTCGCCGAGGAGAAGGCTCGCAAGGAGGCCGAAAAACTCGCCGAAGAAGCCGCTCGGATCGAAGCCGAGAAGAAGAAGATTGCTGAGCAGAAGCAAAAGGCCGAGGAGAAGCGCAGGCAGAAGGAGGCTCAGAAGAAGGCCGAGGAGGACGCCCGCCTCAAGAAGGAGGCCGAACGGCAGCGCCGAATCCACGAGCAGAAGGAGAAGCAGGCCGAGCTGGAGCGGAAAGCGCGCGAAGCCAAGGAGCGCGAGAAGAAGCTCAAGGACGAACAGCGCATAAAGGAACGCGAGGCCCGCGAGCAAAAGGAGCGCGAAGCTCAGGAGCGAAAAGAGAAACAGGAGCGCGATAAGCGGGAAAAGGAGGCCCGAGCCGCGAAAGCTCAGAAAGAGGCCAGGGAGGCAAAGGAGGCCAAGGAGGCAAAGGAAGCCAAGGAAGCCAAGGAAGCTCAAGAAGCTGCAGAGGCTGCCAAGGAGCTCCTCCTCCAGCAGCAACGAGCCAAGGAGGAAAAGGCCGCGTCCAAGGTCTCCCCCGTTCCCGCGACCCAGACACAGCCGGCCAAGCGCGGAAGCCAACCGCAACAGCAGCAGCAGCAGCAGCAACCGCCGCCGCCGCCGCCGCCGCAACAGCATCCTCCCGTTTCGCTGCCCGCCGTCTTGCCTCAACACCCCCCTAACCCAGCAAGCTTTGCTTCACCAAAGATCCCCGTGGCCACCCCGGCACTCCCCAAGGCACCGACCCCGATACGGCCGAGGACGACATCTCAGCAACACGCAACCGGTCCCGCGAGCTCGACCGATTCCCAGACGGCGTCTGTTCCAAGCCAAAGCGCTTCACCACACTCTGTCACGCCGGTATATACTAGTCCCAGTTCCACTGGGCCGGAGAGGAGGATCAGCGGAAGCACTCCGGTCACGATGCAGCCGACAGGAATGTCCGGCACGCCGCCCGGGCTGCCGCTGCCCAAGGGTCCCAGCCCGTCCGCCCCGTTCCAGATGCCAATGATGGGTATGCAACCTCCGCCGGGTCTGAGTCCGCATGCGCCTCCGCCTCCGCCGGGATTCCCCAGTCGGCCGTCTCACGATCCCATCTTTCCTGTGGGCTTCCGGCCAAGTCCGGCACACAACATGATGATTCCGCCACCTGGCATCAGCAACTCGACGGTTCGCGGTTTTCCACCAGTTACAATGCCTCCCCCCGGATTCTCACAGCCAGCGGGCGACTTCCCCATGGGTCAAGGCTTTCCCATGCCTGCTAGAGACGGGCCTGGCTTGACTCACGGGCGCCAGGGCTCCGTAGGCTTTGAGAGCGCACCCGGCACCCCTGGCCAGCTGATGGGACGGCCGGCGCCGATAGGCCGACCAGGCAGCGTCAGTCAAGGATTCTCGCGCGACAGGGAGGAGGATACGCAACACCTGGGAAGCCGTGTCCTTGTCGAAGACGACGAGCCCCTGGGTACCGATGCCCCCAGCGCCGGCGGCTTGCGCCATCAGCCTCCGGGACCACGAGCCAGCTTCGCCGCGGGCCCATTCATCGACTCGGGATTTCCTATGGGCCACAACCCCTGGGGCCCCATCAACAGCCCTCCGCAGCCCTTTTCTTCTACGACAGCCGCCCAGCCATTTGCTCTACCGACATTTGGAAATCCGACCTGGGGCCCTCCGAGCGGTCCACCTGGATTCCACGTTGGCTCCCCCAGCGGACTAGGATCTCTCCGATCGCATTCTCAACCCCGTCACGTAGCTGTGCGCGTGATGCTTTCTCAAGCGTGCAAAGAGCTGGCCAACACGGGCTCTGGCGACAAGGAGGGGTATGTGGAGCTTTCAAGCATCAAGGCGCATGTCGACCTGATATCCGGCGACCCCAGCATCACGGAGCAGGATCTCCTGAATCTCTGCGACACGGTGGGCAGTCTGTCCAACGGCGGGGGGTCCTTTGACGTGAAGCAAGACATTTCCGGGCTGAGGAAGATACGTTGGGTTCCCGACACGGACGAGGGGCTGAACCCGCACTTCCGTGCCGTTGGAGCGCCCGGCGAGATTGGTAGCCCCTTGGTAGGTCACGCTTCTTTGCGCGGGATTTAGGCAAGTCCCGGTCAGACGCAGCGCACGAGGACCGAAGAGAGCCCTTCCAGGCGGAGGAACCTACTTGAGCGTATAGGAGTTACTCCGCAGCCCGCCACGATTGAGTCGTCCTATGCCACCCGCCCTGAGCCGAGAGCCCAAGACGTCGCAGGCAGCCCATCGACGGATGTTCTGTTGAACGCGTTGGCGAATGCATTCAACGGGGAGGGCGGCATGACGCCGTGGCAGAGCGCTATGAAGCGAACGCATAGGAAAGGGATCAGCGAAAATCTCACGTACAGCTCTTTCCATGACGATGATACTGATGAATCGAGCAAGGTGGACACTTGGGTGGGCTTTTATAACCCTCGGAAGAGCGCCAGAAGGTCTCTAGGCCCCTGATGGCAGAGTCTTGAAACGAAGTAAGCGGGAGAGTGAGGAGGAACAGCAACGCCGTCCAACGACGGTGCTGTGGGATGGACTGCTGGAGCGAGTATTAACCAGCATTGCGCATGCGCGTGTTCTTGTGTGGACTAGACGTGTGTATTATTGGGAGGGAGGACACGAGAGTAGCCATTAGGTGCGAAAGCGCGTCGCATGAATACCCCCCACCCGAATAGTGTATTCAATTATACGTTATCAAGCAATTGTTGTTTGTCAGGGTGAGATGAGATGCTCAGTGATGCGGATTTCTGACTATATCTGCTTTTGCTTGTGCAACTTTACCGGTGTCGATGTGTGACTTGTGCTGTTGTACGTGAGGTGGCAGGGATTGAGTAGGTACTTCGAGCGTCTGCTATCGCGCACCATTCGATCAAGTACCTTGTGTATCAAGCCTTTTCATCTGAGAATTGAACCCTTTTCAGTTTGTGATATCGAAGCGAGAATTCAGGTGCTAAGGTAATTTAATCATCCGCATGGTCTGGCAGGCACGGGGAGGCCACGATCAGTATCTCCTACCTCGAATACAAGTCATACCTCAGGCACCCTATCAGGACACGTGCACACAGACACAGCTCTACTTCAAATAGACTTCTTCACCATCCCCAAGACATCGTCCGAATAAACAGTTCAAATGCCCTATCTAGATCGATCAATGCTGATACCTAACATCAAGTTTCCCTCCCCCCTCCGAGTTCCCCATGGGCCTCGCCCCAGTCTCTGGCTGGAAGTTTCCTTTTTTCGTTCCAAAAAAACGCTGCGTGTCTGCTTATCTTGCCTCGATGGAAATGAACGAGGAAGAAGCGGCAAAAGAAGTTGCTTGTCCGCCCTATCCCTTGAATTTTCATGTGTATATATGTGTGTGTGTGTGTGTTATATGAAAAGAGGTAATGCCAACACCGGTTCTTTCATGGTTGTTTGTCCCTGTTACCCAACGGCTCAAAGAGCATTCATGATGCGCCGAAAGCCTGCAAAAAAACAAAACACAAAAGCAAGACGTCAAAGAGAGAGAGAGAGAGAGAGGGAAAGCTGTGTAAACTAATGTTTCTCCTTCCTCCCCCTTTTAGTGTCCTGCGTCACCGTCACCGTCACCGTCGCCGCCCTCATGGCCGGTCTCGTGCTCCCTGACCACCTCAAGCCTGCTCGGTGCCGGGTCACGGCCGCGACCACGACCGAACCTCGCTCTCTAAGACTGGTTCCGGTCGGCAAAGGGATCGGGGCCCTCCTGGCGCATGAGGGGGGCGCGGGTCTCGGCGGCGCGGGCCTTCTTGGTCTGGGCGCGGGCGAGGGCGGTGGCCTCGGCACGGGCCTCGAGCTGCTTCTGGTGGCGGCTCTCGCGGCAGCAGGCAAAGGTCAGGAAGGTGATTGCGACGACGATGGCGACGCCGAAGATGATGGCGATGATGACGCCGCCAATGTCGAGGCTGTTCTTCTTCTTCATGCAGACGGTCTCGCCGAGGGAGTCCATGGAGCACATGAGGCCCGGGGCGCAGTCGGCCTTGGCCACCTCGGTGGGAACGCAGGACAGCGTCTTGAGGACGCCCCTGTTGGTGGAGATGTCGCACGACGACGTCTTGACGGTGGAGGTGACCTTGCACTGGAGGTTGCTGCTGTCGCGGACCCAGTGGGTGGGCAGGGGCGCGGCGTTGCGGGCGTTGTGGGCGGCGAGCGTCTTGACGGGGCTGCCGAGGACGCCGCGGTACCGCTTCTTGAGGTCGCCCATGTCGGCGAGCTCGTCGCACCGCTTCAGCGCGTACTTTGCCTCGGCGGCGGCCTCGGCGAGGGAGCAGCCAGCGTTGGTGTAGCAGGCCTCGAGGTCGCTGGCGGTGTCGTCGTAGGTCAGCGTCGACAGGCAGTACTCGAGCGAGACGTGCTGGCCGCAGTCAGAGTACCCGGCGAGCTGCTGGCTGTGCTCGGAGAAGCATCCCGCTTGCAGGGCGAGCGCGCCGCCGCTGAGGGCGAGGGCAGCGGTGCAGGAGAACTTCATGGTGGGCTGCTGCTGCTTTTGAGGGAAAGAGAGGGGATGTTTTGTTGTCCTCGGGCGGGTTTTCGATTGAATCCGGCAGCTGCTTTAACGCAACGTCGAGGTCTCAAGGCGATGGTTAGCAGAGACCCTTGAGATATGGCAAGATGATCCAACCAAGAGATGGAAAGGGGAGAGCTCGCGGAGAGGGGAGAGAGATGGAGGAGGTGAGCAGATGAAGGACGCAAGTTGCCGGACCCCAAAACAGAAGAGGCAGCGGTTTTGCTAACATGAAAAAGGAGTCGAGGAACTGGTTTGACGGGGAGCGGCACTTGTCCCCTTTCAGTTAGGGGTCTACAGTCAGCCTTGGGTCTGACTGGGGCTTGGGTTTTGGATGCTCCAAACAAAGGGGACAGGGGGGGATGGGCAGATTGGCCGACCAATGCTGTTTGTTGTGCGTGCCAGTCCTTGGAGAGCCAGACGGACCCGAAAGCCCTTTTAGGTCACGGCGAGTGCCTGAGGGGACCCGACGCTTATTGCTGCGTGCTCGACGGCGGTGCCATCAAATGATGGCTGTGCATTTGCTTTTCGGGATCACAGCCGCAATTACCTACCGATCTTGTGCGGTGCTGAGGGCGGGCGAAACGAACGGGTGAGGCCTTGTTGTCTAGCTGAGTCTTTTTCTTAGTCTTTCTTGCAATTCTTGTCGAACGGGTGAGAGATGGCGAGGACCTGCCATCGTCGGGAATTGGAGGTGAATCTACGATTGCTTTATTTTTAGCGACAGGGCAGGCATCTTGGGGCAGATGAGGAATCTCGACGGCAAATCACTCATGCATGAGAGAAGTCTTGGGCGATCAGCGAGGTCGACGTTGCCCAGTCTCGGTAAAGGTCTCTTTTCAAACTTGTCTTTTTCTTTTCAAACTCGTCTTTCTTTCTCTTCCATTTCATTATCATTTCTGCCTTTTGGTTCTAGTATTCATCGTTGCCGTGCCGTTCATGGAGCAGCACAGCATCGAGTCCCGTCTCGATCAAAGAAGGGCCCATCCTCCTGACTCCATCAGCAGACCCTGAATCAGCGCTACCGGTGGCCTGCTAATAATAACCCGCCGGACCCTTTTCCTCTCCCAAACTTCACTAATGCGCATCATCCTTGTCCAGTTTTTGCACTTGCACAGGCGGGCAAAGACAGACTGGTGTTACCTTGCTAATAAATCCCGAGTGCTGTAATGGTCTTGTCCTACGAGCATGATTCACATCAGGTTTTGGTCGGACGTTGACGCTTCCAAGGCAAGATGGTACATAGACTGGATATGACGGTGTACTTGTCGTCGGCGCTCCCTCTTGATTTGAGAAGCCGTGGTATTATCTCGAGCTCTAGGGGGGGAGCAGCTGAGCTCGGGCATTGAACCATGGGCATCGCTGAGACTTGTACGAGAGCCCAACCGGGTGCAGACGGGCAGAGCTGCAGCAATGGAACCTCAGCGGGACCAGCGCGGCTTGAGTGGCTTCGCCCTGCCTGTCGAATCAAATCATGGCAGCAACATGTATGTATATATGCACAGATGGCCAAATGCCGGCAAGCACTGAAGCGATATGAACAGGCGAGGTAGATTTTATTGCTCTCAAGCCGAGTAATATAGAGTACCTAGTACTACCAAGGTGCTCAAAGTAGTATCCCTTTTTCTCTCTAGGTATTCAATTTAACGGTGGCGAAAGGGGGATTTAATGGACTTGCTAAGGTAAGCAGCGCAGAAGACTGCATTACGTACGCGCGTGCTCTGGCCTGTGTTTCGGTCGACGTCATCGTCTGCGAGGCCTTGGAACGAGGGAAAGGATGGGAGAAGAGCTGCTTTGGCAAGCTTGGCTTGAGCCGGAAGAGGAAGGAAGTTGGACACATTGTCGACGTAACATTGTTATCAGAATCGATCCATCTAATACTATATCTACTACCTTGGGTATAATATAGCTTCCTTTCTTTTTTTTCTCTTTTGATCTATTCGTCCTCTTCTCTCTTAACCTTGAACTTTAGCTTCCCAGCACTGTCAGACTCGGTTGCGTCGTAACAGAAACACTATCAATCATCGCGACAACCAACAGACTTGAGAATTTGCCATTCACCACCACCTACCGTCTACAGCACCCCCCGTCAAATCTTGCACCCTTTCAAATAAGAAGCTCGAGATTCACAGCCCACCATGCCTCTCGTCGTGCCAGGCATCATGACCAACTCGGACGACAAGACGCAGGAATGGGCCAACAAGCTCGTCGGCAAGACGTACTCTGAAAACGAGTCCAACGAGACGGTACGCTCTCCTCCTCCTCCTCCTCCTCCTCCTCCTTTTCCTCCTTTCTCTATCCCGCCCATTTTCTTTGTTACGCGTGTATCTTTGCACATCATGAGGAGGCGGGCAAAGGCTAATTGTAAGCGCACGAGGGGGGCGGGGAGGAACAGATGTTTTGCAAGCGGGATCTGCCAGAGGTGCACCGCATCATCAAGCCCGGCTCCATTGTGACAAAGGACTTTAGGCCGGAGAGGTTGAATATTCACTTGAATGAGGATGGGACCGTGTCGCATGTGCGGCATGGCTGAAGGAGGATGATGCGCGAGGGGGATGATACTGAGGGATGTTTATTTATTGCTGTAATACGATGACAGACCAGATGACTACCTATTGCATGACTTTTTTGATTCTGACTTGGATATTGCCTTTGCATGACAGTGATATGGTGACGATTCTGCCTCCTATTATAGCTGCTCACATAACATACCGTACCTATTTATTACTGCGTGAAAGCTGTCGATGCTCCCCCGCCGCCATTCTGCCCCGCCATTTGCCTGCCACTCTCTCTGCTCTTATCCATGGCGGGGCTGCTGCGATAAACCTAAAGGGACCTGCTGCAACCACGCGAACAAGCTGCGACTTCAACAACCGCCTTCTGATTCAACACCAAGCAAAAGAGACGCAGCAGATTCGTTCCGTCCAGCCTCACCTGACGACATATTATACCCCCCAGATTTCACTCCTCTCGCCATCGGATCCCCCCTGTTATTTCACCAACTCGCCCGCCAAAATGTTCAAAAAAGAGTACGCAAGAGCACAATCCCCCCTCGTCCTCCCCTCCAGCACGCAAAAAAAAAACCACAGCATCTCCCCAAGAAGCCCTCGATTCCTTCGTCCCTCGAAATGATGGCTTCCTATTTTTGAACAGCCACCGCTAACAGTTGCATAAAAACGCAGCCTCCCCGTGGCGCCCAAGCAAAAGCTCAAGTCCTCCGTCCAGCGCTCGCTCCGCAACGCCCTCCTCGCGACGTACCCCCTCCTGACGCCCTACATCGACGAGATCCTGCCCAAGAAGGCCTCCCTCGAGAGCATGAAGCTGCCCGACCGCAACACGCTCTACGTGCTGGACTCGGTCCCGCTGTTTTACCAGCAGGACGGCGCCGAGCTGCTGCCCCATCTGAAGCTCGTGCACCGCTTCCCGCAGGCGTTCCCCAGCATCCGCATCGACCGCGGGGCCATCCGCTTCGTGCTCTCGGGGGCGACGCTCATGGCGCCTGGCTTGACGTCCAAGGGCGGGAGGCTGCCTGTGGACGGCGGGAAGCCGCTGGAGGAGGGCAAGGAGATGGAGCAGGGGATTGTCGAGGATGGCAGGTGGAGCAGGGAGCTGGAGAAGGGGGAGCCGGTGGTGATTATGGCTGAGGGCAAGGAGGAGGCTTGTGCGGTGGGGACGTTGGTCATGGGGACGAAGGAGGTTAAGGAGAAGGGTAAGGGACCCGTGGTGGAGGATGCGCATTACTTGGGTGATGGGCTGTGGTATTTGAATGCGTGATGAGGGGGGGGATGGAACGGGGGTTGATTGTACAGATGGGGGGTTTCTATTTTTCTTTAAGTCATGGTATATATCTGGAGTGAACAAAGACTAGTATGGTGTTTTTGCGTTGGGTATATACTGGCTGCTGGATGTGAGTAATTGGCTATGCCATCTTGTCGTGTGAACAAGATTCGACAGGAACAAGGCGGTATTATCTCATGTGTCCATATAAAGACCAATGAGGAGGCACTTTGCTACCATCTCTTCAATGTCACATACGCAGCACATAAGCACATTACTAAAGGACGGTCTGGTCTTGAAACTATTGAGGAACGATTAAAGTGAATCCATGCAGCGCATCGTTAAATATCGCTCCCATCTTATGACGTTCCATTCCTCAAATAATACCAAAAATCAACCACACTTCGAACTTTTGCATCTAGGAACGGCCTTTATCGTGTTCAGAGCTCACCCTCGTACTAACTGGTACGCCGAATCCTTGTATAACGTCGATCGAAGTCGTGAAAGTCGTGAGAATCGAGAATCGAGAATTGGGAAATAGTCAAATTGCAAAGCTGAATGAGACCCTGAGCGGAAAAACCAATGCCTCGAAAGAAAATTCTGACATCTTGAAAAGATGGCCGACCTCCGGATAGAGATGACCGAGAAAGAGAAAATCGAGGCCCTAAAAGCGAAACTCGATACCTCGAAGGAAAAAAGTGAAATCTTGGAGAAGACCGAGGTGTTGAAAGACAAAACTGACGTTGTTGAGATAGAAAACTGAGACCTTGTAGAGAAAACTGAGAAACCGAGAGGTCGTGAGTATGTCAAGTGCATATACCAGGATCCCCCAATCCGGTAATGTCATTGCAGGGACTCTCCTCGTGCGGGTAAGGAAAACAGAATGCCGAAACTGATGACTTTGGAAGGTAGTGAGTCTGTCAAGTGCGTGTAGCCAGATCCCCCAATCTGACAACGACGCCTTTTCAGGGACTCTTTTGCTCTGCTCTCCTTGTACAGGTAAGAGACAGAATACCGGAAAAATTGAGAGGTGTGACTGTGTGGGTAGGCGACGAGTATGTGAAGATACAAATATCACGATCCCCCAATCATGACATTGCCTTTTCAGGGACTCTTTTTGCTCCGCTCTCCTTGGACAGGTGAGAGACAGAATGTCGAAAGTTGAGAATAGAGTGACTGGGTAGACGACGAGTGCGTGGAGATGCAACGAGACAAGCCTTCAGAAAAAGGGCAGCTCTAGTCCACAAAGGGATCACAGTCCGCGGAGTCCATATCCTCGTATGCAGACGCAGCAGCTCTTGACGCGGCGAAACTAGGCCCCTGATATGGTTCAATCTCAAAGATTTCCGTCTGTTCAGCAAACCGCACGCGGTTGTCGTGGTGCACTCGAGGTCGTCTTCCGGGATCAGAACGCCTGGTGGGAGTAGAAAGGATGCTGGGACCAGGAAGGACGTCGTCTTTGGTCGTGGACTCGCCCTCTGCGTCAACGTCCTCTTCGACAATAGGCTCTTCTTCTTCGACAGTGAGATTGTCTCCAGGAACGGGCTCCCCTTCGGCGTAAAGTTCATCGTCGGTAATGGGCTCTCCTTCAACATCAACGTCCGCTTCGACATGAGCATCTCCTTCGGCATAGGCGGGAGTAGCGGAAGAGAGGGGCTGTCCTTGATCCTGTCGTACCTGGTACTCGTTGATCAAAGCCTCCGTGCGAGCTCGAGAGGCGGCAAACTCGGTTCGAAACTGAAGAGGGACAGGATGGCCATCATCATCCAGATGCAGCGGTCCAAAGAACCGATCCGCAGCCTCGCGCGAAAGCCATCCGAAATCCGAGTACCCAGCCAGACGAAAGAACCTCAGAAACCAATTCTGAAAAGCATTCTGATCCGAGCTGAGTCTCCTCTCCAGCGAGGCCTCCACGAGCTCCGGAAACAAGGGATCAAACTGCTCGGCAAGATCCGCCCAGAGCGAGGGATGGACGGTGACGGTGTACATGGACACCAGGTCTCCCTGGCTGACAATCTTCTCGAGGGCCGGATACCGCCGCACGAGCTCCCAGGTGCGGTACAGCTCCTCGGACCGGTACCGGAAGTGGCCCTGGTGCAGGTGGCCCTGGTCCTCGTCGGCAAGGTGCGGGTTGAAGAAGAAGATCTTGCGGACGACGTAGCGGTACGCCGTGTCGCGCAGCTTGCGCCTGTCGTGCGGCATGCCCCAGCGGCCGGCGAGCAGGTACGCGTAGCAGAGCTTCATGAGGTTCAGGCCGTCCTCGGTGCCGTGCAGGCCCGACGTCGAGTACACGCACTCCATGAGCACGACGAAGATGTCGGCGTCCACGCCCGGCATCGACCAGCCTTGGGGCGGCTGTTCCAAGTACAGCAAGGCGTTCCAGAACGGATACTTGGAGAGTAGCCGCATTGGAAGCTGGAACGCCTTGCCGCCAACCTTGACCAGGATGAATTCTCTGTTTTGGAACAAGTCAGCAAAGTCGTTGTACGTCGATGTTTGTCTCAACCGACTCAGGGTTTTGTGTGTGACTTACCCAGACATCCAGTGGCCGGTGACGGGCCGGTCGTTGTACCCCGTAGGGGCAGTCTCCTGTCATAACAATCAGCAAGCTGTATCAACCAAAGACAAGACGGAAACGAGACTCACGGCACCAGGGAGATCCCAGTCCCTCTCCCGCACGCCCTGGGCCTCGTAGTAATGGCCCAGCCCGAGCGACTCCGGAAAGTGCTCGGGCTCGACGGGAGAGCAACCCAGGGGGTTGGGATGCTCTCCCGCCGAGGACGGCGGGGCCTCTTCTCGGGGGACAGAGGCGGCAGACGGCTCCTCCTCGAAGCCGGGGGGAGGACGCATGGCGCTTGTTCGTTTCATATGTATCGTCAGTATCGAGTCGAAGTGATGATGCCCCTTCGTTTGCCTGAGGGTTCAGAGAAAACAACTTACGAGGGCGGCGGCGGCAGGCGGCCAGGAGAAGAAGAAGAAGAAGAAGCCGCCGCGGGAGAGGCCCTCTCCATCTCAGCATCGTCACGGGGGCTGACGATGCCTTCATCGTTGGAGAGAGACTCTCCAGCAGCAACTTCTTCTCCTGCCCCTGGAGCGGGAGGCAGGGGGCGGGCGGCGGCGGCGGCGGCAGTCTCTTGATGCCTCTGGGAAGGCATTTTGGCGCTGGTCGTTGAGGAGGAAAAAGAGGGAAGAAAGGAGGAAAAGACAAGAAGCGAGTGGCAGGTCCCTTTTTTTTTCTTGTTATGGTACGGGCAGCTGACGGCTGGTGGACCCCCCTTGTTTGAGCACGTTTTATGAGGACAAGTCGAGCTTCGACAGGACGCGTCTGTGAGTGCAGGACTGACGAGGACCGTTGCTGTCACCTGTTTTGACACTCCTCGACAAGAGCATGGGGCAGAAAGACACCTTTGATTCTCTATAGCGTACTAGGTCATGATACCACAGCATTTTATGGGTTTGATATTCTTCATGGTGTAGTGCATCTCTGTTCACTGCGTTGTTCCTCTACGGACAGCAGATTCCATATCATAGAAGTGCAGCTGGTATATCAGACAGATGCCGTCAAAGAGTGACAAGACAGACTATCAGGTGGGGCAGGCTTCTGCAGCTTCGTTCTTCTCTGCAAATCAAATCATAGCTTTCATCAGGTTCCAGAGTGAATTGTGAGGGCTTTGTAGTGAGTTTGGACCCTGGAAACAGCTGGCATGACAATATGTCTTGGAGACACGGGCCGATTCCTCAACTGTCCAACACGGTAAAGTTACTGCAAGCTGCTCTACTTAAAGTCCCTTGTGACAGAACAGATAATGAAATCTGTTTTACAGCTAGAGGATTAGAAGTCATTGTGTTTACAGACGTGGCAGTCGTGGCATTGCAGCCCAACGAGCGGACACGATGTCTATGGCCACCACTACTCTGCTTCGATTCTGACATCACTGCTCTGTGAAGAATATGATATATTCACCTCGTAAAGTGACACTCATTATTATCTCCCTATAGTAAAGGCAGGAGTTCAAGCTTTATTGCTTCTGTCTTCTAGCTATTCCCATCTGTCCTTTTTATCCCTGCATACATCTCTTTAGCCGTGCTATCTTTCGGCTCCTATTCTTTGCTCGTTGCGTCCTCTTTTCCCAGTTTCCCAGTCTTGTCTTCAGATAGAATCTCAGTGTGTCCTTCGCTTATATTTCATACGCATCAAGATCCTCCTCCGCATATAGATAATCGAAAGCGGTCGCTCGGCTCGTTGAATCGGTTCCCGTTATTTCGTGCAATATTGTGACTTTTGAGGCTTGTTTATTCGTCTCGAAATCGCTGTTGATTCTCGTAAGACACCTGACAAATGTTCATGATTAGCACAAGTACCATTCAGATGTTCACCGACCTCTCGAAAACGGCGTCAATGCTCTCAAATCAGATTTTCAAAGCCAAATCATAGAGAACAAGTGTTTAACTATCTTACCAAGGACTTGTATCCTGGAGCTCAGCTTCCACGGCCTTGGGAAAAGGATTCTCGCGTCAGCAACCTAGAGCTGACCCTGCTCTAGTTAGCAAGACGAGGTTGAACTGAATGCTACGATCGGCACGGCAGAAGAGGTTATTAGAAAGAACTAATCATATTATTCGAGAGCTATTGCTTAGCTGTGATGGTCGTATTGCAAAATAAACCCTGGAAAACCTGCATCATTAGCATTGTGCCGTCTGTGGTATGGTAGATCCTGTGCCCTAACCTGGTTTTCCTCCTATGAAAAGCTTCAAAGCCTTGTAGAAATCAAAGACTCCATAACCCCCAATTGTTTCATAGTAGAGACACGTCTCTCATTGCCTCATCCAAATGCACCTCCTCATAATCACTAGCACAGAGTAAGCCGGTTTCAATACATCCAAGAGGAGACGTGGCCATCAGAAGGAATAGGGGCAAGCTGGTCAACTTACTATTCAGAAACGGCTCTCCAAGCAACCAAGCCTCTTGAACAGAGTCGACCATGCAAACCCAATCCCGACCCCAACTTAGGCTGAGCGTACCTTTTTGCGCTGTGGCTGCCCTTCCTGGTACTCCTTCTTGTGTACGCGTTCGCCGTAAGCGCTGTGATGCCGTGCAATGGCTGCCTTTCCCACAGACTCTTGATTCTTGGCGATAAAGTCCTCGACACGCTCCACATCGTACATGCCGTCGGGTTTCTTGAGGCTCTTCAAGGGTACAATGCCGTAGCTCGTATCGTCCTCGAGGATGATCTTCTTCAGGGCCTTGACGAGGCACGATCTGTAGAGAATGTCGAAGTGGTCCCCGGATTTGGGATCGGGGACCGCCCCCTTGATGCAGCTGTTCCAAATGTGCTCTTTCTGCTTCTCGGCGAGAAACTTGTCGCGTCGAGTGTTGAACTCTTCCTCAACGCCAAACGCAGCAAAAGCCTCTTCGGTGATTTGCTCTCTTGTGAATTTTTGCTCGGAAAACCTGCTGAGTCGGCGGCACTCTGGGATAAACTCGTCGAGCCACTTTCGGAATACAGGCCGAAAGTTCATGCGCCGTCGATCCCTTGCCTTGAGTTTTGCTTCTTCGTTGTCGGGCTCTGGTGGAGTAGGGTTGACATACATCAGCCGACAACTGGTACTATATTCGTAGAGCTCTTCCATGCTAGAGAAGGCCTTGTCCCAATAGCCTTCCATGCGCATGCCAAGAAAATCCATGACCTTGGTCGGATCGGACGTGAGGAAGATTCTGGCGCGCCTCCTGTTGTGCTCCTCGATCTCGGGAACTCTGAGCCACATGGCGGTGTCATCGACTGTCAGGCCATAGGGTTTGATGATGGATCCCACAACGTTCCAAAAGTCTCCGTGGCCGTGTTTGAAGAGCATCCAGCGTAGCTTGTCCTCTGTCTCGCAAACTCTGACGTCCACTTGGATATACTTTTTAGCGGGTTCTTTCGTGTCATCCTTCTGCTTGTTATCATCGTCCTTGCTGTCTTTCTCCTTGTTGTCCTTCTCTTTGCCTACCTCGTCTTTGCCATCTTCGGGCCACGGGATAGCTAGACTGGCCGCTGGCTCGGTGCCTCCTGCGACAATCTTTCGTTCAGCTCCAAGAGCTTGAGCGATGGCGGGAATTGCGAGTGCGCCCTTGGCGGCGTCTGACTTTGGCGACGCAACAAGAAAATCAATGTCTCCATAGTCTGTCTTTGCTGGGCCTTCCAAGGGCGACTCTACGCAAGAGTAGAGGTCGAGGAGGATCTTTTCGCATCGGGTCTTGGTTGCGTCGTAAACCTCCTTTGGCATTCGGGGTGTGAACAAAGGGTTCTGTCCCTGAGCAAAGGCCGAGCCACCCATTGCGAGGATCTGTCCACGGATACTTCGAGTTGACCTGAGATAGCCTTGCTGGCAATCTTGTGGGCCAAGGGGGTGCCGTTTCGAGATGAGGAAAAGCAATATGGTGGAATTCCTGAGGAGAGAGTCAGTCAGCTCGATTGCCGCGAAGCAGATGCCGAGAGATGGTTCGCTCTGCTTTATACGCTTGAGGAAAAGGCAGAACGAGACTCTAGAACAAAGCTTCTGGCTGCTACTCACTGATTTCTGTCTGAGAGAGATGCGGTTTGGCGTAAGTATTTCGAGAAGCTCTGCTGTGTGGCGATGATGAGAGTGAAGTTTGGGATTAGACAACGGCACTTGGCATCTGTGGAATCGCCCAAAGAGATGATGCAGAGTAAACAAAGCAAGTAAGCAAAACAAGATCTGGCCAGCAAAGAGGAGAAATCTCCTTTTCCTCAGTCGGAACTGCCGTCTGTAATAACGCCCTGTTTCCTCTGAGAAAAGTGAGGAAAAGGAAGAAGAAGAAGGTCCAACTAATCGTCTGAGCTGAGTGCAGCAATTTGATACCTAAGCAAACTCCCCCGCAGGTCATGTCACCTGCGCTTACCCGGAACCTTTGGTGAGCGTCACGAACAAATGTCACGAATTGAGGAGCAGAGGTGTGAATAGCTGACGTTTGACAAGATGTCCATAGAAGAAATATATCGGCTACTCCCTCTGTCATTGTAGAGTAAGTCGAGGCGTGAATCGCTAATGGTGATGCATGTCCAAGAGCGACTGAGTCACCTTTTGCTGACCGGATGGCTGCACATATGCCGTACACGGCCACGTATGACTCAAATCTCGTAGATTAACTGCACACAGACATAAGGCAAATGACAAGGTAGTTAACAGAGCGCATGAATCCACGCCTCTCCAACAAGGAACAGCAGTGACGGAGTCTTGCTTGCAGTTCTCTGTGCAGGAAGGCTTGCGCAGTCGCTAGTACATGTAGGTGCAGATACCTTGGGCACCATCACCATGTAACTTATTGTGAGTAATGAGTTTGTAGAGTCCTATCTACAATCTCTACTATACAGCTTGCATATACAATATGTCCACAGCAGCGTTAAGCTTGAGGAATTTCTTCCTGATTTATATTTCCATCTGATATCCTTGTGCCTGAGATATGCATACCTACGCGCACTTGCTGACGCCCTGCTTCCACCGAAACCTGTTTGCTCCTCATGTACGTGCCTTGAAAGGCTCGAATACTTAACAAACAGGATGCTTGCTGACACTAATACTCGATTTGGTCCATAAGATCGACGCAAAGGCTTTCTTCAAATTATGTCGGAAGAGTACAGCCATGGCCCATGTTCGATTGCCAGCACCGCGCTGAGAGGCCAAAGTAGATGGAGTGCGTCTCTCGTTTCCTTTCAACGAGAAAAGTGACCCGTGATGACCGATTTCTGCAATTCACCATTCGTCAGCAGAGGAAAGGGATAGGTGTGTAGTATGTAGGGACCCCATGAGGAAAGGAGATGGGCATGTCGGAATGTTGACCATCAAACGAAGAGCGAGCAAAGGAAAAGAAACACCGGATTCCTGTTCCCTTCTCAAGAACGGGCGTGGTTCAAAATGCTAAGAGGCAAACAGGCAGGCGAAATACTCGAGGGTTAGGGCTTGTCACTTGGCAGTTGGCACTCGTTCTGCCAGTCTGCGGAAATGGGATTCCTAGTGAACCAGACCAAACCGAACTTTGGCGGATGCATCATTGCCCTTGGGATTCGAATCTTGTCGCAGTTTGTCTCAAAGAGACAGCTTGCAGTTACTTCCAAGAGTAGCTTCTTCATGTCAATACCAACACCCTACGGATTCCGCCCAAGGTAAGATGAGTATCGGCTGCCTTTCTCTCATCACTCAGGCTTGATCGATATGTGAGCCTCCAAAATGCATGGAAAGCTGACACCTCCAGTCTCTCTCTCAGACTTCCAAGACGATGAACGTATCGCGAGACACCCACTCCTGATGACATTTGCAAGACCGCGTCTTCAAGAAGGAGAGAAGACGGCCCACGCAACATAACCCTCCGTATTCGCCGCTGCATCATGCCACGACGACGACTTCGTTCTCATTAAATTTACTACCTCATCTCATACGAGAGAGCCTCTTAGTTTTGAAAGGCGCACTGCAAATATGGTTCTACTGGGGTCGAGACCACGTCTTTATAAATCTTGCACCCAGCTGACGTCTCGCTTTGGAACAGGATTGACGAAACATAGGCAAGGAACTTGGGGCTGAGCTTATCTTCAAGCAATGCGACGATGCACTAGATTCTACATCAATGTTTCCAATACTGCCTACAAAACATGATTCCTGCAACGCACCGCTTCTGGATGCTGTTCAACCTCATCATGTCAGTATAGCCTCCTCTGTCACATGGCTGCCATTGCTGACTCTGTGTGGCGCAGTGTCATACCGCGCCTCCAAGACCCTTGTTTCACTACGAACGAAGAGCAATAGACTGCCCATAGGTGCCAAAAAGCTCAAAAGATGCCAGCAACGCAACACTGCGTCAGCACACTATCTGTCTAGCGTAGGACAAGATCGCCGTGGCTTGAACGGATGCAGACGATTTGCTTGCGAGAGGGCGCACATACTACTACCAGACACCACGGGCAACTTTTGAGCATAATCAAGGCACGTACAATGTGGCTGCTAGTCATAAGAATCGAAGAATGAGCGGGAGAAGATGAGATGAATTCTCGGAGATTATTCACAGCCCCGCTGCTGCATCAAGGTGAGCGGCGGTGGCCGAGGTTCAACGACCTTCCCAACTGGAACCGGCACCGTTACGTTGACGTTGTGGCGGAGAGACATTTGCTCCGAGCATCACGGATTCATACAGTAGGTACATGCTGTGGCAGAGATTCAATTCCTTGTTCATGTCTCTGAAACATTGTACAGTATACTCCAAATGAGAGACTGGTTTACATCCATGGTGCGCGTCTACACGAGCAAACACAGGGGACTCTCTCTCTCCCTATCAATGCACCGAGCCTGTGCCCTTTCGAGAAGCTCGCATCGAATACCTATGGAGAGAGTGTCCCACCAACAGCCCGAGGGAAAGAAAAAAACCCCCAAAAAAGAAGCCCGAGCCGTCTATCCGGACGGGGGGACCTTTTGGGCTTGTGCAGCCGCCGCCTAGTAGCGATTCGAGGCTGGTCGGACAAGGGTTAGTAGTGAGTCGCTGCAGAAAGCGCCGCAGCCACACCGATTGCTCAGCTCGTTGCCCTGTTTCATTCTTGTTGCTGTCCGATTTCAAACGAACAAGAGGGAGAGGGGAGAGAGAGCCGGAATGAGGCTGAGACACGGGAGCAAGACCAACTGCTATACATTGGTAGAACTGCTTCCAGCATGCATACGAGGTACGAGCTGGAGGGAGCTGAATAAGAGACAGACAGACAGACCAACAAACAAACAAAGCAGTGAATAAGGAAGAAAAAAGGGCAGCAACAATAGAAGAGAGAGACTATTGGTTTTGACAGGCACTAAAACTCCTCGGTAGGCTGTCATCAATGCAACTCCGCCCTTGGAAAGCGGGCAGACAAGGGCCGAGGCGCGCAACAGCAAACCTATCGCAACCCCCAGACGCGGATCCTCTCGAGCTCCCTGGGCTGCTACGTAATGGATTCTGATTCTTCGCAAAGGGCAAAGAAAGTCGGTTCTCGATAAATACGCACTGATATCTCCGCTTTTTCCCTCGCTCTTGTTCCTTTTTTTTTTTTTTTTTGTTTCTCTTCATTTTGTTGTTGTTCTTTGGTTCAATCGTCGTCGGTCTTGTTGCTGTAGCCGATCGGTGTGATATTCGCTGCCGGTCCGGAGCTGGAAGAAGAAAGAAGAAGAAGAAGAAGAAGGGCTTCACCACCACCATCATCATACCCCCCAGCCGACAACTATAATCAAAAGGACAATCTAGTATTTTGACTACAGAAACGACGACGACAAAGGATCACAACCGGTCACTCATCATGCGCGCCCTCTCACTCTCCCTCCCCCTCTCCCTCTCGCTGCTCGCCGCCAGCTCAACAGCGGCAACGACATGCGCAAAGGGCCTCTACATGGTCGTTGCCCGCGGCAGCGAGGAGCCCGCCGGCACGGGCGTGACGGGCAACCTCACGAGCCAAATCGCCGCAAAGGTGCCCGGCAGCGAGGTCGTGGCGGTGGACTACCCGGCCAGCTTTGACGACTACGAGGATTCCGAGGGCGACGGCGTCAAGGCGATGCGGCAGCTGCTCAACAGCTACGCCGAGGCCTGTCCGGGAAACAAGATTGCGGTGCTGGGATACTCTCAGGTATGGGACACGCCTTGTTTGGGTCATGTTGAACAAAAAAAAGAAGAGAAGGGGAAAACCGGTCTTTTGGCTGTGGGATGAGATAGTATGTAGGTGATGCTGATTCGGTGGACAGGGCGCCCAAGTCGCAACAGACACCATCTGCGGCGGTGCCGGCGATCCGTTTACCAGCGACAAGGGCATGTCTGACGATGTCATGGACGACGGTGAGTTGTCCTTCTTCTCTTTCTTGACAACCAAGCGCCCCTTTGAAAGCTAACGAGAACCGTCCCCAGTCGTTGCCGTGGCCATTTTCGGAGACCCAACCCATGTCGCCAACATGACGTACGACCGAGGCACCAGCATTCACAACGGGGTGAGTTGACGACGATGAAGACCATTCGATGAAGAACATTCGAGTATTTTACAGGGAAGGGAGTTCAGCAGCTAACATACAACCGTGCAGCTCTTCAACCGGAGCTCGTCCAGCATCGAGGTCTGCAAGTCGTACGCCAGCCGCATCGTCTCGTACTGCGACACGGGCGACATCTACTGCGACGCCGGCAGCAACTCGACCGTTCACCACATGTACATCCAGCGCTACGGCGACGAAATCGTCGACTTTGTCGTCAGCCAGTTTGAGAAGAGCACCAGCTCGGGATCGGGGTCGGGTACTAATGCCACCACGACCACGGCTCCGGCTCCCACCGTGTCTCCTACCACCACCAGCGGTGGCAACAGCACAGTGCCTACGCGAACCGGTGGCCCGACGACGAGTTCGACGCAAGGATCGGGTGCGAGTGCTTTGACGAGCAGTTTGATGCTGGGAGGTCTTTTGACGGTTTTGACGGCGGTGTCTCAGATGCTGTGATGAATTTGAGGGAGAATGCAAAGTCAGCGGGATAATAACGGAGATTCTTTCTTCTTCTTGATTCATGCGGGAGTTTGGTTATACGCGGCTTGGGCACAATGATGCTTTGACGAGGGAATGAGCTAGTATAGTCCCGAATAATGACGAGACATTGACAATGACAATGTGTGCGATGTGACATGCTGTGCTAAGAGTCTGTAGAACAACCTGTTGCCATAAGTCTCAAGTTCTGTTATGCTGTCAAGGCCAGAGCCTTATGACTAGCACACAATACCAGTTGATGGTCTAACTTGTAGACTTGGTAGCATGATTAGATAGAAAGTAGGTGGCAGTGAAAAAAGCATCGGTATAAACAGGGTTGGTCGAAAGATAACCCCCGCCGCTGACTGAACTCATGCTCTATCTACTATATGGCGGCTTCCAACATGATCCACAGAGACAAGTCCAACAAAGCCATCACATCAGGTGATTGTTGACCGCAACAGAAACCTTGGACCCTTCCCCTCAGGATCCAGAACCATAAAAGGACGCAGAACCCTCCCTCACGAATCCATATCCCACTCGTCCAAGGGAGTACAAGAAGAGCAATGCCATCCAACTTCCTCATCAGGCTCGTCCAACCCCCTTCAGCCTCCGCGGCAGACCGGCAGACCGGCAAACTCGTCACCGTCAAGCACACCGATCGGACAATCCCCCCATCTCACCAACGTTGTCTACATTATCAATCACCAAGTCTGACTCTTTCCACTGTTTTTGTCCCTCAGCGAATAAGCACAACCTAGGAGACAAGGCAAGAGAAAAAGGAAGAAAAAAAAAAGTTTAGCGGCCGCGGTTCGTTCGCCCCCCCTGCCTTGATCAGGAAGCCAAGGCGCAACTCCGGCGCCGCTGTAAGCATTCCGAGATCCCCACCCACGGAGGGGCTTGAGTTCTGTAAGAGAAACGTTTTGATAATATGATTCCATGCAATTACAGCAATTATCATCTTCCAATCGCTTGCTCGTATTGTGTAAACGCTCTGTATGTTGTAGAATTTTCTAGTTCATGAGCAGTATCGATGTATCTACTATCGTCTTCTGTTTACAGCCGTGAACCTATCGGCAGCCTTCCCTCTGAGCTCATCACACAGATATCTTCTTCTACTGTAGGTATACAAACAAGCTCTCGCCTCCCGCCTCTTCTTCTTCCTCCTCCCCCCCCCCCCCCCTTTTTCCCACAATTCTAGCTCTAACCCACCCTCTCCGTTATTCCCGGCCCATCAAAAAAGAAACGCACCGAACCAGACCAAACAATGGACACACCATGATTCATCCATGGCGTCCTCGTTGCCATCTTTTGCCCCGATCCGGCACCCGGAGGACCCAAGCGAGTCTCCACAATCCCGCACTTTGTCTTGCCTTTTTGCCTTGCAAGTTCTTCTGGAGCTGCTAGTACCTAGTAGTACCTAGAGAATGAATCCTCCCGTGTGGGCGGAGAGCAAAAGAAAATCTCGTACATAGCCCACTAATTCTGACGACCCCCATCATGAATCACCCTCCCTATAATTCTTATTTCTCTGCCATTGCCTTACATAGATTCTTTTACTTTTGGACTCGTATTACTTATTGTTTAATTGAACGTTGTTGTCTGAGGGTGGGAATCTATAAAACAAGACGAGAGGGACGTCAACAACAAGCCGAGAATATTATGCCATCATCCCGGAGAGACCATCAACCAAGTCACCATCATCACGCGGAGTAACCATCTCAAAACTCCAGGAACTCACCAATACAAATTCCAAGCAACAGGAGGAAAACCAAACAAGAAGAAGAATAACAAGACAGGAAAGAGGGCAAACAGCAAAAGAGAATCAAAGACACAATGGGCCACCCCGACGCCCCCCCGGGCCTCGAGTCCGGCCTCGTCCTCCCCTCCGGCCGGACCTCGTCCGACGACAGCCAACAGCAGGTCCCCGACAAGGCCGAGATCGAGCGCCTCGGCCGCTCCCGGCCAGCTGTCCTCCCGTCTCTCGTCACGGAAATCTTCTTCGTCGTCACCATTGTCCTGTCCATGACCATGAGCGAGTACTTCATCGGCGGCTTCAACATTGTCCTGCCGCCCATCGCCGACGCCCTCGCCATGCCCGAGGACGTGCGCACCTGGCCCGCCGGCGTCATCAACCTCACGACGGCCGCCCTGCTCATGCCCTTCTCCCGGCTGTGCGACATGTACGGCGCGCGCTCCGTCTTCCTCTTCGGCCACGCCTGGTACATGGTCTGGTCCCTCGTCTGCGGCTTCAGCACAAACACCGTCATGCTCATCATCTGCCGCGCCCTGCAAGGAATCGGCACCTCGGCCTTTACGCCCGCCGGCCTCGCCCTCCTGGGCCAGACGTACCGGCCGGGCCCCCGCAAGAACCTCGTCTTCGCCATCTGGGGCGCCTTTGCCTGCCTGGGCTTCTACTTTGGCATCTTCATGGGCGCCGTGTGCGCCGACTTCCTCACCTGGCGCTGGTACTTCTTCATCGGCACCATCATCGTGCTTTGTATCGCCGTCACCGGGTTCCTCACGATCCCCCGCAACCTGCACCAGCAGGACGGCAGCATCCGGATGGACTGGTGGGGGACGTGCACCATCGTGCCGGGCCTGGTCCTCGTCGTGTACGCCTTTACCGATGGAGGACATGCGCCCAGGGGGTGGCAGACGCCGTACATTTACGTCACCTTTCTCGTTGGCGTCTTGTTTCTGGTTGCGGGCGTCTACACGCAGGGCTGGGTGTCTACTCAGCCGCTGCTGCCGGCCGATCTGTTCCGGCCAAAGTACATGAAGCGGCTGTCTCTGGCCTTGTTTTGCCTGTACGGCGTGTTTGGCCTGTATCTGTTTTACTCGAGCTACTAGTACGTTGTTTGGAAATACCCCCTTTTCTTCCCTCCCCCCCCCTTTTCTTTGATACTCTTGACTAAACACTTGCCCGCACAGCATCGAAACGGTGCTCAACACGACGCCCATCCTCACGGCAGCCTGGTTCACGCCCCTGGCCATTGGCGGCGTGTGCCTCGCCGTCGGCGGCGGCTTCGTGATGCACATGGTCTCGAACCGCATCCTCATGCTCATCTCCAGCGTCGGCTTCCTGCTCTCCGTGCTGCTCTTTGCCATCATCCCCGACCGCCGCACCAACGACGACGGCTCCTCATCGCCGTCCACCAGCTTCCTCTACTGGGCGTACATCTTCCCCGCCATGCTGTGCGGCACCATCGGCGTCGACATCACGTACAACGTCACAAACGTCTTCATCACCACCTCCATGCCGCGCAGGCTGCAGGCCACCGCCGGCGGGCTCATCAACACGCTGCTGTACCTCGGCCTCGCGTTCTGGCTGGGCATCGCCGAGATGGCCGTTTCCGAGGCCAATCGGCGGGCGCTGCCGGAGGGCGGCCTGAGTCTGAGGGAGCAGTACAAGATTGGCTTCTGGATTGGCGTTGCCCTGGCGGGGGTGTCGATGGTGATGGTGGTGACGATCAAGATTGATCGGGCGGCGGCCGAGTTGACGGCTGACGAGAAGGCGGCGAGGGCAGAGCGGGAGGGGGTTGTGCGGTAGTAGCGGTTTGTGATTTTGTGTTTCTTCTTGGTTGTTTTGTCATTTTGAAATTTCTCTCTTTCCACTTAGACGCATTGATTTTTTTTTTATTTATGATTCTTGGGTTTAGATTTGCATGGGGCCATTGGTTGGGTTGTACTGTTCTGAGGAAACGCATAGAGTGGAGGAGATACCAAGGAGGATACCTGTAGATATCCAGGGCATTTACAGAAAAAGCGTGCAGATTTTGGCCAGTTGGTGGTCCTAGATGTTAGTCATATTTTCAGATACTAGCATATTTACAATGTAATCAAGATGAAATGACAGACAACTATTGAGACTTATAGCTGTCAAATGTAGGACATAAAGGAGCCTCGGCTGACGGCGGCTGAAGCTTCACAGACTGCCTTTCTCCAGCGACTTTCAAACTCCACATTTAGCCATCCATCTACTCTTCCCGTCATCCGAGCTCATCATCAAAAGGGCGCGTCTCTGAACAAGTCTCCCATCAACTCAAACGTCACAAAGGAGATTATATCTTAATGATATACCGACTGATGCTCGTCTCCAAAGCTACTTACTCATGCTTGACACTCAAACTCAACCACTCACTCTCCATGGTCCTAGCATAAAGCATCACATACCACTGCCATAAAGGCACCCCGTAGGAAACCACAAGCGCATCTCATCGAACCCCCCCCCCCCCAAGGCATCTCACATAGACACTCCAAGTCTCACCCCCCAATCTCTCAACATGCCCTCAAACACTCTCCCCAACCGCACCTCCTTCTCCGCAGCCGACATCATCCACGACATCTGGACAAGCCTCCAGCTCCCCCCTCACGCCCTCTCCTCCATCAGCCTCCCCGACCAGCAACCGGGCCCGGCAACGCCGTCGTCGTTCAAAATCGGACATCTCGCACAGAGCTCCATTGCACTCTCTGCCCTCGCAGCATCTCTCGTCCACAGCCACCAACGATCCCAGTCTTCTTTATCATCATCATCATCATCATCATCATCACCCTCCTCCTCCTCCTCATCATCATCATCAACAACAACAACAGCAACAATCCCCCGCGTCACCGTCCCCCTCCGCCACGCCCTCCTGGAATTCCAATCCGAACGCCTCTACACAATAAACTCCTCTCCCCCCGAATCCTCCTGGGGCTCCATCGGCGGCCTCCACGCCACGCTCGACGGCGGCCACGTCCGCATCCACGACGTCCTGCCCAACCACGCCCTCGGCGCCCTCTCCCTGCTGTCCCTCCCGCCCACCGCAACCCGGCACGACGTCGCCAGACAGGTCCTCCGCTGGAACGCCGTCGACCTCGAGACCGCCGCCGCGGAAAGGGGCAGCAGCATCGCCGTCATCTACGCCCTCCGCTCATACGACGAATGGGACGCCCATCCCCAGGCCGCAGCCACGCCCGACGACCCCATCATCCTCCGCCCTCTCGGCCCAGCAACACCGCCAAACCCTCTTCCTCCTCCCATATCATCTTCACCATCTGCCATCCCAACCGGCTGCCTCAAAGGCCTCCGCGTCCTCGAAATGTCCCGCGTCATCGCCGCCCCCGTAGCAGGCCGCTGCCTCGCCGCCCACGGCGCAGACGTCCTCTGGGTGACATCCCCCTCCCTCCCTTCCATCCCCCCTCTAGACAAGGACCTCAGCCGCGGCAAGCGCACCATCCAGCTCGACATCCGCAACAATCCCTCCGACAAGCAGACGCTCCTCAACTTGCTGCGCACCTGCGACGTCTTCATCCAGTCGTACCGCCCAGGCAGCCTCGCCGCGCACCACGGCCTCTCGCCCCAAGACGTGCAGCAGCAAGATATCAATCCCCACATCATATACGCCAACCTCTCTGCCTTTGGGCCGTACGGACCGTGGGCCACGCGCAGGGGATTCGATTCCCTTGTGCAGACGTGTTCGGGCATGAACGTTTCCGAAGCGGCTCACTTCGGTGCTGGAGAGACCGCCCGCGCGTTACCTTGCCAGGCGCTCGACCACGCAGCAGGCTACCTCCTCGCCACGGGCATCCTCGCCGCTCTGCACCGCCGGACGACGGAGGGCGGATCCTGGGTCGTCGACGTTTCGCTCGCGGGAGTGGGCAAGTATCTGCGCAGCTTGGGCCAGTATCCGGACAGGACGGGGTTCGAGGGCGTTGCGGATGCGGCCATGACGCAGAGGGACGTTCCGGGGGAGTTTCTGGAGACGAGGGAGACGGCGTTTGGGCGCATGGTTGCGGTGAGGCATAGTGCTTCTGTGGAGGGGTGCGAGGTTGGTTGGGGGGAGATGCCGAAGCCGTTGGGATCGGACGAGGCGAGGTGGTTGGAGTGATGCCGCTTTTCCTTCTTTTCCTTGGTGGTCTTGAGGAACAGAATGTAGATTTATACCAGACTCGCTTTCTTATTGTATACCCAGTACATAAACTCTCCTTGAACCCAAATAGATAGATACAAAGCATATCTCACAGAGAATAGCATCTCAACGTCACAGACCAAGAAAAGCAATCAATCACGCATCAACCGCCCCCTCACCTCCCTCCTATCCGCCACAATACACAACACCATCATCAATCCCCCTCCCACCAAAAGACCCGGCGAAAACCCTCCCTTGATCGCCCTCACCACCGCAAGAAGCACCAGCGCCGTCATCCCCGCCAGCATGAGCATCCTCAACACCGCCTCTCCGTTGAAGATGATGATGATGCCGGTGGTACGCCAGGTCCTTCTGGTGCGATGAGAACCGACGGGCTCTTGTGTTTCTGCGGCCTGTTCTTCGTCTGTGTGGTATCTGGTTCCGAGCGTGCTAGTGTTGCTTTCAGGCCCGTGATGGTGGTGCCTGCTTTGTGAGGTGAGAGGTGGTGATGCTCGACTGGTGGTAGGCAGCAGTGTGCTCGTCTCGCTGACAAGCTCATCGCCTTCTGCATCTCCCTCTGCGACTCCATATCCACATCCTCCAGAAAACGCTAGAAAAGAGACAAAAGGAATCAGCAGGAATCCCAAAATGATGCTACTTCCTTCACCCTCACAAGGGGTTTCAAGATGAAGTCACATACAAGCAGCCACCCCCTCCCTCACCAGACTCTCCTCCCCAGCACCACGCCTTTCATCACCCTCGCTCATCGAAACCAAGAATTGCCTACAGCACCAGTTCTCGCAACGCTTGAGATTCCGAAAACCTCAAATCCCCAAAAAAACATCTAGTCAAAATTTCAGGCAGCAGCTTGGTGCCCTTTCTCGAGAACTGTGCAAAGTCGTCGCCAAAGGGCGGGGAAATCAGTGAAAACCCAGCCCGCTCTTCCAATTGACCATTCCAAGTGGCTGGCTGGCTGGCCAGTTAGCCCAAAAAGTGAGGCATGTGAGGCAAGACGGCCGGCCAATGGCCAGATTTAGTCTGGGGTAATTTGATAGGGGGACAATGGCGGACTGTGTTGAGCACTGCCGAGACGATTCGTTGACATCATGCACCTTTAAATTTACGCTTATCCTTGGCCATCTCATCTATCGAGATCGTACATACAAGGGGGACACGCATGGCCAGTACAGCATAAACAGCACTGATTAGGTATCGTGTATTCCAAAAAGAGTCTCTCTCCTCTTTACGCCAACTCAGTCAACGCATCAGATCAGCCGTCAAGTCGGGCTAAAATTGTCATCTACTTTCTCAAGCCCATCCCGTCGCGTCAAAAACACTGCAGGTATCTATCTTCACCCTCATCTCATCTCATCTCATCCATCCAGCCACCTTTTTCGACAGAAGAGGTTGCCCCCCCTCGTCGTGCCCCAAACCACTAAAAGTACTTTTTGAAAGTCGCAAAACAAAACATGGAAGCCTAGTCTCGCGCCTATGGGTACCAGTAAATGACAAGATAAAAAGGAAGAAACTCCAACCCTACAACGTCATGCTCGGATGACACAAAATGAAAGCCCACGGGAAAAAATAAGAGGGTAAGATGGTGCCTGAACTAGGGTTCAACGAAGAACCCCTCGCAGACATCATCGCTTTAGGAGTGCACACCCTTTGTTCTCTCCTTCATCAGCTCACGGCGCTGCTTATCCTTTTCTGTGAGAGTGTTAGTATCTGCAATGCGCAAGCAATATGTCTGAAGTAGACTCACCAGGTTCAAAGACGAGGAACTCGTGCAGGGCCGATCCGGCGGGCACCATGGGCAGGACAGGCACCTTCTTGTCCGTGACAACCTCCAACAGGGCCGGGCCATCGGTGTTGATCAGCCACGTCAGGGCATCGACCAGCTTCTCCGGCTCCGTCACGCGCTGGTGCTGAACGCCCATGGCGTCGGCCAGCTTCATGAAGTCGGGGTTCTTCTGGTGCGTGTGGGCATATCGGTCCTCGTAAAAGAGGTTCTGCCACTGCGTCACCATGCCCTGCTCCTCGTTGTTGAGCACAACCACCTTGACGCCAATGTTGAACTGTGCAGCAGTCGACAGCTCCGTCAGCGTCATGTTAAACGAGGCATCGCCATCAACGTCAATTACGAGAGCGTCGGGCTGGGCCACCTTGGCGCCAATGGCCGCGGGGAGACCGTAGCCCATGGTGCCCAGACCACCAGAGGTAATCATGGATCGAGGGTGCCTCCAGCGGAAGTGCTGGGCAACCCACATCTGGTGCTGGCCGACACCCGTGGCAATGTACGTCTTGTCCTTTCGGTTGGCCGTCAGGTTGCTAATCTCCTCCATGACCGTCTGCGGCTTGATGAGGCCAGCCCGCTCCGCGCGCTGGTAGTTTGACAGGGGCCACTTCTTCTTCCACTCATTGATGAGGCCGAACCACTCTCCTCGGTCCGCCATGGACTTTTCGGCAATCTGGGGAATGAGGTGCTTCAGGTTGGTGGCGACGTCGCCCTCGACGGCCTCGGTCGCCTGGATGACCTTGTTGATGTTCTTGGGCATGATCTCAAAGTGAATGATGCCGCCGCGGCCCTCGGCAGCAGCTTGCCTGGCTGCAGGCGCAAATTTGGAGACATTCAGAGTAACACGGTCGTCGAATCGGCTGCCGAGGGCGATGATGAGGTCGGCCTGCTGCATGGCCATGTTGGCATACGCCGAGCCGTGCATGCCCAGCATGTGCAGCGACTTCTCGTCCAGCTCATCAAAGGCACCCAGGCCATGGAGGGTGGTGGTGACGGGGATGGAGGCCTTGTCCGCCAGCTGCTTCAGGAGCTCAACGCCGCCCTCGGACTGGATGACACCCTGACCGGCGTAGATGACGGGCTTCTTGGCGATGTTGATGAGGTCGGCGGCACGCTTGATGGAGGCGTTGAGCTGCTTGGAGCTCAGCTCCATGGCGGCGCGGGAGGCGGCACTGGGCAGAGACGGCAGAGCAGTCTCCGTAGGGATGGCTCTCCTCAGGATACCAGCCGTGACATCCTTGGGCAGGTCGACGAGGACGGGGCCAGGGCGGCCGCTGGTGGCAATCTCAAAGGCCTCGTTGATTCTCCGCGGCAGCTCAGCAACGCTCTTGACCATGACGTTCCACTTGGTGCAGGCCCGCGAGATGCCCACGACGTCGGCCTCTTGGAAGGCATCGCTGCCGATGGCCGTGGTGGGGACCTGGCCGCAGAAGACGACCAAGGGCGTTCCGTCCGACAGGGCATCCTGCATGGGCGTGATGACATTGGTAGCACCGGGGCCGGAAGTCACCAGGACGACACCGGGTTTGCCCGAGGCACGGGCATAGCCCTCGGCCATATGGCCAGCTCCCTGCTCATGACGGGGCAGGATGAAGTCGAAGTGTTTTGAGTTGTAGATGGCGTCGAAGACGGGCAGGATAGCGCCGCCAGGGTATCCGACTGGATGGTGACTCAAGGTTAGCGAGATTTGCCTAGCTGGAGAGATGGAGCAAGGATGGAGCCCGTGTGGGCGGCCGGCATCGGAACCTACAAATGTGCTTGACACCCTGTCGCAGCATCATCTCGTGGAAGATTTCGCCTCCGGTTTTGCCAATGAATCTAGAGCAACATGATTGGTCAGAACAAAGCTCAATTGGTCTGTTATAGAAGTGTCGATTGTTGCAAAAATTCTGGTGTAATCGTGTTCATTTTGTAGGGCGGGACGAGGGGACGTGGACATACGATTCATCCATGTCGGGCTTCGACGGGTTGACCAGAGGCTGCACATGGCTGCGGTCTTTGTCTTCAGCGTTGAAAGCAGGGCTCGGTACAGGGCGGACTTGTCTGTGTGAAGCAATTGCCAATGGCCATTATGTTAGCCAGTTGTCGCTCAAGATTGAAAACGAAGAATCAGAATGCGCGCGCGCGAGTTGAGCAGCCAAAAATTCGTCCCCCGGTAATCGGCGCTGGAAAACCACGATGCGAACACACCTGGTCCTTGACACGCATAACCGAGAGACGACGCCACGCAAGCAGCAGGAAGTATATATCAAACAGAAGATGCAATGGCAATGGGCGACTTACGGAGCAGCGCTGGCGTTGGCCTGTTTCCTCTGGCTGCTCTGGATCATGACAGGCTTGGTCGTCGAGGTAAAGGCGCGCGCCTGGCCCAGAGCCCGGACGGCCCTGGCTGTGACTTGGCGACTTCGGAGCATCGTGAATCGAGCTATGGTGGGTAACACGCAAGAAAAGAAGGTAGAAGTAGAAAAATTCAAAGAGAGAGCGTCGAAGCAAGGCTTAGCCTGTCAACGAAGGAGAAGGTTGAGGGAGGGGTCGGACAATAAAAAAAATGAGAGTGCGCAGAGATGCAGCACGTGAGCCAGACCGACGTCTCTGCTGCCCTTTTTTTTCTCGTCTTTTCCTCTCTGACGAATTCAAGGGTATCGCGGGGGGAAGAGGGAGGAGTGGCGAAGAAGAATTGCAAGGCCAGAAGCAGGATGGAGAAGAAGAAAGAGAAATAATAGGTAGCCAGGCGAACGACCTGATCGGACAAAAGTCACCAAGCCCGGCCCGGCCTAGGTACATGTAGGTAGAGTCAGAGGGTCCAGTCCCGGGTCGCGCCCATGGAAGGGCGATGCCGGGCAGATCTACTAATACTGCAGCAGCCCAGTCATCAAATGGCGGCACAGTACATGTAATAATGCGCGACCCGCCGCTGCGAATACTAGTAAAGTAGCCTGTCGCACGTGTCAAGCCGGCGAGGTACCGGGTCGCGCAGTATCGCTTGCGCCTTGTCTGTACATACGTACTGTGCCCTACTTACTGTGCCTGATTGTGGGGTAGTCAATTTTTCTCCTGTGCGGTTGCCTGCCATGCAACGAATTGGCTGTCTACCTACTTTCGATTCTCTTCTTCTGTCAGTGATTCTAGTACCCTGAGTTGTCTCGCCTCCCATTGGGCGCAGCCGACGCCAGCGCCGACAGAG